TCTGGTTTAATAACATATGAACATCAGTCTCAGGCTCATGACACGTTTTTCTGTTATTTGAATTTTTACATTGCAGAAGATTTCATATTCTTAAATTCCTACCCCCAAGAGCATAGTTCTGTTGGGTATATTTGAATAGCAGAATTGTTGAGACATAGGTTTATATCTATTCCAACATTTAAGAGGTCACATCGCTTTTGTATGTTTTGTTTTTTATATAAATGAAATCATACAGCAAGAACCTGTCTATATTTAGCTCTTAAATTTTTATGATTTTTCAAATGTACTATTGATTTCCATTAGCATTGATACATAACATTTCTTCTGTTAATATCAAATGTTTGAATCATTCTATTCTGAGGGAGCAAGTGGTTGGTCTTCTGGTTTGGGACTGTTATGACTAGTGCTGATATACAAATTCTGGAATTTGTCTTTTGATGATATATTTAGAAATTCATTTGGGGCATACTTATAAGAGGGGAATTGTTGAGACAGAGGTTGATATCTGTTCCACTTAAGTAGGTTCTGCCAAACAGTTCTCCAAAATGCCTGTGCCAATTTTAACGCCCATCAGCAGCACATGGAATTCCTGGCACATGTTTGCCAAAACTTGGTATTTCCTGCCATTTTAATTTTAGACTTCTAGTTGGCATATGATGGCACCAGGTGGTGGTGTTATTTGAAGTTTCATGATTACTGAGGACATCAAAACTTTCCTCATAGTTACTACTCACTGGACAATTTCCATTTTTTTGTTTCTGATGTAATGTTTTCCCTATACTTCATTATATTATGTGATATGTGTTCTTTATGCTACATACAACTCTTCCTATGCTCCCCGCTATGTGTACGCGCGCGTGTGTGTTTGTGTGTGTGTGTGTGATGGCGGCCAACTCTTATTTAATGTTCTAATTTGTCATTTCACCCATATCATCAATGTGTTTCATACTGTTTATAAAACATCCTCAGATTCTAAGACCATAGCAAATATTTCATTTTGTAATTCTCAAAATTGCATTATCTGGTTGTAAATTTCAATCAGCAATCCATTAGTATTGGTTTGTTGAATGGCATGGGTAGTGAATGAGGCTGTTTCTTTTCTTACATATTACTAGCAAAATCACTGTATTCTGAAAATGTTGAATTACGCTTTTTTTTTTCCATTTGCTCTCACTTGTGGGGAAAAGAAAGAGAGATCAGACTGTTACTGTGTCTATGTAGAAAGAAGTAGACATAAGAAACTCCATTTTGTTCTGTACTACAGAAAATTTTCTGCCTTGAGATGCTGTTAATCTGTAACCTAACCCCAACCTTGTGCTTGCAGAGACATGTGCTCTGTTGACTTAAGGTTTAATGGATTTAGGGCTGTGCAGGATGTGCTTTGATAAAAATGTGTTTGAAGGCAGTATGGTTTGTAAAAGTCTACCCCCTCTCTGAGATGGTAGAGAGTAATCAGTTAATACTGAGGGAACTCAGAGACCAGTGCTGGCGCAGGTCCTCTACATGCTGAGCGCCGGTCCCCTGGACCCACTTTTCTTTCTCTATACTTTGTCTCTGTGACTTATTTCTCTTCTCAGTCTCTCGTCCCACCTGATGAGAAACACCCACAGGTGTGGAAGGGCTGGCCCCCTTCATCTGGTGCCCAACGTGGGGCCTTTCTCTAGGGTGAAATTCGCTAGAGCGTGGTCATTGAGGACAAGTCGACAAGAGATTCCCAAGTACATCCACAGTCAGCCTTGCGGTAAGCTTGTGCGCTCGGAAGAACCCAGGGTAAAAATAGGACAAACTGATAGTAAATATGCCTCTTATCTCAGCTTAATTAAAATTCTTTTAAGAAGAGGGGGAGGTAGAGTCTCTACAGAAAATCTAATCACGCTATCTCAAATGATAGAACAATTCTGCCCATGGTTTTCAGAACAGGGAACTTTAGATCTAAAAGATTGGGACAAAATTGGCAAAGAATAAAAAAAGCAAGTCGGGAGGGTAAAATTGTCACACTTACAGTATGGAATGATTGGGCCATTATTAAAGTACCTTTAGAATAGTTTCAAACAGGAGAAGACAGCATTTCAGTTTCTGATGCCCCTGAAAGCTGTGTAATAGATTGTGAGGAAGAGGCAGGGACAGAATCCTGGAAAGGAACAGAAAGTTTACGTTGTAAATATGTAGCAGAGTCTGTAATGGCTCGGTCAACACAAAATGTTGACTACAATCAATTACAGGAGGTAATATACCCTGAAACATTAAAATTAGAAGAAAAAGGTCCAGAATTAGCGGGTCCATCAGAGTCTAAACCACGAAGACCAACTCCTCTTCCAGCAGTTCAGATGCCTGTAACATTACAACCTCAAATGCAGGTTAGACAAGTCCAAACCCCAAGAGAATATCAAATAGAGAAAGATAGAGTCTCTGTCACGGCAATGCCAATCCAAATACAGTATCCACAATAACAGTCGGTAGAAAATAAGACCCAACTGCCGGTAGCCTATCAATACTGTCTGCCAGCTGAACTTCAGTATCGGCTGCCCCCAGAAAATCAGTATGGACAGCCAGGAATGCTTCCAGCACCACAGGGCAGGGCTCTGCAGCCTCAGCCGCCCACTATGAGACTTAATCCTGTATCACCACCTAGTGGACAGGGTAGTGCATTATATAAGATTATTGACAAGGCAAGAAAACAAGGAGATATTGAGGTTCCCAGTAATATTATAGTAATATTAGGTACAACCTGGAGAAGGGGCCCAAGAGGGAGAGCCTCCCCTAGCTGAGGCCACATATGAGTCATTTTCTATGAAAATGCTCAAAGATATGAAAGAGGGAGTAAAGCATATGGAACCAACTCCCCTTATATGAGGACATTATTAGATTCCATTGCTCGTGGACATAGACTCATTCCTTATGATTGGGAGATTCTGGCGAAATCATCACTCTCACCCTCTCAATTTTTACAATTTAAGACTTGGAAGATTGATGGGGCACAAGAACAGGTCTGAAGAAATAGGGCTGCCAATCCTCCAGTTAACATAGATGCAGATCAACTATTAGGAACAGGTCAAAATTGGAGCACTATTAATCAACAAGCAATAATGCAAGATGAGGTCACTGAGCAAGTTAGAGCTATCTGCCTTACAGCCTGGGAAAAAACCCAAGACCCAGGAACTACCTGCCCCTCATTCAATAAAATAAGACAAGGCTCTAAAGAGCCCTACCCTGATTTTGTGGCAAGGCTCCAAGATGCTGCTCAAAAGTCAATTACGGATGAGAATGCCTGTAAGGTCATAGTGGAGTTGATGGCATAAGAAAATGCCAATCCTGAGTGTCACTCAGCCATTAAGCCATTAAAAGAAAAGGTCCCAGCAGGATCAGATGTAATCTCAGAGTACATAAAAGCCTGTGATGGAATTGGAGGAGCTATGCATAAAGCTAAACTTATAGCTCAAGCAATAACGGGAGTTGTTTTAGGAGGACAAGTTAGAACATTTGGGGGAAAATGTTATAATTGTGGTCCAATTGGTCATCTAAAACAGAATTGCCCAGTCTCAAATGAACAAAATATAACAACTCAAGCTACTACAACAAAGAAAGAGCCACCTGGCCTATGCCCAAGATGTAAAAAAGGAAAACACTGGCTAATCAACGTTGTAATAAATTTGATAAAAATGGGCAACTGTTGTTGGGAAAGGAGAAGAGGGGCCAACTTCAGGCCCCACAACAAACTGGGGCATTCCCAATTCAGCCCTTTGTTCCTCAGGGTTTTCAGGGACAACACACCCCACTGGGAAGCGACGGTTGTAGTGAGCTGAGATCGTGCCACTGCATTCCATCCTGGGCGACAGAGCAAGGCTCCATCTCAAAAAAAAAAACAAAAACAAAACAAAAGTTACCTAGTAACCCAGGATTTCTGTTGAATTCTGAGCTAGCCACAACAAGGCAAATTTTCATTTCTTTTCCTATGCGCAGCACTTACTGTAACTTGGAAGTGTATCCATATGGGATGAAGGTTAAAAAACCGGATAAAGAAGGCCAAGAGATCTACTCCCAGAAAAGTGAGAACGATGAAGATAAATCATGATCTCAAAAAAAAAAATCACGTCTCAGTTCAGCAGGTCACAGAGAAGCCAGGATCTTTCAAATGGTAACTTTAGCAAGGGATAGGTCTTACGGACAAATAAAAGGGTCATCTCTAAGACATCCCAAAAGAAACCCACCTCCCCCCATCTGTTACAGTCTCATCCATTCTCAGAGACTAAGATTTTCCTCCTCCTTTGTGTTCTACTTATTCTAAGGGTCCTTTTCCTTTTCTGCTCTGCCCCTTTTATATTTGGCTAAGTCTCTAATCACACAAAAGTTGTGAGTGACAATTCCATTCTTTACAACTGTCATTTCCTTCAATGACAAAACACACTTATCTTTCCAAATCATTCTCTCTCCAAATCAATATATAGTTTTTGATTTTCTATGTGTTGGGAAATATTAAATCATGCAAAGCAGCCTCTCCAGCACAACTTTCTGGGATGCTGGAAATGATGACAAAGAGTCCCCATTGTCTCAAAGTTCTGTTCACTCTGCTGTCCAGTTTGGTAGCAGCTATTCACATACAGCTCTTGAGCAGTGAGGGAACTGAATTTTTAAATTTTGTGTTCAGTTTCTTTAATTCTAAAATTTAAGTAGCCACAAAAATTAGCAGGGAATTTGTAATATCTTGGAGAGATAGGACCTGAGAATAAAAAACAAAACAAAACAAAATCTCATTTTTGTACTCAGGTGCTTAAGTACCATTAACAGTAGTCCTTCTGCTACTCCTTGAACAACAAATTATCATGTCCCCTGGACACAGTTACTCCATGTCCATTTCACCTAATGTAGATATTTGCATCCCTTGACTAGATTAGCTGAGTGTAATGATACTACTTAAAATTAACCCCGCAAACTCTCCGGGAGACCACAAACTTTTTCTTCTTTGACCTCAGCTCCTGGAACAGGACAGGGTACAAAGGATATAATTTTAAAATATTTGTTTAATGAAACAAAATCACTAGTTTCACAGATCCCTCTGCATAATATAGTTCTGAAAGTTTTTGGTCCTGGTTTTCAATTAATCCTTCACACTGGTCTAAGGAAACTGAATTGACACAAATGCGTCCCACATTCCACCATTCCAGTATCAGCCCTTTCCCACCAACTGCCCCTTATGGGGTTTTTCAGTCACTGCAACACCCCTGATACCAATTTTTTCATCTCTTAAAAATTCACAGTACTTCATTTCCTCCACTTCGAAGTACTTGGGCTTCCTTTACTCATTTATTTGACACAATAGAGCAATTGCTGTGTATGTGTTTAGGCTAACATCAGATTTTGCCTGTGCATCACAGCATACATTTAAATAGGATGAGTTTATCAGGCTTTCTCTGCCTTATACATTTTCTCTCAGTGTATGCTTTTCAGCCACATAATGAAATACAAATTTTTGCTCCACCCTTTTCCCACATAGATCTGAGTTCTCTTCCTATGGGTTTTCTGTAACATAAAATAAGACATAATTGATCACGGAAGGCACAACCACATTCACCGCATTCACAAGGTTTCTGTCCTGTGCAAATCCTCTATCATCTCCTGAGGCTGCACATCTGACCACTGGCTGTCCCACAAGGACTATGTTCCTGTTTGTGAGGAGGCCGCTGATGTTTAGTGATGTCTGAGGGGCCACGGAAGGCACTTGTGTAGTCACCCCGTTAGCGGAGTTTTTCTCCTGCATGACATCACTGGTGTGTAATATGCTGTGCCTCTCTGCAGGAGGATTTTCCACCTTGACTGCATCTTGTTTCTCCCTCGTGTGTATTCTCTTATGCTTAACCAGGCACGACATATACGCAAATGCTTTCCCACACTCGTTGCAGCCATAGGGTCTCTCTCCTGTATGAGTCCTTTGATGGACAATGAGCTTTTGCTTTGTGCTAAAGGCTTTCCCACATTCACTACATTCAAAGGGTTTCTCTCCTGTGTGAATTCTTTGATGTTTAATGAGACCTGACTTCTGAGAACAGGATTTTCCACATTCACTGCACACAAAGGGCGTCTTTCCCGTGTGAAATCTCTGATGTGCTATGAGGCAAGTCTTCTGAATGAAGCCTTTTCCACATTCACTGCATATATAAGGTTTCTCACCTGTATGAATTCGCTGGTGTACAATGAGATTTCCTTTCTGGATGAAGCCTTTTCCACATTCACTGCATATATAGGGTTTCTCTCCGGTATGTGTTTTCTGATGTATGTTGAGCCGTGATTTCTTGAGAAAGGCTTTGCCACATTCAGGGCATTCATAAGGTTTTTCTCCTGTATGAGTTCGCTGATGTTCAGTGAGCATGAACTTTCTGGAGAAGGCTTTCTCACACAGACTACATCTGTGGGGTTTCTCTCCTGTATGCATTACCTGGTGATCAGTTAGCCAAGACTTCTTGATGAAGGCTTTCCCACATTCACTGCATACATGATGCTTCTCCAATTTTCGTGTTTTCTGATGCTTGGGATTGATGAATTGGGACTTAGTGCTGATGAGTTTTTGACTTGCAGGGAATTTAATTGCAGTATGAAGTCGTTCATGGTTAGCATGAAGAAAGGAGTCCCCATTTCCAGTAAACTCACAAGAGTTCTTTATTTCATAGCCTTTGCTCTTATTAACTAAAGTTAAATTTGATTTCAAACTTTTTCCACGTAAGTCAAATATATCATGATTTTGCCCTAACAGAAACTGACTTTTGCTGCAATGAACGATATTTTCAAATGCATCATGTTCATGACATTGTTTCCTTCTGTTCACTAGGCTTTCACTATGCAAGCGCTTCAGCACATGATCATCAACTTTCCAGATTTCTAGAAAGAAAAGAACAAAGATTTCCATCATTTTGATTTGAGGTAAAAGTCTGTTCTGGTTTTTTTTTTTGGTTTTCTTTTGTTTTTTTGTTTTAGATGGAGTTTCACTCTGTTGCCCAGACTGGAGTGCAATGCTGCAATCTCAGCTCACTGCAACTTCCGCTTCCCGGGTTCAAGCGACTGTTCTGCCTTAGCCTCCCAAGTAGCTGGGATTACAGGTGCCTGCTACCACGCCTGGCTAATTTTTGTAGTTTTAGTACAGACGGGGTTTCACCATGTTGGCCAGGTTGGTCTCAAACTCCTGACCTCACGTGAGCCATTGTGCCCGGACAAAGTATTTTTTTTTTTTTTTGAGTCGGGGAGATGGAGTCTCACTCTGTCGCCCATGCTGGAGTGCAGTGGCACAATTCCGGCTCATGACCAAACTTGTTTTGTTTTGTTTTTTTTGCGGGGGAGATGGAGTCTCACTCTGTCGCCGAGGCTGGAGTGCAGTGGCACAATCCCGGCTCACAGCCTAAGTACTTTTTTTTTTTTTGCGGGGGGCAGGGCGGAGATGGAGTCTCACTCTGTTGCCCAGGCTGGAGTGTAGTGGCACAATCCCAGCTCACTGCAACCTTGGAAGCGATTCTCCTGCCTCAGCCTTCCATGTGGCTGGGATTATAGGCATGTGCCACCACGCCCAGCTAATTTCGTATATTTAGTACAGACGGGGTTTCACCATGTTAGCAAAGTTGATCCCAAACTCCCGACCTCAGGTGATCTGCCCGCTTTGGTCTCCCAAAGTGCTGGGATTACAGGTATGAGCTGCTGCACCCGGCCCCAAAGTATTTTTTTTTTAATGCCTTGATGTGAGGTGTCTCTTTAGTAATAACCATATGACCTGAGTGTAAATAAAACTACATGTTTAATGTTCCTTGCACATTGGCAAAAAATAATAGAATAGACAAACTAAAAGGTGAAAGCAGTTAGCATAAAAACAAGGTTAGATCACTAATAACGAATAAAGACAGATTTGGCTGCATTCTAAATGTGCCTTGCAAAACAAAGACCTTAAAAATACAAGCAATTCACTGTGACCAGCAGACCAGAGGTTGGAGGGCCATTTCATCCAAAGAACAGATCCATCCATTCCACATCCTCTTACTGAATGATCACCATGTACCAGGTACGGTGCTAGTGTTGGGGATAGGCATGAGAATCATTTGAACCCAAGAGGTGGAGGTTGCTATGAGCCAAGATCACACCATTGCACTCCAGCCTGGGCACACAGTGAGACTCTGTCTCAAAAAATAAATAAATAAAAATAAATAATAATAAGTAATTTTTAAGGGAATGAGTCAGGGAAGTAATCATATGTGTGGAACACACCGGGGAGGGTTTAGGAAAGAAGATGGAAATCTCTTTGTGAGCAGGATGGTATTGTATCACAGAGATCACTGAAACGAGAACTTTGACGGGTAACATGGTTTACTGGGACTTAGTGGCATCAGAATATGACGGGGAAAAAAACAAAAGCAAATTATTAAACACAGAAAGGAATCAAGTGGAAGTAGGGCAGGAGTTATGACCTGGTTTAAGCTGGCCTTGGGAATGTGGGATGTTTAAAAAAATGACTTTTTTACTTAGAGATTCATCATGACTAGCAGATAACTTTAAAGAAGAGAGCTCTTCGGACAGGTAATGCCTGGATGGCCAAGATTCAGGATGTACAGAACAAACGAGAACACAAACTTAACGGGTTTTCTTGGAGGAAAGATGATTCTAGTTCTTTGCAGTTACTAGGAACTCAGGGGAGAGTTGCCATCAAATAAATTACACAGAACTAAAATCTGTGTTAGGTAACAACCGGGAGATGTCAGTTTGGGACTCTCCTCCAGGGAATGGAAGGCACTTAACTTACTCGAATGAAGGAAACTTTGAAGAGTGAAGGGCACAGATGAGAAAATGGAAAACGGGGCCTTTGGAGAACCTAAGAATAAGGAAAAAGAGAAGCCAAGGAAGCCAACGCACAGTGAAAGCCCAGTTTACCCTGAGGAAGCCACTGTCACATCCAACACAGCAGAGGTGTTAGGAGGGGAGGTCAGCATTAGTCAAGGGGCATGAAGGGGCAGGAATTCGAGAAGGTTCCTCTCTGGAGAGAGGCCTGGAAGGTGGAATTTCATAACAAGAGAGGTGGAAGGACATGAAGAAGGGAAATACTTGAAATCCGAGGAAGAAGAAAATTATGCAGGCAAACAAAAAATATGTAAATAAAATAAAGAATCAGATCTCTGAAGAGATAAAGGGATTTTTTTTTTAGCTCTAAATTCCTACAAAGAAAAACAGGTCTCACACTGGGAGAGAGATGAGTAGAGGAACTGTTTACATATCCTCAAACCCCCTTCACAGCTGTGTTGCCTTCTCTGACTGACTTAGAATGTGACTTCCACAGCCTTCTGCCTTGTGGGTTCTCTCACCTGAACAGGCTCCACTGTGGATTCCATCTTCTATTGTCCACGGTGGTTCTCCTTGTTCCAACTTGAAGAATACATCCGGTTTGCTGGCTTGATACCCTGTTCATGGGAAATGATAGAGGACTTAGACATATCAAATTGGGCTGGCAATGTCAAGAGGAAGAACGCTACACTTCAGGAAACTTGAGTTTCTTAAAATATGGAAAGTTTAGTTTCATATCTGAAACTATGAAAGTTTAGTTTCATATCTGTAACATCAAGGTTTTTCTCTCACAAGAGGGTAGATTACACCATCTTGTGTGGGAGCAAGAGAAGGATCTGAGAATCTAACACTTCAGAGTACTGCAGGCATTCCAAAGAGGTAAGTATCTGAGAAAGGAAGGCCACTGACTGGGCACCCTCTGAGTGACACAGGGCAGCTGTCCTCACCCACTGCCACCAGGTTGCTGTAGTTCTCCAACATCACGTCCCGGTACAGGTCCTTCTGAGCAGGGCCCAGGAGCTGCCACTCCTCCCAGGTGAAGTCCACAGCCACATCCTCCAGTGTTACGGATTCCTGTAATAACAGTCCTGTTTAATAAAGTGATGTCTTTTTGATGATATAGAAGAAATGCTAAAGTTTTTCTGCTCATTTCCACTCTACAGGCTGTGTGTTTATACCAAATAGCTGTTGTTTTTTTAAAAAAATACATTGTGGAAGAAGTAAAGTCCTAATATAATATTATGTCATTGTATATTCAATTATCCTCCATTCACCCACGTGGGGAAAAGAAAGAGAAATCAGACTGTTACTGTGTCTATGTAGAAAGAAGTAGACATAAGGAACTCCATTTTGTTCTGTACTAAGAGAAATTCTTCTGCCTTGAGATGCTGTTAATCTGTAATCCTAGCCCCAACCCTGTGCTCGCAGAGACATGTGCTGTGTTGACTCAGGGTTTAATGGATTTAGGGTTGTGCAGGATGTGCTTTGTTAAAAAAGTGCTTGAAGGCAGTATGCTTGGTAAAAGTCATGCCATTCTCTCATCTCAAGTACCCAGGGACACAATACACTGTGGAAGGCTGCAGGGACCTCTGTCCAGGAAAGCCAGGTATTGTCCAAGGTTTCTCCCCATGTGATAGCCTGAGATATGGTCTCCTGGGAAGGGAAAGACCTGACCGTCCCCCAGCCCAACATCCATAAAGGGTCTGGGCTGAGGAGGATGAGTGAAAGAGGAAGCCCTGTTTGCAATTGAGATAAGAGGAAGGCATCTGTCTCCTGCTCGTTGCTGGGCAATGGAATGTCTTGGTATAAAACCCAATTGTGTGTTCTATTTACTGAGATAGGAGAAAACTGCCTTAGGGCTGGAGGTGAGAAATGCTGGCGGCAATACTGCTCTTTACTGCACCGAGATGTTTGTGTAAAGTCAAACATAAATCTGGCCTACATGCACATCAAGGCACAGCACCTTTCCTTAAACTTATTTATGACACAGAGATCTTTGCTCACATGTTTTCCTGCTGACCCTCTCCCCACTATTACCCTATTGTCCAGCCACATCCCTCTCTCCGAGATGGTAGAGATAGTGATCAACAAATACTGAGGGAACTTAGAGACCAGGGCCAGGCGCAGGTCCTCCGTATGCTGAGCACTGGTCCCCTGGGCCCACTTTTCTTTCTCTATACTTTGTCTCTGTGTCTTATTTCTTTTCTCAGTCTCTCCTCCCACCTGATGAGAAATGCCCACAGGTGTGGAGGGGCAGGCCACCCCTTCATCCCAATTGGAAGTTTCTATAAAGTGTGGAAGTTAAATCTTGCTAACCTAAAAACAACATATTTACACATTTTATATATGTAAATATATATGAATACATGTACATATATTTGTTTACATAGATGCAGACAAAAGACATATATACAGTCGTCCTTTAGTGTCTGTAGGGTATGGGTTCCAGGACCTCCTGAGGATGCTCAAGTGTCTGATATAAAATGGCACAGTATTGGTCAGGCACAGTAGATCACACCTGTAATCCCAGCACTTTGGGAGGCCAAGGCAGGAGGGTCACCTGAGTCCAGGAGTTCAAGACCAGCCTGGGCAACATGAGACCCCGTCTGTACAAAAAATTAAAAAATTAACTAGGTGCAGTGGTGAGTGCCTGTGGTCCCAGCTACTTGGGAGGCTGAGGCAGGAGGCTCATTTGAGTCCAGGAGTTAGAGACTACAGTGAGTTATGATCATACAGAACTTCAGCCTGAGCAACAGAAAAAGACTCTGTCTCTAATAAAATAAAATAAAATGGAAGAGTACTTGCAGATTTGCATGTGACCCATGCACATCCTCCTACATACTTTTTTTTTTTTTTTTTTAAACAGAGACTCACTCTCTCCCAGGCTGGGGTGCAGTGGCATAATCTCAGCTCACTACAACCTCCGCCTCCCAGGAGCAGGCAATTCTTCTGCCTCAGTCTCCCAAGTAGCTGGGACTACAGGTTGTGCCACTACACCTGGCTAATTTTTGTTTTTTGTTTTGAGATGGAGTTTTGCTCCTGTTGCCCAGGCTGGAGTGCAATGGTATGATCTCAGCTCACTGCAACCTCTGCCTCCCAGGTTCAAGCGATTCTCCTGCCTCAGCCTCCCAAGTAGCTAGGATTACAGGCGCCTGCCACCACACCCAGCTAATTTTTTGTATTTTTAGTAGAGACGGGATTTCACTATGTTGGCAAGGCTGGTCTCAAACTCCTGACCTCAGACGATCCACCCGCCTCAGCCTCCCAAAGTGCTGGAGTTACAGGAGTGAGCCACCACACCCAGCCCCATATACTTTAAATTATCTTTAGATTACTTATAATATCTAATACAATGTAAATGCTATGTTAACAGTTGTTATACTGTATTGTTTAGGGAATCATGAAAATAAAAAGTCTGTGTGTGCTCAGTTCAGGTGCTTTAAAAAATATATATTTTCAATCCTCAGTTGGTTGAATCCATGATGTGGAAGTCATGGATATGGAGGGCCAACAATATATCACAAATCCAGGCCTCCTATTTTTCTGATGGACTAATTATAAATTGAGGGTTCCCATGACCTTCTCCTTGACTTTGATAATTTTCAAGGAGAAGGAGAAAATCAAGTAATGGAGAAACAATATCCAAAGATGTAACACTGAAAATTTTTCAGAACTGATTAAACACTCCAAACTTCAAACTCAAGAAATCCAACAACCAAGAAGTCTACATGTAGACACAACAGATCGAAACTAAGTTACACCAGATACAAAGAGGAGACTATAAAAGCATCCAGAGACCAAAGACAGGTTACCTACAAAGGAGACAAAATTTTCTGACAGTTGACTGCTCCAGATAAGTTATTATAGCCAATAAATATCGGAACAATAAGTGTTAAGGTCCTAACCTCTTGAACAACACAGCCCAACCCTGAAGAACATTTGGGACTCAAAGGCATGGCTGGCAAGGGACCTACCGCCCTGTAATAGTGACAATTAAGACTGTTTATCAATGAATTGTCAATCTCCTGTCTCAGGATGCCTTTAAAGAATACTGCTGGGTAGAAAATTGAGTCATTGAAGACCCAGGGAACAGCAGAAGGTATACTCTACACTCATTTTATTATAGAGGCCAGTGAACACACTTGATAGATGATATAAGTACTTAATCCTGGTTGGTTTACCCATTCTAAATTATTTATGTGAGATATCTACCTATTTGGTAAAAAGTAAAGTGACAGTCCTACCTCAATCCACACTCAAAAATAATTTACTATATGACAGATCTATGGCAGGCAGATGGCTCAATGAACTCCAGCCTCCCAGTGTTCACACCTTTATGTAGCTCCCACTTGCAGGAAGCCAAAGGCCCGTGGGACGTGACCAACTCAGCATTCCACTGGAGGCTACATGATCAAACAGCAAACTGTTTATCATGAATGCAGGATGTGAGCAAACTCATGATTGCTCCTACAGACAGAAGGTTTTCTGGAGGCAATCACACCCTGGAGCTGAGGTTATCTACTGCAACATCTAACGAATGCAGTCTTGTGAGTCTACTCTGGACTGAGCAGCTGACCCCTTCTTCCACTGCACCCCACTCAACTATCTCTTTTGCCTAAAAATACGGAGGGCTGTGTAAAGCTCAGAGTCCTTGTCCACTAGAGGCAAGGTACCCCCTGACCCCTTCTTCCAAATATACTCTTTTATCTCTTGTCTTTTATTCCTGTGTTTGCCACTCTTTGTTCCGTCCCCCTAGGTCCATGCAGGTTACAAGTGGCGCCCAAACAGGGACAGAATTGGGTGCTCTACACCCTCTCCTTGAGCATGGACTGGCCTAGTGACTTACCTCTAATCAGAAGAATATGGCAAAGGCATTGGAATCTCACTTCCTTAATTAAGCTATACGTGTTTAAAACAATTATTCAATGATAATTGTTAAAGCACAGTAAGGAAGACTTTATTCAGGGCCATTATGATAGGCATATAGACAAATGTAATGGGATTTTGCAGTGGTAGAGGGTGACTGAACTCAACTCTAAATACAGCAAAAGCAAGTGGGAATTTACAGCCAAGGAGCAGAGTGAGGGTCAGTAATACAAAATTACCAAGAGGGCCAGGTGCAATGGCTTATGCCTGTAATCCCAGCACTTTGGGAGGCCAAGGCAGGAGGATTGCTTGAGCCCAGGAGTTCAAGAGCAGCCTAGGCAACACAATAAGACCCCATCTCTATAAAAAAAAAAAAAAAAAAAAAAGAAGAGGAGGAGGAGGAGGAGAAGGAGGAAGAAGGAAGAAGAAGGAGGAAAAGAAGAAAGGAAGAAAGAAAAAAGCAGAAAAGTAAAAGTAAAAAATAAAAAAACATAGTCAACCCAATCCTACCCACCCCCACCCACACACACAAAGTATGTTTATGATCTTTTATCATTTTTCTTTTTTTTTTTGAGACGGAGTCTTGCTCTGTCGCCCGGGCTAGAGTGCAGTGGCCGGATCTCAGCTCACTGCAAGCTCCGCCTCCCGGGTTTACGCCATTCTCCTGCCTCAGCCTCCTGAGTAGCTGGGACTACAGGTGCCCGCCACCTTGCCCGGCTAGTTTTTTGTATTTTTTAAGTAGAGATGGGGTTTCACCGTGTTAGCCAGGATGGTCTCGATCTCCTGACCTCGTGATCTGCCCATCTCGGCCTCCCAGAGTGCTGGGATTACAGGCTTGAGCCACCGCGCCTGGCCTCTTTTATCATTTTTCAAATTAAATACTTGATTCTCTCCTAACCCCCAATGGTAACAAATGCATTTTTTTCCAAGTTATCACTATAAACTGATGGAATTTTATACAATGAATGTTCTTCCATCATTTGCAATCATTCGTCTTTTTTTTTTTTTTTTTTTTTTTTTTTTTTTTTTTTTTTTTTTTTTTTTTTTTTTTTTTTTGAGACGGAGTCTTGCTCTGTAGCCCGGGCTGGACTGCAGTGGCCAGATCTCAGCTCACTGCAAGCTTCGCCTCCCGGGTTTATGCCATTCTCCTGCCTCAGCCTCCGGAGTAGCTGGGACTACAGGCGCCCGCCACCTCCCCCGGCTAGTTTTTTGTATTTTTAGTAGAGACGGGGTTTCACCGTGTTAGCCAGGATGGTCTCGATCTCCTGACCTCGTGATCCGCCCGTCTCGGCCTCCCAAAGTGCTGGGATTACAGGCTTGAGCCACCGCGCCCGGCTGCAATCATTCGTCTTTGGATGTTCAAAGTATAGCACCTTAGGCCAATGAAGAGTCCCTTCAAGTTGGCTGCTATGTTCTTTGAAATATGATTCTATCATGTAAAAAAAATATATATATATATATATATCATAATAGATACATATGTTTATGTCTACAGATTCATATATACTCATGCTTTTGTTAATACATACATAGATCCACACACAGATACAGTGACAGGAAGTAAATATTACCAACCATTTACAGAAGGGGATTAGGAAGAAAATATATGAAAAGGGAACTTTTTCTTTCTTTCTTTTCTTCAATTTTATTAAACAGAGTCAGAGTCTCACTAGATTGCTCAGGCTGGTCTCAAACTCCTGAGAAAGCCTGAGATATGGTCTTGTGGGAAGGGAAAGACCTGACCGTCCTTCAGCCCGACACCCATAAAGGGTCTGTGCTGAGGAGGATGAGTGAAAGAGGAAGGCCTGTTTGCAATTGGGATGAGAGGAAGGCATCTGTCTCCTGCTCGTCCCTGGGAATGGAATGTCTCAGTGTAAAACCCAATCGTACATTCTATTTACTTAGATAGGAGAAAACCACCTTATGGCTGGAGGTGAGACATGCTGGCGGCAATACTGCTCTTTACTGCACAGAGATGTTTGTGTAAAGTGGCTTCTACAAATCTATTATGGAACAAAGGAAAGAATAAAACAAACCATAAGTCAGTTACCTGGGCCTGGATCATTTTCTTCTGTTCTTGGAAAACAGCATTCAACTGGGATGGTCTGTCTTTGTATCTTCTGGACTTCTCTTCAGAAGTCTCAGTCTTCAATCAAGTGTGCCCCTAGAAATGGTGATACCCAAATCCACTTCCTCCCTCTTCGGGTGATGCTTTTTCTCCTGAGGGGTAAGAACCTGTGGGCTGAAGAACAAATTCAATGTAAGTGGTACATTTTCTCTGGGCCCAGATACTGTCACTGCTTCTCGGCACTCATCTTAAAACAATGCCCCCAATATAGTTAACTATACCTTTATTTGGAGCCCCAGAAGATTTTATCCCTCTGGCCAATAATGTCGAGGATGCTTATTGTGGTGGAAGTATGCCTTTCCTCTGTGATATTTCTGTGAAAGGACTGGGAAGGCATGCAGGAAATAAGACCCACCATAGCACCACGCCTCAGGAGCTGGTGAACTCTCAGGCAGATTAGCTTTAGAAAAGAGACAGTCAGCAAAGAGAGGAGCTGGTCTTTGTTTTCGTTTAAATCACGTGTGTTCACACACCTCTTCAAAAGTCTTTGTACATACACCCTGTGAGGACATGTACTTCAGTTTGAAAGCCAATGTACTGGGCAGATCATAAGCATTGTCATAGAAACAGTAGTGACAATATTTTAGGAGGTTTAAAGACATAAATAGCTAAAATACACAATAACTTACTGGATAAACTAGGTGGTAAATGAGGTTGATGTGCTCTAAGGTTTCTGTAGAATGGAAAAGTCCTAATTAGCAGAAGAATATGACAAAGGTTGCCCACTACATGTAATCTCTAGTGTTACAATTAAAACTAGTAAGGCCAGCCACAGCGGCTCACGCCTGTAATCTCAGCACTTTGGGAGGCCGAGGCGGGCGGATCACCTGACATCAGGAGTTTGAGACCAGCCTGGCCAACATGGTGAAACCCCATCTCTACTAAAAATACAGTCACTCCGGAAGCTGAGGCAGGAGAATCACTTGAACCTTTAAGGGTTTGGGAGCACAACTACACAGGAAATCTATCTATCCCAACCCATAGCCTCTAACAGACCTACCCGTGTAGTACAAATTAAAGGAAAGAAATTTTCTGACTACTTGTATGGATGGTAAGACTCCAGCAGAAAGACACTGCAAGCGTTGGAGGAAGAGGAAAGTTTATCGGAAAGTGTTATGGAAATCCCCAGAAGATGGACAATAGAAAGTCCCGGTGGATTTACTGACATAGGGATGAGCGTATGCTTGTGTTTTACAGGAGATGGACAAGCCATGTGGTGCCTTCAAGGTGCATGGAATGGAAGACTGGAGGAACCCAGGGTGGCCAACCACGGGCCCGGTCCCTCCAGTATGAGCCATGAGTCAGCTGAGCCTGAGTGCAAAGATGGAGAGAAGGCCGACCAGAGTCACGATGACATCAACCCCCATAACCTAGGGACAACTCAAGAAAACCACGCAGGAAGCTAAGAAACTACTGGAGCGTCAGGGACAGGCAAAAACCCCTGATTCCACGTTCTTGGCCATGCTAGCCATAATGTCCTGTGCAGTATGTTTTCCCTGTGCACAGGCAAAAACATATTGGGCATATGTTCCCATCCCCCAGTAGTACGGCCTGTACTTTGGAGCTCACTCCTGAGATCACGATCAGGGAGCGTGGGCTCCAGGACCCCTCACTCCCTCTGACATAGAACATTTAGACTCTCAGAACAATGTCATTAATTACACCGCTCCACTGGAAGGACTCCCTTTGTGTATCACCATAAAGACGTCGCTCAGCCACAGCTGTCTTACAATTCAAGCTCAAACATGGTTGAGTCACTATGGAAAAATCATGCACTTATTAAGTCTTAGTTGGGTTAATGTAACTGGTGTGCTAACCAACCATTCCCCGTCCAATCGCCCTAATTGTGCTGATTATACATAATGGATTCTATTCAATAGTTCCTACCCCACTCCGTGGACCCAGCGTCTTGGTCCACGGACTAGTAAACAATCTATGCTAAACTGGAGACATTGTGGATTGGGGACCTAAAAGTCAATTAGATGGAAAAAGTGAAAGTCAGAAATCATGGCACAAACTTCACTGGCATTGGTGGCAAGCTTTTAATGCTTCTTCTTTATACAACACCAGGATCCAATTCCAGTCAGCCACTCAGATTGCTTGGCATGGAGCAGGCGTTAGCCCACCTCTTCCTCAGTGGCATTATCTGGGGAGGAAAGGACCAATTCAAGAAATGATATGGAAGGCAGCACTCCCATTTATGAATGGCAACATCTGGATTGGAACACTAATAATAGCAGTAGTAAGCGACACAGTCTTAATGTTGCATTTGTAAGGAATATCACCAGTCAATTTACAGTTAGTGTTTTTAATCCTTATGTCTTTTTGGCAGCTAAGAAGCACCAGCTCCAGGTAAACAACACCCAATTGACCTGTAAAGCTTGTCAGTTATGTCACTGCATTAATCGTAGCACATTGCGAACACATAATATCTCTACATTGATGATTTTAGGTCGCATCCCTGGGCTATGGATTCCTGTTCATCTGTCGGAGCCGTGGGCTGCCACACCTGCTTTGCATTTTGTGAGACTAACTCAGCTTACTCATTGTGTCCATAGAGCCTTAGGCATGATAATTTTTGCTATTGTTTCCTTGGTCACCCTAATAACTTCTGCTGTGATATCTTCTGTAGCTTTGCATAATTCTATTCAAAAAGCTCAGTATGTGGAGAACTGGACATGCATAGCCGACCAAGCACAGCTACTTCAGAATAAAATTAGCATTGAGTTACAAACTGAAGTGGCAATGTTGAAATTCACGGTTCTGTGGTTAGGGGAACAAGTACAAAGCTTGCAGTTGCAGCAATTGTGTCATCATTTTAATCACACTCATATTTGTGTAACCAACTTAGAATATAACCAAAGTGAGTATCCATGGGACCTTGTGAAAGCCCATTTGCAGGGAGCTTTCACATCTAACCTCACCTTTGATATTGGTGAATTACAAAACAAAATTCTTCATTTAAATAGGCAAACTCAAGAATTTCAGCCTTCTTTAGAAGACTGGACTGAATTCCATCCAGCAAGGCCTGGAGAGCCTCAACCCTCGGACCTATCTAAAGTACCACAGTAACATCTTACATGTAGTTCTTGGAATAGTGTTGTTTTGTCTGTCTTCTGTTTATAGTCTGTAAAATCAGATGGACCGCCAATCGGAGAATGAGAGCTGCCCAGCCTGGCCTTACATTCTTTCAATTAATACATAAACAGAAAGGGGGCTATGCAGGGAGCCAAAGGCCCCTGGGACATGACCAACTCAGCATTCCACTGGAGGCTATATGATCAAACAGCGAGGGTTTTTCATGAATGAAGGATGTGAGCAAATTCACAACTGTTCCTGCGGACTGCTCCTACCACTGCTCCCACCGACAGAAGGTTTGCTGGAGGTAATCACTCCCTGGCACCGAGGTTATCTACTGTAACATCTAGAGAATGCAGTCTTGCAAGCCTACTCCGGACTGAGCAGCTGACCCCTTCTTTCACCCCCACCTCCCACCCTTCTCACTATGTCTTTTGCCTAATAAATACGGAGGGCTGTGTAAAGCTCAGGGCCCCTGTCCACTAGAGGCAAGGTGACCCTTGATCCCTTCTTCAAAATATACTCTTTTGTCTCTTGTCTTTATTCCTGCGTTTGCCCCCGCTTTGTTCAGTCCCATAGGTCCATGTGGGTTACAGCCCACCACCACACCTGGCTAATTTTTGTATTTTTAGTAGAGACGGGGTTTCACCATCTTGGTCAGGCTGGCCTTGAACTCCTGACCTCATGATACACCCGCCTTGGCCTCCCCACATGCAGTTATTATAGTTGATACGTCTGAAACAAAATGATATGGGAAGTCTGAGAATAAAAGGTTGGAGACAATATGTCACAGAGAGAGTAACGAAAGATAATCTGTTATAACTATATCTTAGACAAAACTGACCAGAAATCCTAAAGAATTATCAGAGAGAAAGAGAAACAATGCTCACTGAAAAGAGGTGCGATTTGGCTCTTCATTCATAGAAATACTTCACATCTATACCCCTAACAACAGTCTTGAAATGTATACAGCAAAAAATAGAACCAAAAACAAGAAATAGAAAATTCAGACTAAAAGAAGACTTTAACAGACCTCTCCTAGTAACTGACAGAACAAACAGACCATCAACAAACAAAATAAAATTTATAAATGAGAAAGAAATGAAACCTTTTATCTGAGGAATGTGACTCCCTTTAAATTATCAGGTCTAGAGAGGCATTAAAATGTGACAGCAGTCTTTCTGATACGGGTTCCCCTGAAAAAAAAAAAGAAAAGAAAAAATTAAAAACTAAAAAAAAAAAATTTAGTGTGACAACAGTCACATCTCATTTCCCCCTCAAGCTAAATAATTATCTCTTAAAGCCACCTGTATGTAGGCTCTAGACGAACTCACACCAAGTAGCCATAAAATGCCATTCACTGGAAATGATAACTCATAAAACCCCATAGTTAACAATGTATAGCCAATCACTAATTGATGTTATTTCTGTAAACCAATGAGAATTCTTGCCAAACAACTTTATGTCAGCTCACGGTTTGTTCCCTTTTGCCTTTAAAACTTGCTTGTAACAAAATCCTAACAGAGCACTTACCAAGGCAACCTGAAAGTATTTTCCCAGGCAGCTGTCCTCATTTCGGCTCAAGTAAACTCTTTAAAATTATATTTTGTGCAGTTTCCTCTTTTAGGTTGACATAAACAATATCATATAGAAGAACTCGAATATATTTTTAAAATTAGAAATACTGAGATAAATTTTAACAGTTTTAAATAAATTCAAAGATGTATTATAAAGATGGGCTGGAAAACAAAGCATTTTTAAAATGTCAAGTCTCCCAAATCTACAGATTCAACGAAATCACAGTCAAAATCCCAAACTGATAATGAATAGTTTAAATAGCTATAAACTTTTTTTTTAAGTTTGAAAAAAAAAGAAGACTTGCCATATCAGTTATAAGGACTTATAAAGGTACTTTAATTAGGACAGCAAAATATTAGTACAATAAAGGACAAATAGGACAAAGGAACAGAATAAAATCCTTATAAGTGGAATTAACCACATAGAGACTCAATGACAATGACAGCACCACAGGGAAGTGATAAAGGCTGTCTTTTCAATAAATAGAACTGAGGGTGCTGTGGCTTGTGCTTGCAATCCTAGCACTTTGGGAGGCTGAGACAGGTGTGGGGGAAAGAAACAGAGATCAGACTGTTACTGTGTCTATGTAGAAAGAGGAAGACATAAGAAATTCCATTTTAATCTGTACTAAGAAAAATTCTTCTGCCTTGAGATACTGTTAATCTGTAACCCTAGCCCCAACCCTGAGCTTGCAGAAACATGCTGTATTGACTTAAGGTTTAATGAATTTAGGGCTGTGCAGGATGTGCTTTGTTAAAAATGTGTTTGCAGGCAGTATGCTTGGTAAAAGTCATCGCCATTCTCCAGTCTTGAGTACTCAGGGACACAATACACTGCGGAAGGCCGCAGGGACCTCTGCCCAAAAAAGCCTGCGTATTGTCCAAGGTTTCCCCCCACTGAGACAGCTTGACATATGGCCTTGTGGGAAGTGCAAGACCTGACCGTCCCCCCAGCCCAACACCCGTAAAGGGTCTGTGCTGAGGAGGATTCGTAAAAGAGGAAGGCCTCTTTACAGTTAAAATAAGAGAAAGGCATCTGTCTCCTGCTCCTCCCTGGGAATGGGATGTCTCAGTGTAAAATCTGATCGTACATTCTATTTACTAAGATCGGAGAAAACCACCTTATGACTAAAGGTGAAACATACTGTCAGCAATACTACTCTTTACTACACTAAGATGTTTGTGTAAAGTAAAACATAAATCTGGGCTACGTACACAACAAGACACAACACCTTTCCTTAAACTTATTTATAACACAGAGTCCTTTACTCACATGTTTTCCTACTGACCCTCTCCCCACCATTACCCTATAGTCCTGCCACATTCCCCTCACAAAGATGGTAAAAATAGTGAGCAATAAATACTAAGAAAACTCAGAGACCTGTGCCGGTGCAGGTCCTCTGTATACGGAACACCGGTGCCCTGGGTCCACTTTTCTTCCTCTATACTTTGTCTCTGTGTCGTATTTCTTTTCTCAGTCTCCACAGGTGTGGAGGGGCAGGCTCCCTTCAGGCAGGTGGATCACTTGAGGCCAGAGTTCAAGACCAGCCTGGCCATCATGGTGAAACCCCGGCTCTACTAAAAATACAAAAAGTAGCCAGGCAAGGTGGCACATGCTGGTAATCCCAGCTACTCGGGAGGCTGTGGCACAAGAATCACTTGAGCCCGGAAGGTGGAGGTTGCAGCTGAGCCAAGATCGCACCACTACACTCCAGCCTGGGCGACAAGAGCAAGACTCTATCAAAAAAAAAAAAAAAAAAAAAAAAAAAATCAATAAATGGTACTGGGGATGGGGACAGAAGGTTAAACTACCCCTCACAACATACACAAAAACCATTTAGGATCAACTGTCAATTTCAACGGTAGAAACATATCAATAAAGCTTTAAAGAAGATTAATTTAGGAGAATCTCTCAATGTTATTAAGGTATGGCCAGATATTTTAAACAGGTCACATAAAGCACCCTATAAAGCAAACTCTGTTCTGCTAGGGGAACAACCACTTTAGAAAACAGTTTGACACTTATTTTGACTGAGGTTATACACACCCTATGAAGCAGCAATTTTATTCTGAGGCGTGCGTCTAGGTATATACCTCTGCCTCCCCCAAATGAGAGCACATATGAACCAAAGGACATTTACACAAATTTTCATAGATGCATTATTCATAATAATACAAGCTTTAGGCAATACAAATGTAATTAATAATAGAAAAAAACCTGCTATATTTTACATAATGGAATGTGATAGAAAACCTATTATACTTTTGGCTCAGCCTGCAAGAATGCTTTTTATATTTTTAAAGGACTGTAAAACAAAAAGCAAATTAGCATATGCAAGAGACCATATGTAGCCTGCAAGCCCTAAAATATTTACTGTAAATTTGCCTGATTGCTGTCATTGAGCAAAGAAAATACTCAGATGCAACAGGAAAGACCCTCACCAATAATGAGCAAAAGAAGGCTGACACAAAAAAAGAATGATGTACAATTCCATTGATATATAGAGTTTAAAACAGGCAAAACTGTATTAACTACAGTGATAAATAATGATTAATTACATAAAGAAAAGCCTAAAATACTTTTCGGTGTGAGGATGGAAAAAGGCTCACAGAACACCACTGGTGTGCTAACCATATTCTATTTCTTGACCTGGGCAATGATTGCTTCTACATATATTGCCTCCATGATAATTAAATTGTACATTTAAAATATATAAGTCTAGAAAAATTAACAAAGTAAAGGAAGAGATCAACGATACCAAACACTTTACCTCCAGGAAAAGTGTTAACTCCAGACAATATAACTGGTGAATGTCCACTAACACTCTATTTTCCTACTTTGTAATGGAAAGTTGAGCCAATGCATTAAGATAAGAATGAATTACAAGCATTACAAAGTAAGACAGAAAATTAAGGTTATTTTCAGGCGATATCATCACCAACATGGAAAACGAGATTCAAGAAATTACATATTTAAAAAAGAAAATGCTCCCTCAGAAACTCCCAGTCAGATTTCCGCATATATAGTTGCCTAGAATTGCACCATATGCCTAAGCTCATGTCCATGTCAAACCTATCACTAGCAATGGCAACTGGAATCACCAAGATTGGCTAAGACCAACCAGGCCTTACTAAGAAACTGGGATTTGGGTCACCTAGCCACGGGGATGAATACTTCACGAAATGGAGATTCTGATAAGAAAGTGTGAATATAAGACGGGCAAGCACCACTGTCACTATATATTAAGAAGTGAAGGTCGGGTGCGGTGGCTCACGCCTGTAATCTCAGCACTTTGGAAGGTCGAGGCGGGCGGATCACCAGAGGTCAGGAGTTCGAGACCAGCCTGGCCAACGTGGTAAAACCCCGTCTCTACTAAAAATACAAAACTAGCCGGGCGTGGTGGCGTGCGCCTGTAATCCCAGCTATTTGGGAGGCTGAGGCAGGAGAATCGCTTGAACCCGGGAGGCAGAGGTTGCAGTGAGCCGAGATTGTGCCATTGCACTCCAGCCTGGGAAACAAAAGTGAAACTCCGTCTCAAAAATAACATAACATAACACAACATAACATAACATAACATAAAAAATAAAAGAAGTGAATGCAGAAGTTGGCAACATTTTCGATTTTGCAGGCCATGAGGTCTCTGTCACAACTCAACGCTGCCTTTACAGTCATAGACAATATATAATCGGAGGGTATGACTGAACTTGACCTCCCAATCTGTAAATAGCCACTTCAAGGATCAGAACAGTAGATATATGGTTTCGAACTAATGCTGGGGGCTGTGTCGCCTTTTGCCCCAGTAACCAAGGTTCGAACCTCAACCCAGAACCCAGGGGTCCAAAGCCTTGAAAGCTTCAGCCCTCACAAGCCTTTGTACCACAGACGCTGGCCCCATGCCTCTTACTCATCCGAACCACAGACCAGACACTCTCCAGTGAAGGACATCCTCCCCGACTCCAACATCACTGAGTCCCAAATTAAATCCTGAACCCGAAGCAGACGCCCCATCGATCCGAAGCGCCACCTTCATCCTTTACAAGCAGAGTGATCCATAACTTGACAGTTAGGACACGGTCGTTGATCATCACAGACCCTTAGTCATTGTATTCACACCAAAGGGACGCGGCCCACAGACAGGGGGATCACAGACTCCCACCAGGTATCTCCCAAATGCCTGCACCCCGGCGCTCCCCAGTCTTCCTGCGAAACACTACGTGGTCCAGGATACAACACGTCCTCAGACCTTCCAAACCTTCCACTGAGACAAAACCTGAACTGGGACAAAAAACTTTCAGAGACAAAACCACACACTGACCTCTATTTTCTCCAGATCCACAAGAAAGGCCTCAACGTTACACTTCCGTAAACTGCTTCTACTTCTGGAGTCCTCGCACAGGTTTATGGTCCACCTACGGCGGCCGAGGAGAACCTAAAATATTAAAAGAGCAAGGACAACCGCATTTACGGCGTTTCCTAGGCTGTAATATGGCCGCGCCCACAGCTGTGGCTCCATGACGGCAGCCATGTTTGAAAATCAGACGTACAGAGGCAACGGCAGGTTTTTGAGCCAGCAGCCAGGGAAGATGAGAAGTCACTGAAATCGCCTCGTTTCCTGGCACTTAAAGTCTTGCGAAAAGGGGCAGATTTTCAGAGACTCAAGCTTTATCAGGCAAATATGGGGCAAGCTAAATTTCCTTTAGCGCTTTGCCATCCACTTTGTTAAATTAATAAAAAAAAAAAAAGGAGGGGTTTTGAAAAAGACAAGTAACAGTGCAGCCAAGTGTAGGTATCCCAGAGAATGAACTGGAAATGGAAAAGGTAACATATCAGGTAGAAAGGGAAAAGGCAACACATCAGGTAGGCAGACACCCACGGGAAAGCGTCTGGCAAAAAACGGCTTGCAGGAAGCAGTTTTTGAGAACAGAAAAATAGCAAGTATTTGGGGTTGGGGTGAAGAAAGAAAAAATAATTGTAATTTTCTTGAGGCAGAGTCTTGCTCTGTCCTCAGGCTGGAGTTCAATGGCAAGATCTCGGCTCACTGCAACCTCTGCCTTCCCGTTCACGCGATTCTCCTGCGTCAGCCTCCCGAGTAGCTGGGACTACAGGCACGCGCCACCACGCCCGGCTAATTTTTGTATTTTTAGTAGAGACAGGGTTTCACCATGTTGGCCATGATGGTCTCGATCTCCTGACCTTGTGATCTGCGTGACTCGGCCTCCCAAAGTGCTGGGATTACAGGCGTAAGCCACCACACCTGACCTCGAAAACATAATTATTATTTAAAGAAGAAGAGGAAGAGGAAGAAGAAGAAGAAGGAAGAAGAAAGAAGAGGAAGAAGAAAGAAAGGAAGAAAGGAAGAAGAAAGAAGAAAAGAAAGAAGAGATTTCGAGAAGGAGTTATGATGTGAGCCTGGCCATGACAGACTAAAGGAAAAGAGGAGGCACCTGAGTTATGATTGGGGTTGAGCCTCCTAGGAAGGCCACTTTTAGTAAAGGTGCCAATGGGAAGAGCAGAACCAGAATTGAGAGTATAAAAATATTAAGAGCTTTTTGACAAACGTGCCAAGACAATTCAATAAGGATAGTCTTTTCAGCAAGCGGCACTGGGATGACTGGATATCCACATGCAGAAAAATGAGTTAAGACCCTTAAACCATACACAAAAGTTAACTTAAAATAGATCATTGATCTAAGTTTAAGAGGTAAAAGTATAAAACTTAGAGAAGAAAAAGGGAGATAATCTTCATGGACGTGGGTTAATTCTGAGACGAGAGTAAAGGATGAGCCATAAAACGAAATAAAATTAATAAAGTGGACTTAATTTTTTTTTAAGTTTGTGCTTCTAAACACAACATTGAAGAAAGTGAGGTGGGGCACGGTGGCTCACACCTGTAATTCCAGCACTTTGGGAGGCCGAGGCAGGCGGATCATGTGAGGTCAGGAGTTCAAGACCAGCCTGGCCAACATGGCGAAACCCGTCTCTACTAAAAATACAAAAATTACCCGGATGCGGTGGCACGCGCCTGTTATTCCAGTTACTCGGGAGCCTGAGGCAGGAGAATTGCTTGAACCGGGGAGGTGGAGGTTTCAGCGAGCCAAGATCGCGCCACTGCACCCCAGCCTGGGTGACAGAGCAAGACTCCTCGGTAAAGACACCACTTCATCATCCTGAACCACTCTGATTTTTATGGGTGCAATGAGAAGAGTGGATGTAGGAAGACAAAGTTTTTTAATAGAAACCTTCAGGACAGATTTGGACTTGAAAGACTGACAGGAAGTGTTTCCAGCATCCAGTTAGTCTCAAAGCAACCACTAACCTTCAACTGCACACCTCAAAGCCTCCAGCCTCATTACATTCTCAAACACAGACAAGCCCCGTCTCCCCCGAAATAAAATTGCCTTCAAATTCAATTTAAAACTTACCGCAGAGGCACTCCTTTGACACTCCTCCCCCTAGACCTTTCATTCACGCCACTCCTTTTCCTAGCTTGGGCTTCTCTGTGTCTGAGCCCCATATTAAATTGCAAACCTGAGCAAAAAACTGCATTCACTGAGAGACACTTTCCATCCAGTTTTCAATTACTGAGACCCATGAAGAGTGAATATGTAGACCCCAAGTTCTGTCCGTGGGACCCTCAGTCATTAAACTCTTAAAACTAAGCCTTAACCTTCGACCTCCCAAGGGTCCCTTTCTCACACCCATATTCCTCGGTGACTAAACTGAAATCAAACCCCTGAACACGGACATTCACATGCATTTCCACTTCGTGGTCCCCACAAGCTCCCCATCCGGATTCACACGCTGCATCAGGCTCTCAAGGCTACAGTAGCAGCTACCAAAGGCCGAACACGTATCAGAACCTACTTCCGATTCTGGAATTCTGGTGCTGCAACCCCATCCTTCGCCATCTCTAAGAACACCGAGAGGCTGGGAGGCGGGCTTCCGGAGAGGGATATGTGACATTTCCCGAAGTCCAAGTTCTGGCTTTGAACATTTTATATGAGGTAACATAGGTGTTTTACCTCATAGAGCATATTATGTCATTTCTGATGGGATTGACCGTAACGGTTGCCATGGCTCAGGGAGGTGGGAAGAAATGCAAATGTCTTTGGGAGACTCCAGTACCCTCCCTTCCTCCTTACAAGAGACTGTCACGACACTGCGCTAACTGCCTAGGTTTTCAGAGGCCAGAAACTATCTAAGGAGCAAAATGGAAAGATGACTGCATCCCTGAGCCGTTTGGCAGCAGCACCACGGGAACCACCATCTTACAGAAAGTCCAGGGTCCATAAAACAGAAGAAACTGCAGACAACTGGCTGGATGAGGTTTGTAGAAGCCAAGATGTCACTGGGGCGGCCACAACAAAAACACTGAAGGTTTCAGTCCTGTTCAGGTCTCACTGGATGTGCTGTGAATTTTAGTAGTAAAAGGAAAAAGGAGTTGAAGATGCAAAATGTTTAGGTTCCAACAGCAGCAAAAATAATATATTTGCAAATAAACAGCCAAGAGTCATTAATACTCAGAAAACAAAGCAGTCATTAAAACTAACTCTGAGTCTGCCCTAGTGAAGAACAGTGGACAATAGCTTCAAAGCCAGTATGATAAATATATTAAAAAACATAAAGGAAAATATTTCAGACATATTTAAGTGTTTAAAGGAAAATATGGCAATAATTCCATAAAAGAAAATCTCAATAAAGACATTGAAAATAAAGAATCCAATATAAATGTTCGCGCTGAAAAATACAGTAACAATTAAAAATTCACATGACAGTATCACCGGCAGATTGCAATGTCAGAAGAAACGTTGAGCAAATTTGAAGAGCAAAAGAAATTATCCACCAGAAAGAAAAGAAGAAAAGTTTTAAATACTTGTAAGACATCAGATGTACCATTTTTTTAAAATAGAGCTGGAGTTTCGCTCTTTTGCTGAGGTTGCTCTCAGACTCCTGATTATCAAGCAATCTTCCTGTCTTAGCCTCCCAAAGTGTTAGGATTACAGGCATGAGCCACAACACCCAGGCCAGATAGGAATCAAAAGAAAAAAGTTAACAAAGAATATTTTAAAAGATAATAGCTAAAATTTTAGGATTACAAAGGAACTTCCTGAACCTGGTTAAGAAAAAAAAAAGTAAGTAAAAAAGATTCTATAGCTAACATATTTTTAAAAAGACTGAATATTTCTCCCCTAAAATTGCAAACATGGCCAAAATGTCCACTCTTACTGTACCTATTTAACAGAGTGGAAGCCCTAGCCCGTGAAGAAACGTAAGAAAAGAAAAAGAAAACACGGGAACGCAGAAATATCACTGCCCGTCTTCACAGAAGACATGATTATACAAATATAATCCCAAGGAGTCTACAGAACTAGACAAGTGAGTTTAGCAGTCATAAGGTGAAAAGTCAACACACAAATTTTATTTCTAAAGAATAACAATGAACAATTGGAAGCTAAATTATGGACACAAGAACATTTGTAATAGGTCCAAAAATATGGCCAGAAGCAGTGGCTCACACCTGTAATCTCAGCACTTTAGGAGGCTGAGGTGGGCAGATCACTTGAGCCCAGAGTTCGAGACCAACCTAGGCAACATGGTGAAACCTCATCTCTAAAAAAAAAAATACAAAAATTAGCCAGGTGTGTTGGTGCATGCCTGTAGTCGCAGCTACTTGGGAAGATAAGCAGGAGGATCACTTGAACCTGGGAGGTGCAGGTTGCCGCGAACCCAGACTGCACCACTGCACTCCAGCCTGGGCAAGAGAATGAGGCTCTATCACAAAAAAAAAAACATAAAATAATGGCAGGCCAGGCACGGTGGCTCACGCCTGTAATCCCAGTACTTTGGGAGGCCGAGGTGGGCAGATCACAAGGTCAGGAGATACAGACTAGCCTGGCTAACACAGTGAAACCCCGTCTCTACCAAAAATACAAAAAAAATTAGCCGGGTGTGGTGGCGGGTGCCTGTAGTCCCAGCTACTTGGGAGACTGAGGCAGGATAATGGCGTGAACCCAGGACGCGGAGCTTGCAGTAGGCCGAGATCGTGCCACTGCACTCCAGCCTGGGCGTCAGAGTGAGACTCCATCTCCAAAAAAAATTAAAAAATAAAAAAATCACTGCAAAAATATGATCCACTTAAATATTTACCAAGACATAAATAATGTATATGCTATAAATTCAGAAACACTGACTTAAAAAAAAAAAAAAAGCAAGGAAAGCCTAATTAAGTGGAGAGACATGGTTGGAAGATTCAACATAGTAAAGACGGCAAATAAACCAACTTTGATTATACATTTAATGCAATCTCAATAAAACTCCCAAAGGACTTTTTGTGGATATACACAAGCGTATACTTAAAATTTATACAGAAAAGCAAAGAAACTAGAATAGACAAAACTATTTTGAAAAAGAAAAATAAAGCTGGCAGACTCTACTCCATTTTATGACTAAAATCACGGTATGACAATAATCGCTATATGGTATTATTAGTGGAGTGAGAGACATGCACATCAACAGAATAGAGTCAAGAAATGGACACAAGAACAGGCAACTGATTTTTACAAATGTTCAAAATCAATTTAATGGAAAGAGGACAGTGTTTTCAATACTGTTGAATCAACTGGGCAACCATAGGCTGAACTTTAAATTAACCCTTACCCTGTATACAAAGATCAATTTAAATGGATCATATTGCTAAACACTAAAAGCAAAACTGGCTGGGTGTGGTGGCTCACACCTGTAATCCCAGCACTTTGGGAGGCCGAGGTGGCCAGATCACGAGGTCAGGAGATCGAGACCATCCTGGCCCACATGGTGAAACCCTGTCTGTACTAAAAATACAAAAATTAGCTGGACTTGGTGGCGCGTGCCTGTAATCCCAGCTACTTGGGAGGCTGAGGCAGGAGAATCACTTGAACCCGGGAGACGGAGGTTGCAGCAAGCCAAGATTGCACCACTGCACTCTAGAATGGGGGACAGAGCAAGACTCCATCTCAAAAACAAAAGAATACAAAACAAAAAAAACACAACAGCATCAAGTGGAAGAATGTGGAGCAACTGAACCTCTGTATATATTGCTGGTGTGCAATGAAACACCACTCTGGTTAGTATCTTACAAAGGTAAACATACACTTACCTTATAACCCATGAATCACACTTTTCAGTAATTATCCTAGAGAAATGAAAAATTGTGTTCACACAAAGCCTGTGTGCACAAATGTTCATAGGATTTTTATTTGTAAAAATAAGAAAAACTGGAAACAACCCTAAAGTCCTTCAGTGGGTGAATAAACAAATTGTAGTATATTCATATCATAGATTATTAGTCACCAATAAAAATAAAACAATGATACACAAAACAATTTGGATGAATTTCAGGTTAATTTGCTTTAGGTCAAATAGCCAATACCAAAAGGGTACATGCTGTATTATTCCATTTTTATAACATGCTACTAATGACAAAACTAAAGATGAAAAGATTTCTGATTGCCAAGGGTTAGGGCTGAGGAGAGGCTGTGACTATAAAAAGGTAGCATGAGGGAGTTTGCACTGATGCAAAATTCTGAATCTCTTTTTTTTTTTTTTTTTTTTTTGAGACGGAGTCTCGCTGTGTCGCCCAGGCTGGAGTGGCGCGATCTCGGCTCACTGCAAGCTCCGCCTCCTGGGTTCACGCCATTCTCCCGCCTCAGCCTCCGAGTAGCTGGGATGACAGGCGCCCGCCACCTCGCCCGGCTAGTTTTTTGTATTTTTAGTAGAGACGGGGTTTCACCATGTTAGCCAGTATGGTCTCGATCTCCTGACCTCATGATCCACCCGCCTCGGCCTCCCAAAGTGCTGGGATTACAGGCGTGAGCCACCGCGCCCGGCAATTCTGAATCTCGATTGTGGAGGTGGTGACATGAATCAATATATGTGATAAGATTTCTCAAAGCTACATATAAAAACCAAACAAAAATGCATGCATGTTAAAACTGGTGATTTCCAAATAAATTCTGTAGTTAACAGTATTGTAGCAATTTCACTTTCCTGTATTTGGTAATGAATTATGCTTATGTAAGGTGTTGTCTTTGGAAGAAGCTGGGTTAAGGGCATTCAAGAATCCTGGAATATTTTGGTTAGATTTTGTGAATCTAAACTTATTTCAAAATAAAAACTTACAAAAACATCTTATTTATATTAATTTCATAACACCTGATGTTACTTATAAACTTAAACACATTCAAGTATGTTCAATTACACTTATGAATTTAATATACTGTATCCAGTTTCATTCTGAAGTACTTCAGTTATTCTGAAATAACATAAACTTAGAACCAAAGAAATGCAGGAGTTAATCATATAACAAAATGAAGCAGGCAAAAAATATTCCTATATTGTGTACAATATTAAATTTTAATTCATGATTAGAGGAAGTCACAATTTAAAATGTATAAAATCAGTGACAAGGCAACTAGGAATATGGCTCAAGGTATCCTGTTCCCAAATGCACATGAGGCTATTATCTTCCAAGGTTAGAATTGTGACAGAAAGCTCTCATCCATCATTTTGCCAAGGCCTCTTTCTTGCATTAAGTTCTCTGATATTTTCCTGAAAGTCTTGTACATTAAATGTTTTCATAAGTTATTTTCTGCATTATTTCCTGGCACATGATGAGGCAAAACATTTTATTGAAAACCCTGCCATATTCACTGCCAGAGGAAAGTATTTCTCCAGTGTGAACTCTCAATCTATTGAGGTATTATTTTTGGGCAAAGACTTTCCTATAATTATTACATTTCCACCAATTAGTAGTTTATTCATGATCTATGATCACTTCTGAGGGGGTTTATCTTCCCACCAAAGGCTTTCATAGTCTGCCACATTCATAGGGCTTTTCTCAGTATAAAATTTTTAGACATAATGTCCTAAAACATTTTCTCAAATGTTTTGTACTGTTTTCTCTGACACAAAATATGAGGTAATTGATCACTAAACAAACAAACATAGTCTGCATTCACAAAATTACTCTTCTTTGCAGATATCTTGAGGGCCTACATCTGGCAAGAGGCTTTCCCAATATGACTACCTGTGAATTCTCTTGTGTTTAACAAGGATAGACAAGTGGGCAAAAGCTTTCCCACAATCGCTACATCCATAGGGCCTCTCTCCTGTATGTTTTCTTTGATGAACATTGAGCCCTGACTTTGTAGTGAAGGCTTTCTCGCAGTCACTGCATTTGTATGGTTTCTCTCCCGTGTGAATTCTCTGATGTGTAATAAGATCATTTTTGCGCAAAGAGAATTTTCCACATTCAGTGCATGCAAAGGAAGTCTTTCCTGTGTGAAAACGCTGATGTTGTATGAGGCATGTCTTCTTCCTGAAGGTTTTATCACATTCATTGCATTTGTATGGCTTCTCTCCAGTATGAGTTTGCTGATGTATACCAAGAGTACTCTTCATGGTGAAGCCCTTTCCACATTCATTGCATATATAAGGTTTCTCCCCAGTATGAGTTCGCTGATGTGCAATGAGCATGCTTTTGCCAGTTAAGCCTTTGCCACATTCACTGCATACATAGGGTTTCTCTCCTGTATGAGTGCGCCGATGGACATTGAGATGACTCTTCTCAGTGAAGCCTTTTCCACACTCATTGCAAATATAAGGTTTCTCTCCTGTATGAGTTCGTTGATGTCCCATTAGCCGGATCTTTGCTGGAAAGCCTTTTCCACACTCACCACATACATAGGGTTTTTCTCCAGTATGAGTTCGCTGATGCACAATAAGGCGGCTCTTCACAGTGAAACCTTTTCCACAATCATTGCATGTATATGGCTTCTCCGCAGTATGAGTTCGTTGATGTACAATGAGGTCACTCTTCATGGTGAAACCTTTTCGACATTCAGTGCATACATAGGGTTTCTCTCCAGTATGTGTTCGCTGATGTCTGATGAGTGGGCTCTTTAAGGCAAAGCCCTTTCCACACTCATTGCATTTATAAGGTTTCTCTCCAGTATGAGTTCGTTGATGTACCATGAGACAGTGCTTCATTGAAAAGCCTTTTCCACATTCACCGCATGTATATAATTTCTCTTCTGTATGAGTTTGCTGATGTGTGATAAGACTGTTCTTCAAGGTGAAGCCTTTCCCACATTTATCGCATATAAAGGGTTTCTCACCAGTATGAGTTCGAAGATGTGCAGTAAGACGCCTCTTCTCAATGAAGCCTTTTCCACATTCACTACATATATAAGGTTTTTCTCCTGTATGAGTTTTCTGATGTGTAGTGAGACTGAACTTTGTAGAGAAGGCCTTCCCACATACACTGCATCCATGAGGTTTCTCTCCTGTATGAGTTCGTTGATGATAAATGAGCCGACACTTCTTGATGAAGGCTTTCCCACATTCACTACATGTGTAAGGTTTCTCTCCCATATGAGTTTTCTGATGTATATTGAGCTGTGATTTCTTGAGGAAAGTTTTGTCACATTCAGTGCATTCATAATGTTTCAGTCCTGTATGAGTTCTCTGATGGTCCATTAGCCTGGATTTTCTGGAGAAAGCTTTCCCACATATACTGCATACATGAGGTTTTTCTCCAGTGTGAACTCTCTGATGATCAATAAACTGAGACAACTTGAGGAAGGCTTTCCCACATTCACTGCATACATGGGCATTCTCTATGTCATGAGTTCTCTGTTGCTTAACGACCTGGGACTTATTAATAGGTTTTGCAATTGCAGGAAACTTCATTTCAGTATAAAATTGTTTATGGTTAGCATGAAAAAGGGATTTCCCATCTCCATTAAACTCAGCAGAGTTCTTTAGGCCAGAGCTCCTTTTATGGTTTTCAAAACTTAAATTTGATTTTAAAGGTTTTTCATGTAAGTCAAAGGTATCAGGATCTTGCTTCAGCAGGAGATGACTTTTGTTCTGATTAACACTATTTCCAAACATATTCTGTTCATGGCATTGTTTCACACTCTTCTGAATACTTTGATTTTGCAAGTGATGCTGCAGAGGATCATCAATTTTCCTGATTTCTAGGAAAGAAGAGAACAGTCAATCACTCCATCTTCTTGTTTTGAAATAAACTATTTAAACTATTTTTAAAAACTGCCTTGGTGTGAGGTGACTCTTTAGTGAAAACCCTATTTTATTTATTTGTTTTTTGTGTGTGAGCAATGAAGCTTTTTAATAACCTGGGTGCAGGCATACTGAGTCTGAAACTAGGTGCAAGCTTTCAGGCTGAGGTGGGAGGATCACTTGAGCCCAGGAGGTCAAGGCTGCAGTAAGCCTGGGTGACTGATGAGACCTTGTTTCCAAAAAAAAAAAAAAAAAGGGTATGGAGAAACTCAGTATTCAGTATAGGAGAAATAAGAGAACTTAAGAACCACATAGATGCCAATTAGAGACCAGGTTATCATGGGCACAGCATCCAGAGTAGAGAAAATGAGGGAATAATGATTCCCAGAGTGGGAATAATGAAGGAAAATTATTATTTTCCTACTAGGGCATGAAGATGCAGTAGGCAGAAAAAAGTCATGAGTGCAAAGGTCTCTCTTTCTGGAGAGTCCTGGAAAGTGGAATTTCATAGCAAGAGAGGTAATACACAAGCAGAGACAGAGTGACAATGGACAAGAAAAAGCAGATTTGAAAATCCTAAGAAGATAATTATGTAGACAAAACCAAGATGTGTATAAAATAAACAAAGATGAAATCTCAAGGAAAAAAAAGTGGGGGCCAGGCCTGGTGGCTAACGCCTCTAATCTCAGCACTTTGGGAGGCCAAGGTGGGCAGATCATGAGGTCAAGAGATCAAGACCAATATGGTGAAACCCCATTTCTACTAAAAATACAAAAATTAGCTGGGCATGGTGGCACGTGCCTGTAGTCCCAGTTACTCGGGAGGCTGAGGCAGGAGAATCCCTTGAACCCGGGAGGCAGAAGTTGCAGTGAGCCAAGATCGTGCCACTGCACTCCAGCCTGGTGACAGAGCTAGTCTCCATTTCAAAAAAAAAATGAAAGAAAGAAAGAAAGTGGGGCATATTTTCCATACTACAACAAAAAAGAGCTCTTCCTGGGAAGAAGGAGTCATGGAGGGGCTGTTGCTGTGTCTTCAGATGCCCTCACTGCTTTGACGTCTGCTCTGTGTGAGCAGAACATGATGTCTGTGGCTGTCCACCTGGTTGGTCCTCTCACTCACCACAACAGATTCGAGTGTAGATTTCATCTTCTGTTGTGCAAGGTTCTTCTCCTTGTTCCAACTTGGATAGTGCATCTGGTTTGCTGGCTTGATACCCTGTTCATGGGAAATGACAGAAGATTTAGACAAATCGAATGGGGCTGGCAATGTTGAAAAAGGAGAGTGTTACATTTTAAGAACTACACAGGTGTCAAGTCTGTAACATCAAGGCTTTTCTGTCACAAGAAGGTAGATTATACTCTCTTGTGTGGGGCGAGATAATGATGTGAGAATCCACCACTTCAGAGTACTGCAGGTAAGCAGCTGAGAAAGGAAGGCCACTGACTGGGCACCATCTGAGTGACACAGGGCAGCTGTCCTCACCCACTGCCACCAGGTTGCTGTAGTTCTCCAACATCACGTCCCGGTACAGGTCCTTCTGAGCAGGGCCCAGGAGCTGCCACTCCTCCCAGGTGAAGTCCACAGCCACATCCTCCAGTGTTAGGGATTCCTATAATAACACACTCCTGTTTAACGAAGTGATATTCTTTTGCTGATAGGAAAAGAATGTCAAGGAAGTCATTCTGCTCATTTTCCCCATATAGGAAGCTGGTGGGGTTTTTTCCTCAGTATATTGTGACAGAATAAGAATCCTAGTAAAATATTCTGTAATTGTGCAGTCATCCATTCATTCAACAACATTGAAAGTCAAAGAAATGTCTGTAATACACAGCTATCCAATCCTCTTGCTAGTGAAAGAACATCTATAATATATAGCATCTATTTCCCAATACCAAACTAGTTATAAGTATATGCTAGTTACAAGTAGATGAATAATACAGATTCTTAAATTCACTATGAGCTTTCAGGCCAATATCAAACTCTGTAATGAAGACATGCCAGATGCCAGTATCACCAGACAATGCATACTAAATAACTATGGTTAATATAGTTAACCATATTATTATTTTATTCTGAATGAAATAAAAGAAACTATATAAAACACGTATAAAGCACAAAGATTATTAGATGATTAAGCAAATTTATTTTTTTGTTTGCTTGTTTTGTTTTTTAGAGATGGAGTCTCACTCTGTTGCCCAGGTTGGAGTGCAGCGGCACAATCTCAGCTCACTGCAACCTCTGCCTCCCGGGTTCAAGCAATTGTCCTGCCTCAGCCTCCCTAGTAGCTGGGATTACAGGCGCATGCCACCACATCTGGCTTTTTTTTGTATTTTTAGTAGACATGAGGTTTTGCCATGTTGGCCAGGCTGGTCTCATACTCCCGACCTCAGGTGATCCACCCGCCTCGGCCTCCAAAGTGCTGGGATTACAGGCGTGAGCCACAGTGCCCGGCCATGATTAAGCAAATTTGGGGAAAAAAAAATTCCTTAGAATATATATGTAGACACATGTATCCACACAAATTCATATGTATGTGTATGTTATTAGACAGCATTAATAACATTAAATACAATAAAGAAACAGCTACAAGAAATCTACTTTTGCATTTATGAGAAGGCTGCAGTTAAGAACACCAACTACCACAACACCTTTGTGAAGAACTATCAAAGATGTATGTGAGTCTCAGAATTATATGCCACGAAACATTAACATCCCTCAAGAAACTGGACTGCTTTCTCACAGCTGATGTAACTTACCATGATCCTCTTGCATAGCTGTCAGAGATACTAGAGGCAAATTTACAGCCAATGTAACCTACGGGGTCCCACACAGTCACACATTTCAACATGAATCATGTAGTACGAATCCTATGAATAATATATCCCTGATCCTTCTTTGCCCAGACTTCTCCAGGTCCCGATATTTCCAATTTATACTTTTCTGATTAATTACTTTGATTTTTACAAGACTTTAAAAATACAATGGAGAATAAAGGAAGGAATAAAACAAACCAAAAGTCACCTGGGCCTGCATCATTGTCTCCTAAATTTGGGAAATGACTGCTAACTTGGATGTTCTGTATTTGTCTCTTCTGAATCAGCTCTAAATTTCTGTTCAGAAACTTCAATCGCCAATCAGAGATGTCCCCAGCAATGATGACACCCAAGTCTTGGAAACTGCCTCCTTCCTTCACTTGACTTCTCCTGTTCTCAGCACCTGTGGGCTGAAGAGCAAATTACTCTGAGTGGTACATTCTTTTTAGGCCCAGATGTTGTCACTGTTCCTGTATGCTCACCTTAAATCAAGGCCCCCAAATATCTGTCTGTCCTTTTATTTAGTGCTCCAGAAGCTTTTATATCTGGGCTAGTAAAATATAACATTCTGAGTATAGGGGAGGTACAGCACCCTTCCATATAAAGTTGACATAGTATGATTACTGCTAGTAAGTGAAAGAGAATGTGGGAAAAAGAATCATCACACGTGATGCCCAGCAGGAGGGCAATCTTCAGGCAGATCAGTTTTAGGAAAGAGGTCACACAAACAGCTAAGATGCACACATTTTGTCTTTAAAACTATGTATACCCATCTACCTTTTCCAGAGGTCTTTTTACATTCTAGGATGCATATACTATAATTTGAGAACATTGTCCTAAGCAACTGATAAGCACTATCTTATTTAAATTATTCATTACCATCCACATCTTTAACTTTTTTTTTTTTGAGATGGAATCTTGCTCACTCCATCACCCAGGCTGGAGTGAGTAAGACTCCAGTGGTGTGATCTCTGTTCACTGCAACCTCCATCTTCTGGGTTCAAGCGACTCTCCTGCTTCAGCCGCCTGAGTAGCTGGGATTACAGGTGCATGCTACCATGCCCAGCTAATTTTTGTATTTTTAGTAGAAACAGGGTTTCACCAAGTTGGCTAGGCTGGTCTTGAACTCCTGACCTCAAGTGATCCACCCATCTCGGCCTCCCAAAGTGCTGGGATTACAGGCGTGAGCCACTGCACCCGGCCGCCATGCACATCTTGATACTTGCAAAGTATTATAAATGTATAAAGGATACTCAGCAAAAATATCCTTGAGGAATTACATATTACAACAAATCCTAATGGATATTCTTCAAGCAAAAGAAAGATGGCCGGGCGCGGTGGCTCACGCCTGTAATCCCAGCACTTTGGGAGGCCGAGGCGGGTGGATCACAAGGTCAGGAGATCGAGACCATGGTGAAACCCCATCTCTACTAAAAAATAGAAAAAAATTAGCCGGGCGCAGTGGCGGGCGCCTGTAGTCCCAGCTACTGGGGAGGCTGAGGTAGGAGAATGGCGTGAACCCGGGAGGCGGAGCTTGCAGTGAGCCGAGATTGCGCCACTGCACTCCAGCCTGGGCGACAGAGCGAGACTCCGTCTCAAAAAAAAAAAAAAAAAAAAAAAAAAAGAAAGATGACTCCAGTGTAAGCAGAGGAGCAAGGTCTGAAGAGCAACAAAATGGTAAGTAAGTAATAAAATTGAAATCAGCATTGACTGGAAAAATAATAATAATATATCAGGAAGTTTTAACATATATAGTGTTAAAATATTCCATAAGAACATATAAAGTAGGAAGATGGCAAACGAAAAAGTATTTTAAGATGTCTGCATAGCAGAAGAGTATAAAATACTAATTACCATAACATTAAAAAATAAGTTTATATGTTATTCGTAATCAATAGTGTCAGCAATAAAACTAATTTAAAAAAATTATTTCCACATTAAAAGAGAGGTCTATGGTTTCCGTGGCAGCTACTCAACTCTAGCTCAAAAATGCCCATATACAAAAAAAACGGACTAATGATTGTGGCCAGGTCCCAACAAAACTTTATTAACAGAAACAGGCGCTGGGAGATTTAGTCCATGGGCTCTAGTTGCCCAACTGTGAATTAGTGCAGAAAAGCCATATCGTCACCTAAATCAACAGTCAGTAATATAGTATCCAGGACCTGAACCACCTGTTTCGTAAATAAAGTCTTATGGGAACACAGCTAGATGCATTCCATGACATCTCGTCTCAGACTATTGTCACATTACAATGGCAGAGTTGAGAATTTGGGTCTAGAATGCTACTCAGTAGAATGCGGTATAAAAAATCATCAAAGATGACTTTTGAATATAAGGGGCAAATTATCAGTATTTGCCTAAAACGTCTGTATTCCTTTAGTCAGGTGGCTGGATACAGAATTTAAATAGAAAAATCTTATATCCTCCTAAAGTATATACAGATCAAGAGTCAGTATTAAGAGCAGAATAATTCTGGGAATAATTTAACATTCTATTGAAAATTGCCAGTAAAAGTACCCCTGGTAACCCAAAACCCCATTTCTAGAACTTTCTGAAAAGGTAATATTGGCAAAAGTGTGCTATCTGACAGGTCATTTTTACTTTCTTCACTGGATTTTTCATGGGGAAAACACAGGTTTACGTCAGAAAAATATTAGCATTCTACACTTAAAATAAAATTGCTGATGGTAGCTCAGTAATATAAGTTTATGGCTTTAAAAGTTTTCATTAACAGAAAAAAGAGAGAAACAAGGCGGGAGAAAGGGAGAGAAAAAATGAATATACGTACAAATTTTACAAAAGACAAAACCATAAATAATCCTCAGAAATAACCGTGGAGAAAAGATGTTTAACTCCTCTTTTGGCCAACAAGGAAAGAGACACAAGTTTTGCCAATCACACAATGAGCAAGAAGCAGAATCAGGACTGAAAATTCAGGTTTGTTTCACTTCAAAATCCACTTTTACTCCACTTTATACCTAACCAAAATTATCTGTAAATCAGATGCCTCCTTATTAAGTAAATAAAGAAAGCAATTAAAAGACTATTAGTGGCCGGGCACGGTGGCTCACGCCTGTAATCCCAGCACTTCGGGAGGCCGAGGCGGGCGGATCACAAGGTCAGGAGATCAAGACCATTCTGGCTAACATGGTGAAACTCTGTCTCTACTAAAATTAAAAAAAAATTGGCCGGGCGTGGTGGCGGGTGCCTGTAGTCCTAGCTACTTGGGAGGCTGAGGCAGGAGAATGGCATGAACTCAGGAGGCAGAGCTTGCAGTGAGCCGAGACAGCACCACTGCACTTCAGACTGGGCGATACAGTGAGACTCTATCTCAAAAGAAAAAAAAAAAAAAAAGGCTATTAGTAGAATAATTCTAATTGATCATATACAGAATTATTTAGAGGAATGGTACTTATGTCTGTAACTTACTTTGAAATATACCAAAATCGACAACAAATAAGGAATGATTCACAAACAGAGGAATGGATGAATACTTAGAAAACCAGTAGAGCTGATCTAATACAATGTTCATGGTAAAAGCTAGGTGGTAGACATACTGGTAGTAACCTCAAACTTCTTTCAATATTTCCTTAGGTTCAAAAATTTTCACACAAAAATATGTTAGGCAGAGAGAAAAATATTGTAATACTAAGAATTAAGTAAGATGACCAATTATAAAGTAAATATTTAAAATTAATTTATCTTTTGTTATAAATTACAAGGAAAGGGGAGTCAGAAAGCAATACACTGCAATAAAAGTAATAGTCTAGATTGAAGATTAAAGGCAGGAAAAACAAAATTCGTGGATAAATGGATAATCATAAAACGTTCCTAAAAATGATACCTAAACATTTTAAAACATTTCACTTCTATCCAATCGTATGCATAAACTTAATGTGAATGCACTTATAGTACCACCGGCTCAAACAGTAAAAACAACTTGTAAATGTTTATTACATAACATAAAGCGAAAAAGAAAATAGTACCATTTATGTAATTTATCTGAATTATGAATATTAAGCACATAACATACACATCTAAAACTGAAATATTCTAAAAATTTGACAAAGGTTATCTTTGAGTAACCGAGCTTACCATGGCAGAGATGTCATATTACTTGTGTCAGAAAGAACCTGAAAAGAAATATCCAAGAGGAAGACACTGGCAACTTGCAGGACAAACGGTAGAAGCCGCATCTTAAATATAAAACATACTACTTTTAGGTATGCTAGATGATTGATCTCGCCAAAAACTTCCATTTCCGAGGATTCATCACCAAGGGGTGATGGAGGGTGCCAAAGGGGATTTAAAAACCAGTCGTGGAGAAGGGTCTTGGGCAGAAGGGGAATGCTAACGAGCATCAATTCTGTTCCAGCAGCCAGGACTGGGGCTCAACCCACCACCTGCCATGGATCCCAGGCCTCCAGAGTTGCAGCCCACATCGGAATCTGTAGCGCTACCACCACCGTCACTCGGATTAATTCCAAAACCTGGATCAGAAACTTCCATACCTTAACCCCCAAGACAGTTCCTCAATCATTTAGTCCCGAACAAACCTGAACCAGAAACCCATTCACTGAGAAAACAAACCCTCCAGTTCGCAATCACTGAGCCCCGCCAAAGGACAACAGCAAAGACAACAGAATGTGACTTGGGCACTCAGTAGCTGATCTCTAGAGATCTTTAACCACAAACCACACGAGGACCCTGTGACTGGTCCCAGAGGCACCCCGATCTCTCTCTCTCTCTCTCTCTCTCTCTCTCTCTCACACACACACACACACACACACACACCCTATCACGGACCCCTTATAGTTCCCCTGCGATAGGAATCGCACCCACGCTAAGCTCCTGAAAGAATTCCACTGGCGTCGCCAAACGCTGGCGCCGACAGACACCGGTCCATCACCACGGTCAACGAACACGCCCGGCCACGGACAGAATTTCCTCCCCCCGTCACCACAGCGACCGCCCAGTGACTGAACTTACTTCCCAGAACTTGGTCGGCTCTGGCCTCATCTCTCGGCCTCCTCACTGCCTACCGAAGGTAGGAGGCGTTCCCAGCGTTTGCGCAGATGCAACATGGCCGCGCCCTCGTCGCCGTGGGGGCCGCCATCTTTGAGTATCTGAGGTACACAAGGCAAAGGGGCCGTTTTGGCGCTGGTGACCGGAGGTGACGGGGAAGATGAAAGGGCACCGAAACTGGCCCATATCCTGGCACCTCAACCCTTCATAAATACGGTTCCATATACGGAACCTCCAGTTTACACAAGACAAAAATGGCGTGGAGGTAAATCCCTTTCACCGGCTGAATAGAAGGCTAAGATGGCCGCGACGTTTACACTTTGTACTAAGGTTAGGAAACAGTTCCTTGTGAGGGAAAAGGAGAACCGGCCGAGAAGGGACGCCTCCGCCCTTTGGCCGGATTTCTAGCAGAAAGTGGCTTGAAGCGCCTTTTGAACGCAGAAGAGGGCTGCTAGCTACGCTGACGGAACAGGGGTAGCAGTCACAGACTAGGTAATGAAAACGGTTGGAACGTGCCAAATTTATGTTGGGTGAAAGGCATGGGGAAAAGCCAGTAAAAGCCAGAAAGTATAGTTCCCAAGGCGGAGGGGAGAGCCTGGGACCCAGGTGGAGCCAAATATGAGGGCAGGACTCAGGAGAAGTGGCCAGAAATTAAGGGAACAGGACCACTTCAGGGAGAAAGAAAGGTTGGGTAAGAGCCCGGGCACGGTGGCTCACGTCTGTAATCCCAGCACTTTGGGAGGCCAAGGTGGGCGGATCACTCGAGGTCGGGAGTTCGAGACGAGCCTGACCAACATGGAGAAACCCTGTCTACTAAAAATACAAACTTAGCCAGGCATGGTGGTGCAGGCATGTAATCCCAGCTACTCGGGAGGCTGAGGCAGGAGAATCGCTTGAACCCAGGAGGCGGAGGTTGCCGTGGGCCGAGATGGCGTCATTGCACTCCAGCCTGGGCAACAGGAGGGAAACTCCCTCTGGGGGGAGGGGGGCCAGGGGGGGAAGGAAAAAAGAAAAGAAAGGTTAAGAAAGAGATCATATTATACTACGTGTGCCAACTGCGAATAGTATCCGCAAAGTCATGGTAATGCTGAATTGTAAATATAAATCCAACCAAACCTCGTGTATTAGAAGAATAAGGGAAAGGAAATGGCTGTGTGAATTTGTGTGTGTGATACAGATACCAGTATATGAATATACAGAGAAATTATCAAACTAAAGTCCATGTTCCATTTCCTATTCTCACCTTCTTCTCATCGTCGGTATATGAGATATTTTTTTTCTTTTTCTTTTTTTTTTTTTTTATCTCTCTTTTGAGGCAAGGTCCACTCTGTTGCCCAGTCTAGAGTGCCTAGGGAGATCACAACTCATTGTAACTTGGAACTCCTAGGCTCCTGAGTAGCTGGGACTGCAGGTGGGCCCCACCACACCTGGCTAATTTTTAAATTTTCTGTAGAGACGGGGGTCTCACTGTGTTGCCCAGCTGGTCTTGAACTGGCATCAAGCAGTCTTCCCACTTCATCCTCCAAAAGTGCTGGGATTACAGGTGTGAGCCACTTCACCCTTCACATGACCTATAAAGAGATCTGAAAAGAAAGAAGAAAAAAGATGGGTGCGGTGGCTCACGCCTGTAATCCTAACACTTGGGAGGCCTAAGCGGGAGGATTGCCTGAGCTCGGGAGTTTGAGACCAGCTTGGCCAACACGGCCAAACCCCATATCTACTAAAAATACAAAAAAAAAAAAAAAAAAAAAAAAAAAAATTAGCTGGGCATGGTGTCCCAGGCCTGTAGTCCCATTTAGGAAGGCTGAGGCCCGAGAATCGCTTGAACCCGGGAGGCGGAGGTTGTAGGAGACTCGCTTGAACCCCGGAGGCGGAGGTTGCAGTGAGCCAAGATAACTGCCACTGCACTCCAGCCTGAGAGACAGAGCGAGACTCTTGTCTCAAAAAAATACAAATAAGGAAAAGATGATCAACTTAAAAGCTCCCTAAAATTTCCTATAAATAGCTGAAGGAAATAAACAGGACACATTTTTTTAGTGTAAATGATCCTAAAGAATTTTTAAAATACCAGTTTTACTAATATTCAAACAAATGCAAAGTAAACGTGAAATATAAATGTTTTAACCCTTATTAAGATTCTTAAAGATTGAATGACAAATCATATTTAGATTATAAGGCCATGGAACAAAGGCATTCTGTTATGCTAAGCCTCTTTAAGTCTTCTTTTTCTGCATGTTAGGTAATAATGTTGTCTATCACATGCAACTTTAAATGAAGTATTGTCATACTTGTCATAATTCAAGGTTCTTAAGCATTACATTATTTCTAGGTATAGGATTGTGTTTCTATATAAATTAGTAAAATGTTTTTGTAGTACAGTCCGTTATTACCCAGTTTAAACTTTTCCTTCTCTCTGAGCCCTGAATTTTAAGAATTGATTCAATAGAACTTTTCTTTGTGAGAACAAATATGTGCAAGGATATTTATGGTGTTGATCTAACATGTATAAGGAAATAATTTTGTGGTTATTACATTAATTTATTTTTACATCTCTATATTCACATCTTTGGATAGTATTCTCCATAGTGATTGACCACTGTGTCCAATAGGACAGTAGCAAGCGTAACACAAACAGAGGTGAGAAATAAGCTTGCTCATCGAGGCTTGCTTGTCTCTTGGAGATCTTCTAACACATTGTAATAAAGCCCAGACTAGCCTCTTGTTGACTGTGTAAATAAAGCCCTCATCCATTCCAGCAGAAGCCCAAATATGTGAAAACAACTGTTTAGACCATGCAGCCCCAGTCAAAATCCAACCACTAGGGCCTCCAGCCCAGCAGTCCCAATTGTTACTAAACTCTGTGGACAGGCATAATGCCATGAGTGGGTGGGAGTCACCTAATCTGCCATCCAAGTGCGTATCCCTGCTCCTAGCCAAGCAGGACTTGCCAGCTTAGGCAGTGTCTAAGTAGGGAGGGGCCCTCACTCTTGGATCACCATAAGAGGTGAGACAGTAGGGTCTGCAGGACATTGGAAAAGTCCGACGTGCCTTCCTCTCTAGGGCCACCTGGCAAGGCTACAGTTGTCTACAAACAGTGATCTCTGCCTGAGGGAGCCCCGTGAGCAGAGGATGCCCAAGGTCTTGGGAACCCACCGCTTGCGCTAGATTTAATGACTACCCTGCTGGGTTTTGAACTTGTATGGAGCCTGTAGTCCCTTTCTTGTGGCTTTCTCCCTTTTGGAAGGGGAATGTTTACCCAATGTCTGTACCCCCATTGTATCTTGGAAGTAAATAACTTTTGATTTTACAGGCTCATAGGTAGAAGAGACTTGCCTTGTCTCAGATAAGATTTTGGACTTTTGAGTTAATGCTGGAATGAGTTAAGACTTTGGGGGACTCTTAGGAAGGCATGATGGTATTTTGCAATGTGAGGACATGAGATTTGTGGGGGAGGGGGACCAGAGGCTGAATGATATAGTTGGGATATTTGTCTCTGCCCAAATCTCACATTGAAAAGTAATTCCCAATGTCAGCTGGGCGTGGTGGCTCACGCCTATAATCCCAGCACTTTGGGAGGCCAAGATGGGCAGATCACAAGGCCAAGAGATCAAGATCATTCTGGCTAACATGGTGAAACCCCGTCTCTACTAAAAAAAAAAAAAAAAAAATTTAGCTGGGTGTGGTGGCACACGCCTGTAGTCCCAGTTACTTGGGAGGCTGAGGCAGAATGGCATGAACCCAGGAGGTGGAGCTTCCAGTGAGCCAAGATCATGCCAGTGCACTTCAGCCTGGGCGACAGAGGGAGACTGTCTCAAAAAAAAAAAAAAACAAGAAATGTAATCCCCAATGTTCAAGGTGGGGCCTGGTGGGAGGTGTTTCAGTCATAGGGGCAGATCCCTCATGGCTTGATGCTGCCCTTGCAATAGTGAGTGAGTACTAGCAAAATCTAGCTATTTGAGTGTGCAGCACCTGCCCCCTCCACTCTGTCTTACTCCTGCTCCCTCTTCACCTTCCACCATGATTATAAGCTTCCTGAGGCCTCCCCAGGACCAGATGCCAGTGCTATGCTTCCTGTACAGCCTAGAATCATGAGCCAATTAAACCTCTTTTCTTATAAATTATCCAGCCTCAAGTATTTATTTATAGCAATGCAAGAATGGCCTAAAACATGCTGTCTCTACAAAAAAAAAAAAAAGTCAGGCATGATGGTGCACACACGTAGTCCCACCTACTTGGGAGACTGAGGCAGGAGGAACACTTGAACCCAGGAGTTTGAGGCTGCAGTGAGCTAAAATTGCACCACTGCACTCCAGCCTAGGCAACAGAGACTCTTTTTTTTGGTTTTTGTTTTGTTTTGTTTTCAGACAGAGCCTTACTCCGTCGCCCAGGCCTGGAGTGCAGTGGCAGGATCTCAGCTCACTGCAACCTCTGCCTCCCAGGTTCAAGTGATTCCTGCCTCAGCCTCCCAAGTAGTTGGGATTACAGGCGCCAACTGTAGAGCACCCGATCCTGTCGCTGTTCGGGGCGCCACTATGTAACCCACACAGACCTAGGGGGACTGAAAAAAGTGGGGGAAATGGGAATAAAAGAGACAAAAGAGTATCTTTGGAAGAAGGGGTCAGGGGACACCTTGCCTCTAGTGGACAAGGGCCCTGAGCTTTACACGGCCCTCTGTATTTATTAGGCAAAAGAGAGATAGTGAAAAGCAGGGTGGAAGAAGAGGTCAGCTGCTCGGTCCAGAGTAGGGTTTGCAAGACGGCATTCTCTAGATGGCCCAGTAGATAACCTCAAGGAGCTTGGCACTAGGAAGCAACTGCCTTCAGCAAACCTTCTGGCAGTGGAAACAGTCAGGAGTTTGCCCACATCCTGCATTCATGATAAACAGTTTGCTGTTTGATCACACAGCCTCCAGTGGAATGCTGAGTTGGTCACATCCCACGGGCCTTCAGCTCCCAACAGCCCACCACCAGGCCCAGCTAATTTTTTGTGTGTGTTTTTAGTAGAGACAGGGTTTCACCATGTTGGCCAGGCTGGTTGGTCTTGAACTTCTGACCTCAAGTGATCCGCCTGCCTTGGCCTCTCAAGAGACCCTATCTCTTAGAAAAAAAAAAGAGGTTAAGATTGTAAATCCTAAAAAAAAAAAAATCAAAAGCAAAATTCTATATGTAGATTTCACAGCATCTTTATTTATAACACTTAAAACCAGGAAAACAGTGCAAATATCTCTCATAGGTGAATGGATAAACTAGTACATCAAATATGTATACTACTCTCTAATATAAACAACTTCCATCTGGTTAGATACATGGTGGTAAAAAAATAATAATAAAACAACTATTCATCAACTCATATAAACCTTAGGAGTAATTTGCTGAGTGACAAAAATGCCAAAAGCTTACATACTCTCTATCAATAAAAATTTATATAACTTATTTATTTATATAAAATTTACAAAAACCATTTACAAAAACAATTTTATCACATTCATGAAATGATGAAAATTATACTGACAGGAGAAAAGTGGTTGGCAGTTAGGTTTGGATGGAGTGTAAGCATAAAAAGGTAGCATGAGGAAGTTTGTGTTCATTAGTTTTATGTGGTTGCAGTGGTTACACGAATCTATACATGTAATACAACTTCTTAGAATACAAACTAGGCCGGGCGCGGTGGCTCAAGCCTGTAATCCCAGCACTTTGGGAGGCCGAGACGGGCGGATCACGAGGTCAGGAGATCGAGACCATCCTGGCTAACACGGTGAAACCCCGTCTCTACTAAAAAGTACAAAAAACTAGCCGGGCGAGGTGGCAGCGCCTGTAGTCCCAGCTACTCGGGAGGCTGAGGCAGGAGAATGGCGTAAACCCGGGAGGCGGAGCTTGCGGTGAGCAGAGATCGCGCCACTGCACTCCAGCCTGGGTGACAGAGCCAGACTCCGTCTCAAAAAAAAAAAAAAAGAATACAAACTAAAAAAGAAAGAATCATGTAAAACTTAGTCCAAATCCCAAATAAGATTAGTTTACTTTATAGTATCCTACCAATGTTGTTTTTCTGGTTTTGATAATTATGGTTATGTAGGATGTTTTTCCTAGAAGTTGGTTGAAGGATACTAGCAAAGCCTCTAGATTAGTTTGGCAATTTCTTTTGAGTTCAAATTTATTTAAGTTGAAGGTGGTTTTATAAACTGATCGTCTGTATAATCTTAGTCAAGCAAGTCCAAATATGTTATGTTAATATATTTAACATATTCAGTTTCTTTTTAAACTACTTTAGTTTGCTTAATGGACAATTAAGCTTAGCGCCAAAGACAGGAAAAAAGCTAATCATAATATGGGGTGGTGGTTCTGGGGTATTTTCTGACACCAATAAATTATCTAATTCCCCCACACCAACTGGGTATTCTACAAGTCAGTTCTGACACCAACTTCTCCAAGTTAGTGCAGGCTCCACAAGTTAAGGGGTTCAGTCCAAACTGCCCCCACATCAGATGCCACTCACAAGGAGAACCTGCAGTTCTGAATGGTGATAAATTCCGAGTTCCCACTACCCCTACTCAGGTTTGATAATTTGCTACAGGGCTCACAAAACTCAAGAAAACAGTGTACGTTGTTTTACTGGTTATAAAGGATGCAAATCAACACTCAAATGAAGAGGTACATAGAGTAAAACCTAAAAAGGGTTCCCCTAATCTTAGGAGCCACTATCCCTATGAAGTTGGGGGTGCACCACCCTCCTGAGCTATTTGGAGTTCTCTTAATCTCACTGTCTAATCTCATCTCCAGCCCCCCTCCCCTTCCAGGAGGTGGGACAAATGGGCACAAAGTTTCCATCCTCTAGTTAACTTGATCTTCCTAGGGAACAGCCCCATTCTGAAGCTGTCTAGGCACCAACCATAAGTCACCTCAGTAGTATAATCAGGTGTAATTAAAAGGGCAGTGCTATGAATAACAACAGCAGCAAAAACCAGCCAAACAAAAAAAAAAGCCCACTCCTATCACTCATGAAATTCTAAGGGTTTTAGGAGCTCTGTGCCAGGAACCAGGAACAAAGACCAAATGTATTTCTTATTATACCACAATTTTACAAAACAGTAAAAATAAACAGTAATGAGACACAGTATATTATGGAATCATTGGCAAGGCAACTAGAAATGAGGATTAAGGTATCCTGTCTGAAAATGCACACCAGGTGTATTAGCTGATATTTAAGGTTATACTTATTAAGCACTCAAATATTCATCATTTTCACCACATTTCATGCCTTCATGAGCTCTTGATATTTTGCTAAAGGTGTTCCACATTTATTTGATAGCATGTTCGGAACAATTTTACTTTCTATGTGATCTCCTGACAAATGATGAAGCTGAGTGAGTCACTGAAATCCTACCATTAATACTGTCACCTTGAAGTTATTCTCCAGTGTAAACGTTGACACTCACTGAGGTCATATTTCTGAGTAAAGGCTTTGTCATGGTCATCATGTTTCTATCAACAATAAGCTCACTTACACTGAAATCTATGATGACACCTGATAATAAATCTATCTTTCCACAGACTTTTCCTAGTCTCTGCATTCACAGAATTTCTCTGTATACTTTTCAGACATATGAGCAGAAATTATTGCTGAAAACATCTCCACATTAATATAGTTTATTCAACATGTTTTCATTGACAGAAAATATGAGGTAAAAGACCACTAAAGGCACTACCTTATTTACTGTATTCATCAAGTTGATCTCTAGGGCAAATTATTTTAACTCCCGAGGACAGACACACATCTGTCAACAGGCAGCACCATGTTTATGTTCCAATTGGCTAGAAACACACCGATGTTTAATGAAGTCTGAGTTGCCACAAAAGGCATTTCCATAGTCACTGCACTAGTAGGGTTTTCTTTTTTTTTTTTTTTTTTTTGAGACTGAGTTTCACTTTGTCACCCAGGCTGGAGTACAGTGGCGTGGTCTCAGCTCACTGCAAGCTCTGCCTCCTGGGTTCACACCATTCTCCTGCCTCAGCCTCCCTAGTAGCTGGGACTACAGGCATCCGCCACCACGCCTGGCTAATTTTTTGTATTTTTAGTGGAGATGGGGTTTCACTGTGTTAGCCAGGATGGTCTCCATCTCCTGACCTCGTGATCCACCCGCCTTGGCCTCCCAAAGTGCTGGGATTACAGGCGTGGGCCACTGTGCCTGGCCTCACTGCACTAGTAGGGTTTTCATTCTGTATGAGTTCACTTGTAAGGAAGGAGCTGTGACTCTTCATTACAGGAGTTTTCAACTTGACCGATTCTACCCATTTCTCTTGTGTGCATTTTCTTATGTTTGACAAGGTTTGATAAGTGGGAGAAGGCTTTCTCACAATCACTGCATCCATACGGCCTCTCTCCTGTATGCGTTCTTTGATGTACATTGAGTACTGACTTTGTGGTGAAAGCTTTTCCACATTCATTGCACTCATAAGGTTTCTCTCCTGTGTGAATTCTCTGATGGGTAATGAGACCATATTTGTGTGAATAGGATTTTCCACACTCAGTACATACAAAGGGAGTCTTTCCTGTATGACATCTCTCATGTTGTATGAGGCATATTTTCTGGCTGAAGGCTTTACCACATTCATTGCATTCATAGGGTTTTTCTCCTGTATGAGTTCGCTGATGTATAATAAGAGTGCGCTTTGTGGTGAAGCCTTTACCACATTCATTGCATATGTAAGATTTCTCTCCTGTATGAGTTCGCTGATGTATAATGAGAGTGCGTTTGACAGTGAAGCCTTTTCCACATTCGCTGCATATGTAAGATTTTTCTCCTGTATGGGAGCGCTGATGTACAATGAGATTGCTCTTCACGGTAAAGCCTTTTCCACATTCACTGCATATATAGGGTTTCTCTCCAGTATGAGTTCGCTGATGTACAACAAGATAGCGCTTCATGGTGAAGCCTTTTCCACATTCACTGCATATATAGGGTTTCTCCCCTGTATGAGTTCGCTGATGTACAATGAGATTGCTCTTCACAGTGAAACCTTTTCCACATTCATTGCACACATAAGGTTTCTCTCCACTATGAGTTCGCTGATGAGCAATTAGATAGCGTTTCATTGTAAAGCCCTTTCCACACTCACTGCACATATAGGATTTCTCTTCTGTATGGGTTTGTTGATGTGCAATGAGACTACTCTTCACAGTAGAGCCTTTTCTATATTCATTGGGTATACAGATTTTGTCTCTTGTATTAGTTTTCAGATGCTTAGTGAACATGACACTTCTGGATAATTTCTCACATTGACCACTTCCAGGATTCTCTGGTATATGAATGTTCTCATGGTAAATGAGCTGAGACTTCCTAAGGAAGGTTTGCTCACATTCAATACATGCATGGGGTTTCTCAATTTTCTGAGTCCTCTGATGCTTAAAGACTTGGAATTTAGTATGGATGCATTTTGCATTTTCAGAAAATCTAGTTTTAGCATGCATACATTCGTGCTTAAGCGTTTTCTCACCTCCAATAAACTCAACAGGGTTATTTATTCCATGTCTTCTCTTCTGGTTTATTAAACTTAAACTTGATTTCAAATTTTTTCTGTACAAGTCAAATGTATCATGATTTTGCACTATAGGAAAATGTGTCTTGCTGAGATGTACAGTATTTCTAAGTGTATTCTGTCCATTGCATTGCTGCACGCTCTTCAGAAGTCTTTGGTTTGGAGAGTGTTCTTGCAGAAGACTGTCAACTTTCCCGATTCCTAAGAATGAACAGAATAACAAATTCTTCCATGAGAATTGTATGAGATAAAAATGCTTATGAGGCCAGGCACGGTGGCTCATGCCTGCAATCCCAGCACTTTGGGAGGCTGAGGCGGGCGGATCATGAGGTTAGGAGTTTGAGACCAGCCTGACCAATGTGGTGAAACCCCATCTCTACTAAAAATACAAAATTAGCTGGGCATGGTGGCAGCTACTCCCAGCTACTCAGGAAGCTGAGGCAAGAGAATCGCTTGATCCCAGGAGGCCGAGGTTGCAGCGAGCTGAGATTGCCCCATTGCACTCCAGACGGGGGGGGACAGAGCGAGACTCAGTCTCCAAAAAAAAAAAAAAAAAAAAAAAATGCTTATGAGATGATTTGCTGGGGGCTGGCTCTTTATTGTCAACTCCATGATCCCAGTATAAAAGGAAATTATGAAGATATAAGCTGAAATAAGTAAGAATCAGATCCAAGAAAAGACAAAAAGTCTTTAAAGCTATAACAACATTAAAAAAGTTATCAGATGGGGAGATGAATATATGGTAGCCTCAGATACTTCCCATCTGTGGCACCTTTCCTTAATGACTACAATAAGACTCCTATAGCCACTGTCCTTGCTGGTTCTCACTTACCTGGACAATTTTTATTCTGGATTTTAGCAACTGTTATCCACGGTTCTTGTCCATGTGCCAACTTGGAGAGTACATCTGGTTTGCTAGTTTGATACCCTGTTCATGAGGAAAGACAAACACAAACATACTGAACTGGAGTCCAGTATGTCAAGATGGGAAAATAATACATGCGATGAAGAAAACAATTTCAAAGTAAGCATTCTCTCTTAGAAGAGATTATACCACTTTGGGGTCAGAGAGGGGACTGAAAATATAACTCTTCCAAACACCACAGTGACTGTAAAGCTTTGATTAGGTGAGCACAGGACAGGTCTGGGCATTGTAGGCACCTCTAGGTGACACAGGGGAACTATTCTTACCCAGTGATACTAGGTGGTTATAGTTTTCCACCATCACATCCCGGTACAGGTTCTTCTGAGCAGTGTCCAGGAGCTGCCACTCCTCCCAGCTGAATTCCACAGCCACGTCCTCCAGGGTCAGTGATTCCTGTAATTACAAAGTCCTATTTAATATGATATAAACTCCTATTGTTAATATAGAAGGATATATATTTTTTTTAATTTCACAATACAGCCTGCATCTATATTCCTTTCTCAAATATACTTTGGTAGGAGCAAAATCTTCTATCTATACATATTAGCACCTATTTCTAAATATTAAACATAGGCAAATGACATCAGGACAAATAAAACATCCCTACATTACTAATGACATCACGGCCAATATGAGGATCTGTCATGAATAGACTCCACATCTTGAATTTAAAAAATAGTGCTCTTAAATAAATGTAAGAGAAAAGAAGAAACTGTATAACTATAAAGCACAAAAGGCCCTTAAAGTTGATTAGATTTTATTTTTTAATTTTTAAAGAGACAGGGTCTTGCTCTGTAGCCCCAAATGCAGTGCAGTGTCACGGTAATAGCTCAATGAAACCTTGAACTCCTAGGCTCAAGCGACCTTCCGACCTCAGCCTCTCAAGCAATTAGGACTACAGGTGGATGCTACTACCAATTTTTGTAGACAGGGTCTTGTTATGTTGACCAGGCTGGTCTTGAAGTCCTGGCCTCAAGTGATCCTCCTGCCTCGGCCTTTCAAAGTGCTGGGATTACAGGTGTGCGCCACTGTGCCCAGCAAAAAAAAACTCCTAACAGAAAAACATACGTACATATGTGTATTAATGGACAGATTAACAGCATATTAGATACTCTAAAGATTATTGGTGAATTGGAATATATAACTGTGGAAATGGCAGAAAATGCAGTACAGAGAAAAAGAGATAAATCGTAACAAAGAAGTTAATAAATATGAAATACAGAGTTGCAAGACCCAATGTATGCCCACTTATGGTTTCTAAAAGGGAAAATAGTATAATAGAGAAGCAATATCTATTAATAAATATCTAAAACCTAAAATATTTCAGGACTAAATACCTCAAATCTCAAATTCAGAAATCCCAACAAGTTCAGAGCAGGAAGTCACAACTGGTGTGACACATCAGACTGAAACTACCATACATCAAATGCAAAGGGAAAACTATAGAATCATCAAGAGACAAAAGACAGATTACCTACAAAGAAATAACAAAATATACTGATGGCTGACATTTCAATAATAGAATCCAGAAACGTATGGAATACAATCTTCAAAGTCCTGATTCTTGCAACAAAAAAGGCCAATTTTGGATGACCATTTAGGATTAAAACACATGGCTAGCAGATGACTTGCTGTCTTACAACTGTGATATGAAGGACCTCTTTGTCAACTAAACTGTCATTCTCCTGCTTCACAATAACTTTTCAGAGAACTACAAAGTGTAAAGTAGAGGTAACTAAGATCCAAGGAAATACTGATAAGAGAATCTATCCTATATTACTGTGTGGGATGCTGCATAGTCAAGAAAGTAGACTCATGAGAGAGCACAACTGCTCAAGCCTGGTCAGCTTATCTCATTCCAAAATCTTTATGTGAGATGTCTATTGACTGGGTAAGTATAAAGTTAAATTTCTACCTCACTCCACTGTCCAAAAGAATTTATTACTGGGTGGAAATCTTGCAGGCCAACTCTTAAGGTGGCCTCTGATAATTTCATTCTCTAGCTGCAGTGACTTCTGACATCAATTACCTGGGTTAGGCCAAACTTCCCAGGTTAAAAGCACAATCCTCCACAAGACTGCCCTCACTTCAGACACAAGCTGCAAGCTTAAGGCTACACAGACCACCCTCAACTCCAACGAGCTGGCTACAAATGTGTGGAGCTACCATGACTCCCTCAGGTTTAATAATTTGATAGAACAACTCAGAGAACCCAAGAAAGTGCTGTGTTTACAATTAGCACTTTACTATTGCAAAATGACACAAATCAGAATCAGCTAAAGGAAAATATGCACAGGGTGAGGTCTGGGAAGGTTCCAAACATAAAGCTGCTGACTGTCCTCTCCTCATGGAGTCCTGGGTGGCATTACATCTTCCTGACTACATCATGTAACAATATTCAAGAGTACTTGCCAACCAGTGAGGCGCACCCAAACTTTGATGTCCAGAGATTTTATTGAGACTTCATTATGTAGGCACAGTTTACTAAAGCATTGCCCATGTAGCTGAGTTCCATCTACAGTTCCCTCCCCTTCCTGACTGGTATTACATGGCTCAAAGCCACAACTCTCTAATCACATAGTGCTGTTTTTGGCATGGGCAGCCCCTATCCAGAGTCATGTCACTGCCATAAATTATCTAGGGACCCACTATGAGTCACCACTGTACACATAGATATAAACTATCAAATATGAGTGGGCCACTGTGAATGACACAGACACTAACTTGGGTAATTACAAGGGTTTAGAGGTTACCTCCCAGGAACGAAAACAAAGGCTAGCCAAATGCTTTAGTACACTCTAGGTGTTCCTGCCCCTGTGCAGTACCATCCTCCTGAGTATCAAATGGCCTAAAAGCTTGTTTCTAAAGAAAAGAATACAGCAAAAGTGATGAGATGCCACTTTAAGATTACACTCTTTATGACTTCCATCTTGCTAGCAGAAGCTGTCATTTTCTAGCTTTGATTAAACAATTTGGCACATAGGGGAGGTGCATGTGGCAAAAAACTAAAGGTGGGCTTAGACAAACAGACAGGTAGAAACTGAGGACCCCAACAAAACTGCTTCATTTCTCATTCTGGAAATGAATCCTCCCAACAACCACATAAGTGAGCTTAGAAGTGCATCTTTTCCCATTTTAGCCTTCAGATCAGATTCCAACCCAGTTAACACCTTGATTACAACCACATGAGAGACTGTGAACCAAAGTAGCCAGCTAAGCCATGCTTTTATTCCTGAGCCACAGAAAGTGTGAGATTTTTTTTTTTTAGTGTTGTTTCAAGTCACTACATTTTGGAGTAATTTGTTAGCTACTAACAGGCAATGAATATAAGATATAAACTTAAGAAGAACTCGGCCGGGCACGGTGGCTCACGCCTGTAATCCCAGCACTTTGGGAGGCCGAGACGGGCGGATCACGAGGTCAGGAGATCGACACCATCCTGGCTAACACGGTGAAACTCCATCTCTACTGAAAATACAAAAATTAGCTGGGCGCAGTGGCGGGTGCCTGTAGTCCCAGCTACTTGGGAGGCTGAGGCAGAAGAATGGCGTGAACCCGGGAGGCGGAGCTTGCAGTGAGTGGAGATCAGGCCACTGCACTCTAGCCTGGGTGACAGAGCGAGACTCCGTCTCAAAAAAAAAAAAAAAAAAAAAAAAGAAGAACTTAGGAGGCCAGAAGTCGGGCACATATCTGTAATCCCAGTAATTCCAGAGGACAGTTTGAGCCCAGGAGTTTGAGACCAACCTGGGCAACATAGTGAGACCCTGTCTCTACTCTCAACAAAGAACAAAAAATTAGCTGGGTGTGGTACTGGATGCCTGTGGTCCCAGCTATTCAGGAGGCTAAGGCAGGCAGATAGTACTTGAACCCAGGAGATTGAGGCTGCAGTGAGCCATGATTGTGCTGCTGCACTCCATCCTGGGGAAGAGAGCGAGTCCCTGTCTCAAATAAAGAAAAAAAAAAAAGGAATAAAAACATGTTGATGATATAAGTAAAAAGCTTTAAAAAAAAAATGACTCCTGCATGGGAAAAAATATTTTGAACAAGCTAAAAGAGAAGTAAGACTCTAGAAAAATATTTGCAACATATAAAAGAATCAATATCCAGTCAAGATAAACAATTATAAATCAGTAAGACCACAAAAAAATTAAATGAGCAAAGACTAAAGACACTTTATCACAGAATAAATAATCCAAAGAAACAACAAAGAGATGAGAAGGATCTGAACCTCACTGGTGAAACAAGGCAAAATAATACTGGATCATCTAGATCATGGAAAATACACAATTTGATAACATAGTAAGTGTTGGCAAGATTTGCAGCACTGAATGTTCTTTTTGTGCAGTGTTTTCCAACACTAACAACCAATTCTCCAATTATCTAAACATCAACTAGATGTCCAACAATTCAATTCAATTCTGACACTATCTATGTCAGAATCCACAGATTTAAGGGTTCAATCCCACAAGACTGCCCCCTCTTGAGCTCCTCTGCCCGGCCGCCCCACTGTCTGGGAAGTGAGGAGCGCCTCTGCCCAGCCGCCCCATGCCCCCACCACCGCCGCCACCACCACCACCTTCTGGGAAGTGAGGAGCGACTCTGCCTGGCCCCTCGCACTGCCTGGGAAGTGAGGAGCGCCTTTGTCTGGCTGCTGTGTGACCCTCCAAGTGTGAAGTGACAGCCTGTGTGTGATTTTTCTGCCCTCCCCAAGTTTGCATTTGACATTAAAGTTTACTTTTCAATTAAAAGTTTTAAATTGGAGAATATATATTTAAATAAACAAATAAATAAATAAATAAACTGCCTCCTCTTAAGATGCCAGTCACCAGTCCTGGGCTACCAGTTTCTGACTAACTGGCTATAAATTTGAGGCTCCCACAAACCCCTCCTCAGGTCTGATAATTTACTAGAACAGCTCATAGAAGTCAGGAAACACTTTACTTATGGTACCTAGTTAATAATAAAGGATATAACTCAGGAACAGCCAGATTGAAGAAATGCATAGGGCGAGATATAGAAGAGGGCATCCAAGCTTCCATTCCCCTCTGGGTGTGGCATCCTCCCAGCACCCTGATATGTTCACCAACCTGAAACTTGTTCAAGAGTTCAAAAAATTAGCTGGGCGTGGTGGCGGGTATCTATAGTCCCAGCTACTCAGGAGGCTGAGGCAGGAGAATGGCGCGAACCCAGGGGCGGAGCTTGCAGTGAGCCGAGATCCTGCCACTGCACTCCAGCCTGGGTGACAGAGTCAGACGCGGTCTATTTAAAAAAAAAAAAAAAAAAAAAACAAAACTCGCAGCCTGGGCGACAGAGCAAAACTCTGTCTCAAAAAAATAGTTATAACAAATAAAACTCTTTCTTTTTTTTTGAGACGGAGTCTGACTCTGTCACCCAGGCTGGAGTGCAGTGGCACGATCTCAGCTCACTGCAACCTCCACCTCCCGGGTTCAAGGGATTCTCCTGCCTCAGCCTCCCGAGTAGCTGTGACTACAGGCGTATGCCACCACACCCAGCTAATTTTTGTATTTTTAGTAGTGACAGGGTTGTTGGCCAGGATGGTCTCGATCTCTTGACCTCATGATCTGCCCAGGATTACAGGCGCGAGCCACCAAGCCCGGCCTGTTCAAGAGTTTTTATAGAACTTACTCTCCAGTCTATTCTTCCTTTCAGTTCCAATCCTCTAATTGCTTAGTCTTTCTGGGGACCAGTCTCATCCTGACACTATCTAGCGGTCTCATAATTAGTCACCTTATGAGCAGAAACTCAGGTGTATTGCAGGGGCTCCTTATGAATAACAAAAGACACACCTATTCCTCAGGAAGAAATTCCAAGGGTTTTAAGCATACTGTGCCATGAACTGGGAACAATGACCAAATATACTTCTTATCCATGTCACTTTCTATATACCAGACTGTGAAAAATAAATATACATTTGGTCTCTGCCCTCCAAATCTTTGGAATTGCTGAAGTGTCTTTTATATGCTATTGAGATTACTGGTGCCTGGGGCTCTTCCATGGCCTCAGGAAGGGAGCTGGTTGCCAGGCGAACCAACCTTGTGATAGACAGTTGGAACTTTCAGTCCCACCTCTCCAACCAACCCCTGACCTCTGTGGAAGGGAGAGGTGATGGAAATTGAGCTTACCACCAATAGTTAATGAATTAATAAATTATGCCTATGTAATGAATCCACCATAACAATAAAAGGTTGAGGTTGAGAGCTTCCAGGCTGCTGAACATATGGCAGTCCTGGGAGGGTAGAACACCCAGAGAGGGCATGGAAGCTCTGTGGCCCTTCCCCATTATCTGGACCTATGCATCTTTTCCAACTGGCTGTTCCTGAGTTGTACCCTTTCATAATAAGCCAGTAATCTAGTAAATAAGCTGTCTTCCTGCATTTTTTGAGCCTTCTAGCAGATAAATAGATCTGAGAAGGGGGTTGTGAGGACATCCAATTGGTAGCCAAGTCGAATAGAAGTTGTGAGTAACCTGGGGACCCAGCACTTTTCAGGGGGGCAGTCTGGTGGGACTGAGCCCTCAACCTGTGGGGTCTGTCCTAAGTCCAGGCAATTAGTGTCAGAATTGAGTAAATTTTAGAATATCTAATAGGCATGGAGAATTGAATTGATGTGTGGGAAAAACCCCACATATCTGGTGTCAGAAACACTGTCTGAGGATAGACAGTAAAACTGTTGTTCCTGCACATAGATACTCTTCTAAATGGATAGACAGTAAAACTGTTGTTCCTGCACATAGATACTCTTCTAAATGCTTTATATAGATTAACTCATTTTATGTCCTAACTTACTACATAGGTGCCATATCATTATCCCTCTTATAGATGAGAAAACTGGGTACATATGCTAAATGAAGTATGCGAGGTCACACAGCTGGCAACTGGCTCCAGAGTCAACACTTTTGACCATATGCCACACTAACCATAAAGTGGAATGTACATTTTGACAGCAACTGAAAGTATGCATTAAAATAAAAAATGACTACATCCTATAATTGATTTATCTGTAAATACTGATATAATTTCACAAAATTATCCTCAAGTAATACTGATATAATTTCATTAAAAAAAGCCACTAACACGACCATGTAAAACCTTTTTCATAGTCATGTGGTTTATAATAACATGCCTAAAAAAAAAAAAAAAAAAAAGGTGGGCACAATGGCTCATACCTGTAATCCCAGCACTTTGGGAGGCCAAGGCAGGCAGATCATGAGGTCAGGAGATCAAGACCATCCTGGCTAACACAGTGAAACTCCGTCTCTACTAAAAATACAAAAAATTAGCCAGGCGTGGTGGCGGGCGCCCGTAGTTCCAACTACTTGGGAAGCTGAGGCAGGAGAATTGTGTGAACCTGGGAGGCGGAGCTTGCAGTGAACCAAGACTACGCCACTGCTCTCCAGCCTGGGCAACAGAGCAAGACTCTGTAGGAACCTAGTTTTTAGATTCCTTCCTGGGCTGGGGTCATCGCGAGAGACCACTCGACACGGAAATCACAGCGGAGAGATTTATTGCTAGCGCGCTAGGGTCCTATGTCCGAAGTTGGCCACAGGACCCCGAATGCCTAGTACAGACAGTTTATAAAGGCAAAAACCGCAAAAATTCACAAAGCTTGAGGCGCAAGATGATTGGAGCAGGTTATGGCCTAAGCAAGATGTCTTACTCTAATTGGTTGGTTTGAACCTGGTTTGAACCCGCGCGGGGTATTTCCCGGACTTGTTCTTCTGTTTGAGTTCCAGGAATATGGGTGGGTGTTTTAGACAGCCACACGGACATCAGGCGGGTGCTTTAGATGGCCACCTGGTCGTTGGGTGGGTGCTTTTAGATAGCCACCTGGTGTGGCTTTTCTAAGCTTCTAAGTTTCTAAGTCTCTAAGTTTCTGAGTTTCTAAGTCTATAAGTTTCTAAGCTTCTAAGTTTCTAAGTCTCTAAGTTTCTAAGTCTATAAGTTTCTAAGTCTCTGAGTTTCTAAGTCTATAAGTTTAAAGGTTTCTAAGTTTCTAAGGCTTCTAAGTTTCTAAATCTATTTACTCCATCTCAAAATAAATAAATTATTTAATTAAAAAAAAAAGTTGGTTGGCAGGCATCAGCATGCAAAAAATGCCAATATACCATAAATGGTCTGGAGTATGTACATTAAAATGACAACCATAGTTCCTTCTTAAGAGGTGATTCATGTATCATTGTAATGGTCAAAAGTTGAACTACCAAGAAAGCATGCATTCTTTCATATTGAGTCTACTTTTTTTTCCTTCTTTTTGAGACAGGGTCTTACTTTGTCACCCAGGTTGGAGTGCAGTGGTACAAACATGGCTCACTGTAGCCTCATCCTCCTGAGCTCTAGCAATTCTCCCACCTCAGCCTCCTGAGTAGCTGGGACTACAGGTGTGCACCACCACACCCAGCTAATTTTTGTATTTTTTGTAGAGACGGGGTTTTACCATGTTGCCCAGGCTGGTCTTGAACTCCTGAGCTCAAGCAATCCAGAATCTACTTCTTAAGGCAGAAGGAACTCCCACCTCTACTCCCAAAAGCAATCTAAGTTAATTTCTCACTAGAACAAAATTATTCCAGTATATACTTCCTTAAATTCAACTTTCAGGCCACCATAAATCTATCAAAAAATCAAAGGGAAAATATAACAAACCAAAAATCACCTGGGTCTTGATCATTTTCTTCTGTGCTCAGAAAATAGTGGAAAACATGGACTATACGTCTTTGTCTCTTCTGCATTTGCCATGAAGTTTTCCTAGTCAGAAATATTAGTGTCCACTTAAAGTTGTCCCCGGAAATTATGATATCCAAGGCCAGCAACCTCCCTCTTCTTCCTTCATTGCTTCACTTGAGTTATCTTGCTTCTGGGAGCCAGGACCTAAGGACTGATAAACAAAATGGCTGTAAGTGTACATTCACCCTGGGTCCAGTCGTCGTCACTACTGCTCTGCACTTACCTTAAATAAAAGACCCTAATATTTCTAACAGTTCCTTTATTTGGTGCCTCGGAGGTTTTCATGGTTCTAAATGTGTGAAAGCTATGCCTTTCTTTTGTGAAGCAGAAGTGGCATGACTATTATAGAGAAGGTGGGAAAGCAGAACTGGCACAGTACAATGCCTTAGAGGCAGGTGAATTCCCAGACAGATCAATTTTAGGAAAGAGAACACATGGAAGGCTCCAAGAATGTCTTTAAAAAGCATGTGTGTCCATGTACTGGTTCAAAAGTCTCTATAAGCTCTATGGGTATACATACCTCATGTCAAGACCAATGTACTAAGCAAATTGTAAGAACTGTCTCATTTTCACATTATGCGCTAAAGGATTAACTTTACCCAAGAGAGGTTTGTCCTTTGCCCACAGTTTCTATGAGGCAAACTCTAAGACTTTGGAATATGCTGCTTGATAAAACTGTCTTTGGTTATCAGGGCAATTTGAGTCATGCGAATTGTCTATCCTAATAATGTGATTTACTATGGGAGGCCTTGGACCACGTGGTATTAGTTTGCTATATGGAGGAGCTGGAGATTGAAGTCAGCCATATAGGCAGTCAATTGTGTGTATGTTAACTGATACCCAATAAAAACTCTGGACACCTGTAGGGAAAAGAAAGTGAGATCAGACTGTTACTGTGTCTGTGTAGAAAGAAGTAGACATAAGAGACTCCATTTTGTTCTGCATTAAGAGAAATTCTTCTGCCTTGAGATGCTGTTAATCTGTAATCCTAGCCCCAACCCTGTGCTCACAGAGACATGTGCTGTGTTGACTCAAGGTTTAATGGATTTAGGGCTATGCAGGTTGTGCTTTGTTAAAAAAATGCTTGAAGGCAGTATGCTTGATAAAAGTCATCGCAAAAAGTGCTTGAAGGCAGTATGCTTGATAAAAGTCATCGCCATTCTCTAATCTCGAGTACCCAGGGACACAGTGCACAGCAGAAGGCCGCAGGGACCTCTGCCTAGGAAAGCCAGGTATTGTCCAAGGTTTCTCCCCATGTGATAGCCTGAGATACGGCCTCGTGGGAAGGGAAAGACCTGACCATCCCCCAGCCCGACACCCGTAAAGGGTCTGTGCTGAGGAGGATTAGTGAAAGAGGAAGTCCTCTTTGCAGTTGAGATAAGAGTAAGGCATCTGTCTCCTGCACGTCCCTCTGCAATGGAAGGTCTCGATGTAAAACCCGATTGTTATGTTCTATTTACTAAGATAGGAGAAAACCGCCTTAGGGCTGGAGGTGAGATGAGCTAGTGGCAATACTGCTGTTTTATGTATGCGCACATCAAAGTATAGCACCTTTTCTTAACCTTGTTTATGACACAGAGACATTTGTTCACATGTTTTCCTGCTGACCCTCTCCCCACCATTACCCTATAGTCGTGCCACTTGCCCCTCTCCGAGATGGTAGAGATAATGATCAATAAATACTGAGGGAACTCAGAGACCACTGCCGGTGCAGTGTGGTTCCTCCATATGCTGAGCGCAGGTCCCCCAGGCCCATTTTTCTTTCTCTATACTTTGTCTCTGTGTCTCTTTCTTTTCTCAGTCTCTCGTCCCACCTGACAAGAAACGCCCACAGGTGTGGAGGAGCAGGCCACCCCTTCAGACACCAAGGCCTAGGTGAGTGGCAACAATGGTTACAATGGCTGGCAATAATAATATAAGGGTGTATATATAAGGATATGATAATTTTAAAACATGAAGCAAAACAGAATGAGAGAGGATTAGACAATTCAACAATAATAACTGAATGCATTACCGTACTTGCAATAATAAAGAAAACAAATAGAAACTCAGCAAGGATACTGAAAACTTGAACAACATTATCAACCAACTATGCTTAACTAACATTTAACACTACACTCAACAGCAGTAAAATAAACTTTTTTTTCAAGAGTACATGTTGTATTCTCCAGGATAAGACCATATGCTGGAATATAAAACAAGTGTCAATAAATTCTAAATATATTTTCCAACCACAACAATTTAATTAGAAATCAATGTCAGAATGAAATTTAGAAGATATCCAAATATTTGGAAATAAAATAGCACAGATCTGAATAACCATGGTTAAACAGAAAATCATGAGCCAGGCACGGTGGCTCACGCCTGTAACCCCAGTACTTTGGGAGGCTGAGATAGGTGGATCACTTGAGGCCAGGAGTCCCAGACCAGACTGGTCAACATGGTGAAACCCCAAGTCTACTAAAAATAAAAAAAATTAGCCAGGCACGGTGGCGCGTGCCTGTAATCCCGGCTATTCAGGAGGCCAAGATGGAAGAATCACTTGAACCCTGGAGGTGGGGGCAGAGACGGCGCCATTGCACTCCAGCAAGGGCAAGAGCAAGACCCTGTCTCAAAAAAAAAAAAAAAAAGAGAGGGGGAAAAAGAAAATCACATGGGAAATTGGACATATTTTGAACTGATTGGAAACAGAAACAACATAAACATTAATTAGCTGTCCCTAAAGGAGTTGTTTTAAAAAAATAACTTTAAATCAGAAAAGAAAAAAAACCTGTATCAGAAAACACCCTCAAATGATTACTCATTGTCCAAACTGAGAAACTAGAAAACGAGGAGCAATTAAAACACAAAACAATTTGACTGAAAAAATAAATAGGAAAGTGGAAATCAGTGAAAAAAAACCGAAACAAAACATTTTTTTGAAAAGTGTCCAACAAAGAATATGAAAAGTGACTGAAAAGATCAATAAAATTGATACTCATTAACTAGACTGATCAAGAAAAAAAAGACACAAGTTACCTTGTGCCTAAAGAAAGACATAGCTTTCGGCTGGGCGCGGTGGCTCACGCCTGTAATCTCAGCACTTCGGGAGGCCAAGGCGGGCAGATCACGAGGTTGGGAGATCCAGACCATCCTGGCTAACACGCTGAAACCCCGAAACCCCGTCTCTACTAAAAATACCAAAAAAAAAAAAAAAAAAAAAAAAATTAGCCAGGCGTGGTGGCGGGCGCCTGTAGTCCCAGCTACTCTGGAGGCTGAGGCAGGAGAATGGCGTGAACCCGGGAGGCGGAGCTTGCAGTGAGCCGAGATCGCGCCACTGCACGCCAGCCTGGGCGACAGAGCGAGACTCGTCTCAAAAAAAAAAAATTAAAAAAAAAAAAAAAAAAAAAAGGCAGAGCTTTCACACATTTAGAACCTTGTTTTATTGCCCCAGGGTGTAAAAGGCTCCGAGGCACCAAATAAAGGAATTAGAAATATCAGGGTCCTTTATTTAAGATAAGTGCACAGCAGCAGTGACAATCAGGAATATAACATTATCACTGCTGGCTCTACAAAACTTAAACAGCTTATGAAGTGACGTCATGAATTTTACGTCACAGATCTGTCTCCATATCAGAAGAGTGGCAATGTGGGAAGACAAAAAAGTTTTTGGTAAGGACTGCGGGAATGGACTTGAACTGGATGGAGGGAAGTCTATTTGAGCAGGGAAAATGAAGCCTTCAAGTCTGTCCCCTCATTCAAGGTTTCAACCGATTATCAAAGGGCTCTGGACCTCCTCACACACTGACAGTCCCTACCAGGCTTCTCCGTGCCTCAGCCCCATATTAAATCCAATATGAAACCCTAAACGTCTAGGAAGCCGAGAGGACATCTCCCCAACCCAGACATCTCTAAGGCTGAGCTCCACATTAAATTGTGACCCTGAACCAGGCCCCTGCGTTCACAGGTACAAACTTCTCACTCCAGTTCCCAATCACTGAGCTCCACAAACCAAGTGACTCACAAGGACCTCAAACCCAGACAGCGTCGGACTCGAAGCTGATTTCCTCAGGTTCTTCAACCCTACAGCCAAAGGCCCAGTCATTAACGCCCCGCTTCCTCAGCGACTGCGTTCAAATACAGCCCCAACCTGGATGCGCCAGGCACCATCGGGTACACAGACCTACACCCCCGAGTCCATGTCCAGAACACTACTCACCCGAGCCCGAACCTCTCCAGACACCACTAGCAGCGACAAAACGCCGCATCCACGTCCTAAACCGCTTCCTATTCACACGCGCTCCTGCGCGGCCTCCCGGACGCTGAGCGATGACGACGATGAAGTGAGGCGAGAACCATGGAGCCTGCCTGGCATCGCGAGTTCAGACTGCGGGCGCCGCTCTATGAGGTCACAGGGCTGCGCCCGTGGCAGCGTTTCTGACAGAAGCGGCCATAATGGCTGTGGAAATCACTCTTGGCCACCCCAGTGCCTTTCTCAGTTCGTTGCGAGGGACACTCAAGAGTCGGGTGCCCAGCCAAGGCCAGCACGGCGCAGTGGCATTCTATTCAGCCAGCTGGGGAGAAAAAGATGGCGGCACCCTCTGTGCCCATTATAGCTGAGAGTGGAGCCTTAGCTGGAGCACCATGGGCACGGCCATCTTAGAGGAAGGCAGCAGCCATACGGCAGAGAAAATGCTTAGATCCAGGACAATTGGAAAAATAAACAAGGTTTGAAGAAACCACGATGCTGGCCAGGAAGCGGTCACAGAATTGCCAAAACCAGTGGTCACTGAAAGTGTTAGATTTGGGGATAGGACGGGGGTTGTGGACTGGGTAAGGCTTTTGTAGGTTAGATTAGACGCTGACTAGATGGACGAAGCCGAGAATAGGAGTGATGCTCCATTAAGTGCTAATACCCACATGGGGCTTGCTATAAAACTACTGCCAGTGGGGAAGGGGAAGAAGAGGTGAAGGTGCAACTGTGTTAGTATCTACATGTTTCCTTCCAGAAGTAAAGGAAGATGACAGTGGGGCACTTCAGAATATGAAATCATTAGAATGCGATCATCCTACTTTGCAATGTTTCCAGATTGTTTTCAAAGTAACACTTAAGAAATGTTAGTTATATTTTTGCAGATGTTGGCGTTGTAACTGTAGAAGATTTAAGTAAATATTGTCTTGTTGGAAGGCAACCTAGAGCCAATTTAATTTTTTCGTTTTCTTTGACAGCAATTCTAAAAGTTATTTGGTGAAAAGCTGTCTTAATATTAACCACAACTTTGTAATTTACAAAAAAAAGGGAATTACAATGAGAGATGAATACTTTGGTAAATTATGGAACATCTGCTCAACTGTAAGAGTATATATCAATTTAAAAGAATATACTACAATTGTTCTATAAAAAAAGGAAGGATAACTGTATTCATCAGAGGACAAAAAATGATCTGCAGGATAGTATATATTTTATGGTCTTGTAATTGGAAGAAATCATAAACATCTTTTGGAAAATTGTGATTGGTTAAACAAGACATTTAGTTTGAATTAATATTGTTTGTGTTTATAGGTAGAGAATGCCATGTTTTTGCTTGGAAAATATTCCCAATTTGTACTTCTTAATTTTAATATCTTCGTATCATAATCATGAATATCTATATTATAAAACAGATGTTGATCTTAGAAAAAAATTAGGTATGATGATGTATAAGTTCATGGCATGATAAATGCAAAATAGGCTGTTTTCTTTCAGACAATATACTCATGCATTTGAAAAATTCTGGAGAATATACTAACAATATTTGACTCTTCCATACAATTATGATGACTTAAAATTTCTTCATTGTACTTATGTTTTGTAATTTCTAGAGTGAAGGGGGCCTGCCCCTCCACACCTGTGGGTATTTCTTGCAAGGTGGAGACTGAGAAAAGAAATAAGACACAGAGACAAAGTATAGAGGAAGAAAAGTGGGCCCCAGGGAGCCGGCGCTCAGCATACGGAGGACCCGCACCAGAGGACCCACATGGACACTGTTCTCTGAGTTCCCTCAGTATTTATTGATCATTATCTCTACCATCTTGGTGAGGAGGATGTGGCAGGACTATAGGGTAATGGTGAGGAGAGGGTCAACAGGAAAACATGTGAGCAAAGGACTCTGCGTCATAAATAAGTTTAAAGAAAGGTGCTGTGCCTCAGTATGTATGTAGGCCAGATTTATGTTTGACTTTACATAAACATCTCAGTGCAGTAAAGAGCAGTATTGCCGCCAGCATGTCTCACCTCCAGCCATAAGGCAGGTTTCTCCTATCTCAGTAAATAGAATGTACGATCGGGTTTTACACTGAGACATTCCCTTCCCAGGGAGGAGCAGGAAACAGATGCCTTCTTCTGATCTCAACTGCAAAGAGGCCTTCCTCTTTCACTCATCCTCCTCAGCACAGACCCTTTACGGGTGTCAGGCTGAGGGATGGTCAGGTCTTTCCCTTCCCACGAGACCATATCTCAGGCTGTCTCAGTGGGGAGAAACCTTGGACAATACCCAGGCTTTCTTGGGCAGAGGTCCCTGCAGCCTTCCGCAGTGCATTGTGTCCCTGGGTACTTGAGACTGGAGAATGGCGATGAGTTTTACCAAGCATACTGCCTGCAAACACATTTTAACAAAGCACAACCTGCACAGCCCTACATCCATTAAACCTTGAGTCAACACAGTACCTTCCTGTGAGCACAGGGTTGGGGCTAGGTTTACAGATTAACAGCATCTCAAGGCAGAAGAATTTCTCTTAGTACAGAACAAAATGGAGTCTCTTATGTCTACTTCTTCCTACATAGACACAGTAACAGTCTGATCTTTCTTTTCCCCACAAGTGAGGATCCATCGTGGGCTGATCACAGTCCTGTGGACCAGGTGCTAAACTTACCTACCAGAGATTAACATTCCAGATTAACGGGACTGAAATTTAATCCTGGATGGAATATGTTATAACACTCAAGAAATTATATGAACATGCAATGCTTATTCTCTAGTGTGGGGGAAAGAGAGATCAGACTGTTACTGTGTCTATGTAGAAAGAGGAAGACATAAGAAATTCCATTTTGATTTGTATTAAGAAAAATTCTTCTGCCTTGAAATGCTGTTAATCTATAACCCTAGCCCCAACTCTGTGCTCGCAGAAAGGTGCTGTGTTGACTCAAGGTTTAATGGATTTAGGGCTGTGCAGGATGTGCTTTGTTAAAAATGTGTTTGCAGGCAGTATGCTTGTAAAAGTCATCGCCATTCTCTAATCTCGAGTACCCAGGGACACAGTGCACAGCGGAAGGCCGCAGGGACCTCTGCCTAGGAAAGCCAGGTATTGTCCAAGGTTTCTCCCCATGTGATAGCCTGAGATACGGCCTCGTGGGAAGGGAAAGACCTGACCATCCCCCAGCCCGACACCCGTAAAGGGTCTGTGCTGAGGAGGATGAGTGAAAGAGGAAGGCCTCTTTGCAGTTGAGATCAGAGGAAGGCATCTGTTTCCTGCTCCTCCCTGGGAAAGGAATGTCTCGGTGTAAAGCCTGATCGTATGTTCTACTTACTGAGATAGGAGAAAACCGCCTTATGACTGGAGGTGAGACATGCTGGCGGCAATACTGTTCTTTACTGCGCCGAGATGTTTGTGTAAAGTCAAACATAAATCTGGCCTACGTGCACATCAAGGCACAGCACCTTTCCTTAAACTTATTTATGACACAGAGTCCTTTGTTCACATGTTTTCCTGCTGACCCTTTCCCCACCATTACCCTGTTGTCCTGCCACATCCCCCTTTCTGAGATGGTAGAGATAGTGATCAATAAATACTGAGGGAACTCAGACCAGTGCCGACGTGGGTCCTCTGTATGCTGAGCACTGGTCCCCTGGGCCCGCCTTTCTTTCTCTATACTTTGTCTCTGTGTCTTATTTTTTTTCTCAGTCTCTCGTCCCACCTGACGAGAAACACCCACGGGTTGTGGAGGGGCTAGCCACCCCTTCACTCACTGATCATTTCCAGGAGTGGGCTGATACGACTTTGCTGTGGCAGCTTGTGCTGACTCACGGGACAAGGAAGGTGATTCAAGGGCCTGGTTGGTGGAGCACTTTTGCCTGACTCATTGCTGTAGACAATCTGCCCTGAATCCATCCTGTTATACAGTGTGGGAGTGGTGATGGGAGCATGAATCCACAATTTAGGGCAGAGATGTTCAAATTTAAGAAGGCTCTTTTTATAAATGTAGAGTCTGAATCCCATCCCCAGAAACTCTAGCTTGGAAAGCTGGGGAGTAACTCAAGAATTTGCCGCCTTTTACAAGCTTCTCAGAGAATGCTGAGGCAGGCACCCCAAAGAAAACACTTAGAAAATTCTAGTGTTATGGACTTACAAATATGATGGCTATCTCCCCACAGTACACTTAGGCTTTGGTTCAAATTACATCTGCACAGAAAAGCCTTCCCTGAAAACTCTTACTAACTCTGATTACAATCTACGAACTTGCTAGGCTTTATATTTCTTCCTAGCACTTACCTGAATTTGGTTTTGTATTTATCTTACTCAGTCTCCTTCACCAGACTGTATGTCATATGAAAGCCAGCACTTTGCCTGTTTTGTTCACTGATGTGTCTCCATTGTCTAAAACATGCCTGCCATGGTGTAGAAGCTCAAAAAATATTTTCAAAGGAGTGAATTACTCAATATGGAGTCAGGGATTAAATTCTGCCACAATACTATGTGGCAAATATCTATAACTTTTATAAAGAGAACTCACTGTTTATAAACTGGATTAAATCTCATTAGATCAAGGGAAGTAACTCTGGATAGAGAAAACAGGAACCGTTTCTAGGGAAAACTAATAATTTTTTTGCCACCAGGCCTGCTCGAAATGATTAAGGAAGTTCGCATAAAAAGGAAATAACTAAAGGAAACATAACATCAGGAATGCAGAAAAAAGAACAGAAAGGGTAAATATGTTATAAAATATAATATTCTTTTAAGTTTAAAAATTGTGTTTGCTGGTTGGAAGCAAAAGTTACAATTTTACTTGATATGGTTCTCGGTGGATGTAGAGATGCTGAACGTCATTTTCTGTTAGGGATGTGTAAGTTGAGCCCATGATCATATACCACCACATACCTAATAGGAAAGCTAAAGCACACTGGCAATGCCAAGAGCTAGAAAGGGCATGGAACAAACAGAATGCTCACACATTGGTGGTGGGATGTAAATTAGTACAGCCACTCTGGGAAAGAGTTTGGCCATTTCTCATAAACACAAACTTACCATATTCACCAGCAGTCATGCCCCCAGTGTCTATCCCAAATATATAAAAACTTATGTTCATACAATATCGGGTACACAAATAGTCACAGCATCTTTACTTATAACAGCAAAACACTAGAAACAACCCAAATGTCCATCAATAGTTAATGGATACACAAACCCTGGTGCATCCGTCTAAAAGAATACTAACTCCGTAACAAAAATTAAAACTATTTAGACGCCCAACAATTTGGATAGATCTTAAGGGTAATCTGCTGAGTGAACGAAGCACTATCTCAAAGGTTGCATACCTTACAATTCCATTTTAATAGCATCCTTGAAATGACAAAATTAGAGTGATGGGCTCAGTGGTTACTATGGGTCATATTGTGAGGACAGTGTTAGTATAAAGAGGTAGCAAGCGGAGGCCGTGTGCAGTGGCTCATGCCTGTAATCCCAGCACTTTGGGAGGCTGAGGCAGATGGATCGCCTGGGGTCAAGAGTTCAAGACCAGCCTGGCCAACATAGTGAAACCCTGTCTCTACTAAAAATACAAAAATTAGTCGGGTGTGGTGGTGAGCGCCTGTAATCCCAGCTACTCGGGAGGCTGAGGCAGGAGAATCGCTTGAACCTGGGAGGCAGAGGTTGCAGCAAGCCAAGATCATGCTATTGCACTCCAGCCTGGGCAACAAGAGCAGAACTGTGTCTCAAAAAAGAAAAAAAAAAAGAAGTAGCAAAAGGATGTTTCTTTCTGTTGGCACAACAGTTCCACATCCTGATTGTGGTGGGATTTACATAAATCTATACATCTTACAGAATTTCTTAGAACTGTACACACAAAAAAAACAGCAATTACTGCACGCACAAAGTAGTGAAGTCCAAATAAAGGCTGTAGTTTAACAGCATTGCACTAATGTCATTTTATTGGTTTTTATTATTATGGTTATGTAAGATAATATTGATGATGCTAAGCAAAGGATACTCAGGAAACACGTATATTTTGTAATCTCTTGTGAATCTAAAATTATTTCAAAACAAATTTTAGAAAAATAATATTTAAGGCATTTTTGTAAACTACATAATGGTACCTACTAACTTGGTTAAACACATCCAAATATACTGAATTACATTTATCAATAAATTGAAAAAATAAATTTGGGGCCTATATGTAAGATCTAATAAATAATTACATCAGGTTGGCACAGAAAGCACCTGTTATATATGACATTAAAATTTAATCAGTGATAAGAACAGCCCACTTTACAATTATGGAATCATTGATAATATGCAAGGTATGCTGTCCCAGAATAGACATCAAGTGTATCATGAGTTTAGATTTGTGAAAGTCCTCAAATATGTATCAGTTTCATGAGACTTTTTTACTTCATGAATTTCCTGATCCTTTTTAAAGTTACTCTTCATTTAAGTTTTATTTCCGTATGAAGTAATGATGATGAGGCAGAATTTATCACTGAAATCCTACCGTATTCACTGCCATTTGAAACTTTCTCCAGTGTGAAATATATCTGCCAACTGTTAAGGTTTTATTTCTGGGCAAAGGCTTTCCCCATGATAATGCTGCTAGTATGTGTAATTTCACTGATGATCTATTATGATCACTGATGAGACAGGGTCTTTCTTCCCATAGAAGGCTTTCCTAGCCTCCCCCTTTATAAGATTTATCTCAGTAAATACTTTTCAAGACATAGTTACTTAGAAAATTTTCAAGACTTTTCTGCATTGGATGTATCAAGTTTATTTCCTACATGTTTATTGTGACATACAATATGAGGTAATTAATCACTGAAGGCACTAGTGCATTCTCTGCATTCGTTAAAATTCACTCCTGCAAACTGCATAATCTTCCAAGTGTGAAAATCTAGCAACAGGCTGCTCTACACTGCCTATATGCATGTATGCTAGGAGCACACTGCTGTTTCTTTCTTTTTTTTTTTTTTTTTGAGACGGAGTCTCGCTCTGTCGCCCAGGCTGGAGTGCAGTGGCACAATCTCAGCTCACTACAAGCTCCGCCCCCTGGGTTCATGCCATTCTCCTGCCTCAGCCTCCCGAATAGCTGGGACTACAGGCACCCACCACCGCGCCCGGCTAATTTTTTTGTATTTTTAGTAGAGACAGGGTTTCACCATGTTCGACAGGATGGTCTTGATCTCCTGACCTCGTGATCCACCCGCCTTGGCCTCCCAAAGTGCTGGGATTACATGCGTGAGCCACCACGCCCGGCTCAGTTCACATTACTAACATGGCTTTCTCTCTGCATGAGTTTGTTTGTATGTAATCAGTTCAAATTCTCTGCAAAAGGACTATGTACCTTACACATTTCATATATGGATGTTGTCATAGTTTTAATGAAGTTTGACAAATGAAAAGTTACCCCCAATGCACAGAATCTCTCTCAGATGAGTTATTTTCTATACATTGGTACATCAAAGATTTCAGAGCCTGAATTCATGTTGAAGCCTTTCTGACATTGATAGCATTTATCCTAGTGGATAACACTGGATTTTGAAATATGATTTTTCATACTCAATACACATAAAAACTATACTGTTAAATCACTGATGGTGTACAAGACATATTTTCTTCCCAAAGGCATGACCACGTCCATTGCATTGTTAGGGTTTATTTCCATTATGAGTTCGCTGATGTACAATGAGATTTCTCTTTGAGGAGAAGGCTTTTCTACATTCACTGCATACAAAGGGTTTCTCTCCTGTGTGAGTTCGTTGATGAACAATTAGACGGCTCTTCACAGTGAAGCCTTTACCACATTCATTGCATCCATAAGGTTTTTCTCCAGTATGAACTTGCTTATGTAAAGCAAGCTCAGTTTCCATGGCAAAGCCTCTTCCACATTCACTACATATACAAGATTTCTCTTCTGTATGAATTTGCTGATGTACAATAAGATAGCGTTTCATGGTAAAGCCTTTTCCACATTCACTGCACGTAAAGGGTTTCTCTCCAGTATGAGTTCGCTGGTGTACAACAAGATTGCTCTTAAAGGCAAAACCTTTTCCACATTCATTGCATATGTATGGTTTCTCTCCAGTATGAGTTCGCTGATGTAGCATCAGTCCACTATTCACAATAAAACCTTTCCCACATTCACTGCACCTGTAAGGTTTCTCTCCAGTATGAGTTCGCTGATGTACAATCAGCCGACTCTTCAAGGGGAAGCCTTTCCCACATTCACTGCATATGTAGGGCTTCTCTCCAGTATGAGTTCGCTGATGTATGATGAGCATGCTTTTCACAGTAAAACCTTTTCCACATTCACTACATAGATATGACTTCTCTACTGTATGATTTCTCTGATGTACAATGAGATTACTCTTCCTGGGAAAGCCTTTTCCACATTCATTGCATACATACGGTTTCTCTCCTGTATGAGTTCGTTGATGTTCGATCATACGGCTCTTCATGGTGAAGCCTTTCCCACATTCATTGCATATATATGGTTTCTCTCCTGTATGATTTCGTTGATGTATGATGACATAGTGCTTTGTGGTGAAGCCTTTCCCACATTCACTACAGATGTACGGCTTCTCTCCTGTATGAGTTCGCTGATGTATGATAAGCATGCTCTTCCCAGTGAAGCCTTTTCCACATTCACTACATACATAGGATTTCTCTCCAGTATGATTTCGCTGATGTACAATGAGATTACGCTTGCCCGGGAAGCCTTTTCCACATTCATTGCATATGTAGGGTTTCTCTCCAGTATGAGTTCGCTGATGTTCAATCAGACGGCTCTTCATGGTGAAGACTTTTCCACATTCACTGCATATAAAAGATTTCTCTCTTTTATGAATTCTTTGATGTTCATTTAGCCTGGACTTTCTGGAGAACACTTTTGCACAAAAAGTACATCCATAAGGTTTTTCTCCTGTATGAACTCTCTCATGATCAGTGAGCTGTGACTTCTTGACAAATGCTTTCCCACATTCACTGCATATGTGGGTTTTTTCTGTTTCATGAGTTCTCTGATGCTTACTGACTTGGGATTTAGTGCTGCTGGATTTTGTGCTTACAGAGAATTTAGCTGCAGAATAAAGTTCTTCATACTTACCATGAAGAAATGATTTTCCATCTCCATTAAATTTAGTAGAGTTCTTAATTTCACAGCTTTTGCTCTGGTTGACTAAACTTAAATTTGATTTCAAAGTTTTTATATATAACTCAAATGTATCATGATCTTCCCTGAAAAGACAATGGCTTTTGGTTTGAGAGGCAGTATTTCCAAATGCGTTACGTTCATGGTATTGTTCCACACTCTTCAGCATCCTTTGATTTTCCAAGTGATCCTGCAGATGATCATCAACTTTGTTGTTTTCTAGGAAAGAAGAGAACAATGAATCCTTTCATAATCTTGTTGGGGATAAAACTGTTTTCTTAAAAAAAAAAAATCCTTGTTTTTTATTATTATTATTATTATTATTATTTTTTGAGACAGAGTCTCGCTCTGTTACCCAGGCTGGAGTGCAGTGGTGTGATCTCGGCTCACTGCAACCTCTGCCTCCTGGGTTCAAGCAATTCTCCTGACTCAGCCTCCGAAGCAGATGGGTTTACAGGCATGTGCCATCACGCCCAGCTAATTTTTGTATTTTTAGTAGAGACAGGGTTTCAATATGTTGGCCAGGCTGGTCTTGAACTCCTGACCTCAGGTGATCCCCCTACCTCGGCCTCTCAAAGTGCTGGGATTACAGACGTGAGCCACCGTGCCTAGCCAGGTGTTTTTAAATATGGCTATTTAATGACAATACGATGATAATAGTATAAAAGCAACTTCATGTATACACTTTAGTAAAAACATAATAATATAAACAAACCAAAAAGTAAAAGCAGTCTGTGTGCAAATAAGGTGAGGCAGTTGACAATCTGTATAGATTTGACTGCTTTCTAAACAGGACCTTGCAAAACATGTGGACACAGTAAAATACAAGCAAGTCATTATTACAAGCAAACAACAGGGCTTGGAGGAACACCATTCCACAAAATTTTGGGAGACACCAGACCACAAAGGTGGAAAAGGCAACTGATCCAAAATTCTGAGGGTTGTATTTATTCACTCCACTAGTGTTTGTTGAATGACTCCTATGGATAAGGCACTCTGCTGGCATTTGGGATATACAAAATATGCCTTCTTTTCACTGATGCTGAACTCTAGTTAGGAAAACCAGAGGGAACAAAAAAAGAAGGGAGTTGGAGATGTTAAGTGTGGTTTGGTGGAGCAGTGTAGATGATGAGAGTTGAGGGAAGCAGGATATATTTGTATAAAGAAAATACAAGGTTAAATGATGAATTCAATGGGGAGAGTGAGGACTCAAAGATTACTAAATATGGCTTGAGACACTGGGTAGATGAAAGCATCTCATGAGATGGCAAATATTACTGCAGTCCAGAACATGTAAAGTATACACTGTGAAACATACACTTTGAAATGGTTATCAAATACATAACACAGACATCAAGAATCTGGTTGGAGGTATAAATGGAGAAGGCAGCATGGAAATAATCAGCACATACATATTATTTAAGAAAAAAGGACTGAATGACTTTTTTTTCTTTTTTCTCTTTTGAGACAGGGTCTTACTGTCACCCAGGCTGGCGTGCAGTGGCACAATCTTGCATCACTGCAACCTCCACCTTCCAGGCTCAAGCAATTCTCCCACCTCAGTCTCCTGAGTAGCTGGGACTATAGGTGCATGCCACCACGCCTGAGTGATTTTTGTATTGTTTGTAGAGACGGGGTCTTGCCATGTTGTCCAAGCTGGTCTTGAACTCTTGGGCTCAAGTGATCTGCCCGCCTCTGCTTCCCAAAGTGCTGGGACTATAGGTGTGAGCCAAGGCACTGGGCCAGGATACCATGTTGAGAAGACATGTAGAATGAAAGAGGAAGGTACAGAGCCAAGGTTTTAGACATTCCAACGTTTGGTTTTGGGATTATTTAAGCCCTCTTAGAGGAACCAAATTGTGAGTACAAAGATCAGGGAAATATGCTTACTGAGATATATAGAATAAGTACATTCACATACTTGTTGCCTGGCAAGGATAAGAATTAGAAATCTCCATCTGTTGAAATTAAGTGAACTGAGATAAGACTCTTGTGTGGTAACTGTTATTAAATTTGCCCCTCTTCAATCTGTAGACTACCATCTAACTTTCCAAAAACATTCATCACATTTAATGAACAACTCCTATAGTCAACATTCCACCCTCTGGTTTAGCTGTGTTGTGTTATCATATGTTCCATTAATTATGAAACAGGAAAACAATGATAGGGAATTTTGCAACTGGCCAGTGTACCATGTAGTTGCCTTCAGAAGAAAATGTGCTGCTGCATGGGATATGAAAACTGTCACTTTCTTCTATCACATTTTGTATGCAGTAGAAAAGTCATATCAAGGCCAGGTACGGTGGCTCACGCCTGTAATCCCAGCACTTTTAGGAGGTCAAGGTGGGCAGATCACTTTAGCTCTGGAGTTCCAGACCAGCCTGGGCAACATGGTGAAACATCATCTTTACAAAAAATACAAAAATTAGCCAGACATGGTGACATGCGCCTGTAGTTCCAGCGACTTGGGATGTTGAGGCAGGAGGATCGCTTGAGCCCAGAGGTCGAGGCTGCAGTGAGCTGAAATCGTGCCACTGCACTCCAGCCTGAGCAACAAAGTGAGACCCTGCCTCAAAAAAAAAAAAGTCATATCAAAGTTTTCCCATTTCAGTGTCCCTGATACACGGTTTCCTCATCTGCTACCAATAACATCTACTTCAGTAATGCTACATTTATGTCTCAGCATTAGTTAAGTTGTACTAAAGGATAAACTTCTTCCTTCTAGACAAAGGTTGTGCCAGCTTCACCTTCAGTTTTTCTTAAGATATTTAGCTGTTTCTTATTATTGCTACACTGCTGTCATCCAGGTGAAAGGTCAGACTAGCAAGATATTTTGTGAAAAGACAAAAATATAAAAGTAACCAATCCTCAACAATGCTACCTCAATTACTCATATATAAAATCAAAAGTCATCTTGATAAAAAAAGCTTACATTACCATGAATATTACCATGTTTCTGCTCCACGATTTCTCCAACAAGCAGCTTCTATCATTGACCTGTATTTGGCCAACTTGAGGCCAATCTTTTGATAGTCAAGCCCATGGCCTTGCACAATTCCTATTTCATGCCTTCATTCTTTTTTTTTTGAGACAGAGTTGCACTCTTGTTGCCCAGGCTGGAGTGCAATGGCGCAATCGCGGCGCCCCGCAACCTCCGCTTCCCAGGTTCAAGCAATTCTCCTGCCTCAGCCTTCCTGAGTAGCTTACAGGCATGTGCCACCATGCCCGGCTAATTCTGTATCTTTAGTAGAGATGGGGTTTCTCCATATTGGTGAGGCTGGTCTTGAACTCCTGACCTCAGGTGATCCGCTCACCTCGGCCTCCCAAAGGGTGCATGCCTTCATTCTTAATTCATGTCACCATCTTCCTAATTCAAAATCTAGATATGCTTTGTGCACATCATACTCTTGCTGCAATTCTGACTATCTTGCCATATGCTCTATTTCCTCTGTATTCCTAAATTAACCCCTGTATCATTAATTTTTATGGTAATCTTCTGTGTAGTGAGGATCTAGATCTAACCTCATCCAAAGAGAGATCTAACATTTGTTCTTAGCTATTAGGAAATGAGCTCTAGGCCCCTGGAATGCCCTGGCCTATAGGAGTGTCTTTGTTTGCCCACTGGCTTTAGCTGCTGGACAGTTTAACAATATGATTTATGATAGGGGCTTTGGCCCATGCCATATCAGTTCCACACTTTGGAAAAACTAGATACTCTAGGTATTAGCCCGACTTCTGGGAGAGGCAAAAGACTAAAAGTCAGCCATGTGGGCTGTAGGTGACTGGAACCTAATCAAAACTCTGGCCACCAAAGGCTCAAGTGAACTTCCCTAGTTGTCAATACTCTGTATTGTCACACACTGTGGCTGGGAGGAGACGTAATGTTCACAGTGAAAGGAGGACCAGAAGTACTGCACTTGGACCCCCTCCTGGACTACAGATGACCTGGGAATTCTACTCCTAGGTGAAGGCTCAAGAGAAATGAAAACATATGTTCCTGAAAAAGTTGTACACGAACTTTCATAGCAGCATGATTCATAAATGCCAACAAGTACAAACAACCCAAATGTTAATTCAGTAGATGAATGGATAAATAAAATGTGGTATATCCATACAATGGAATATTATTCAACAATAAAAAGAAATGAAGTACTGATACATGCTAAAGAATGGAAGAATTTCAAAAACACTATGCTAAATAAAAGAAGCGAGACACAAAAGACCATATATTTTATGATTCTATTTATATAAAATGTCCAGAACAGGCAAATCTATAGAGACAAAAAGTAGAGGCCAAGCGTGGTGGCTCACACCTGTAATCCCAGCACTTTGGGAGGCTGAGGCGAGTGGGTCACGAGGTCAGGAGTATGAGACCAAACTGGTCAACATGGTGAAACCCCGTCTCTACAAAAACACAAAAATTAGCTGGGCATGATGGTGTGCGCCTGTAATCCCAGCTACTCAGGAGGCTGAGGCAGGAGAATCGCTTGAACCCAGGAGGTGGAGGTTGCAGTGAGCCAAGATCATACCATTGCACTCCAGCCTGGGTGACAAAGCGAGACTCCATCTCAAAAAACAAAAAAAAGAAAGAAAGAAAAAAAATTGACTATGGTGATGGTTACATAACTGTTCATATACTATGAAGCACTGAAAAAAAACTTTAAATTGGAAAATTGTATGGTATGTAAATTAAGCTGTTAAAAAACAAATCTATAATGGGAAAAACACATTAGGGAAATGAATACAATGCTACTGTCTAAGATGAACTAAGGGAAAAGCAGAAATCAAATGTACAAAGGAAGTACTCTGAGATAGACATAAGTTATGACCCGGTTTGGACTACAACTGATGTAGGATGTAAAACTCCTTTCTAGGTAAACAGTCAACAAAAATAGTAGAGACTTTTAACAAGAGAACTCCATAGGTAGAGGACATTCAATACAATACCAGCACAGACAGGAAAGAAGTATGGTACTAAAGGAGAATGCAACCTTAAAATAAGATGGGAAGGGTTTTTTGTGGAGAAAAAATGATCCGTATTCCAAATAGGCACTGCTTCTGTGTCCTGAGACACCCACACAGCATTCTTTTACTGACTATGACTTACGCATCTTGCTGCTTCTCGCATACCTGGACAGATTTGACTGTGCCTTTCATCTTCCATTGTCCATGGTTCTTCTCCTCGTTCCAACCTGGAGAGTGCATCTGCTTTGCTGACTTGATAACCTGTTTATGGGAAATGACAGAAGACAGACACACTAGATTGGGCTGGTGTATGTAATGTGAGAGAATGTTACATTTAAGTAACTAGACAGTTTTCACATCTGCAAAGTAAGTAGAGGCTTTTCTGTCAGGAAAGGCCAGATTACAGTCAGACCTTAATATCTGAAAATTTCACATCCAGGGATTCAACCAACCATGGATTGAAAATATTTTTTTAAAAATACAATAATAAAAAATACAAAGTGCAGTGGCTCTTGCCTATAATCCCAGCACTATGGGAGGCTGACATGAAACCAACACTTGAAGCCAGGAGTGGGAGACCAGCCTGGGCAATGCAGATTCCATTCCTACAAAAAAAAAAAAAAAAAAAAAAAAGCCAGGCATGGTGATTTGCATCTGTAGGCATAGTTCCTCAGGAGGCTGAGGCAGGAGGATCACTTGAACCCAGTTCAAAGCTGCAGTGAGCCATGAAGGCACCACTACATTCTAGCCTGGGCAACAGAGCAAGACACTGTCTCTAAAGAAAAAAAAAAAACACAATAAAAAACAAATTAAAACATACAGTATAATAACTATTTACATAGCACTTACATTGTATTAAGTATCAGGCATAATCTAGAGATGATTTAAAGTATTTGGGGGGAGGTGTGTGTAGGCTATATGCAAATACAATGCCATTTTATATGAGATTTGAGCATCTGTGGATTTCATATCCATGGAAAGCTGTGAAACCAATCCCTCTCAGACACTGAGGGGTGACTGTATATCCTTTTACCAGAAGCCAGAGGATGTACCAAAAATCTGCTATTCAGAGCACTGCAGTTAATTCCAAGGGTAAGCAGCTGAGAAAGCAAAGGCCACAGACTGGGCACCCTCCAGGTGACACAGGGCAGCTGTCCTTACCCACTGATACCAGGTTGCTGTAGATCTCCAACATCACATCCCGGTACAAGTCCTTCTGAAAAGGGTCCAGGAGCTGCCACTCCTCCCAGGTGAACTCCACAGTAACATCCTCCAGCGTCAGCAATTCCTGTAAGAAAATAGAGCCTTGCTTAATAGGAAGTGTTTCTCTTTTACTGACATGAAAAGAATGTGAAGGGAAGTTGTCCTGCTCATATTAACCACATAGACTGCATCCATCTATAAATCTATTGTATTTTTTAATATCACCAGAGAATCTCCAAGTATTCTATAATTGTACAGTGCCCCATTTGCTCAACAAAAATTAAGGTTTTATATCAAATCCACTCAGTAAAAACAGGTTTTACATATAAATTTTAATTTCAGTATCTATTGCCCAGTCAAGAAAGTATATGCTACCTACATCTAGGTATCTGATATATATTGTTTCATTCACTGTAAGCCTTCCCAGCTAATACTAACATAAGACATAGGGAGACTCCAGATGCTAGAATCACAGGACACTACGTTCATGTTTAATTATTAAATGGATTAAAAAATAGAAATGCATAGAAAGCATGAGAAACTATTAAAGAGTAATCAAATTGGGAAAACTTATTTTTGGAAATATATATTAAATATATATGTACACACACATACATATATACATATGTGTGTGTATATATGTATACAGTCACAGGTATGTGTGTCTATTAATAGAAAGGTTATATTAGATACACTGAAGAGATAATTAGTGAGTTGGAATTCACAGTAAACAAAAAAATAACAGGGCCAGGTGGGGTGGCTCACACCTGTAATCCCAGCACTTTGGGAGCCTGAGGCAGGTGGATAGCTTGAGCTCAGGAGTTCAAGACCAGCCTGGGAAACATGGTGAAATCCTGTCTCTACCAAAAAGACAGAAATTAGCTAGGTACGGTGGCACACGCCTGTGGTCCCAGCTACTTGGGAGGCTGAGGTGGGAGGATCGCTGGAGCCCAGGAAGTTGAGCTGCAGTGAGCTGTGATCATGCCACTGTACTCCAGCCTGGGTGACAGAGTGAGACCCTATCTCAAAAAATTAAAATAACTGAAAAATGAAGCAGAGACACAAAGTGACAGAAAGTATGAAGGAGAGTTTACTAAATATGGAAGACAGAATGAGGCCTAACATATGCCTATACATAGTTTTTGAAATATTATATTGAAATGAGAAGCAGTTTCCAAATATCTGAGTGAGAAATTTTCAGAACTGATTAAATATCCTGTAACTCAAATTTAATAAATCAACAAAGCCAAGCAGAAAATCTGCATCTAGACACATCAGACAGAAACTATTGAACATCAGATGCAAATATAACATTATGAAAACAACCATTAACAGAAGGAAAAGATGCATTACCATCAAAAGAAAGACAAAATGTTCTAACAACTGACTTCCATAGAAACAAAAGCAGCAAGAAAAGTGCAGAATAACGTCTTCAATGTCTTGATTCTGTGGTATTTGGCAAATTGTATGGTATGGCCTAGCCCCGAATGCCACTGGAAAATAAATTGAGACCCTCTTGTCAACTAAACTGCCACTCTCCTGTCTCAACATGACTTATAATCATATGGTAGTGGGAACCTGAGGCAGGAAAGAACTAGGTGAAAATCTATCCCCATGTAATTGCAGAGATTAATACACAGATAAAAGAACAGACTTAGTGGAGTCTGCAAATTCTTAATGCTGCTGATCTTATCACATTCGGAATTATTTCACACGAGAAATAAATCTGTTTGGAAAAAAAAACCTTAGGTTTCTACCTAATTTCATACTCAAAAATAAGTTTTTCCCGTTTAAAGTCCTAACCAGAAAGCAAAAGAACCTATGGAAGCAGAAGCAAATATGAAATATATTCATGTTCAAAGCCATAAAGGAAAAAACAGGGACAAATTTTATGAGAAAAAAATTTTAATATCTACAGTGAAAAACAGATCATAAACAAAGCTGAAAGAAAAATGATGGGCTAAAAAAAATTTGCAATAAACAAAAGGTCAATATATAGTAGATATAACCAACTCATTAACCAGTAAGAAAAAAGTTTTTTAATATAAAAATTATAGTCAGGCATTTCACAAGAGCAAAAAATCCAGTTGGCCAAGAAATACACACGAAGGACTTCAACCTCGCCTGTGATGAGGAAAATGCAAAATAAGACAAAAGAATACTGGATCACTGAAAATTGTGTAATTTGATAATGTCTTATTTTTAAGTATTGGCAAAGATTTAAGGCAAAAAGGACTCCATGTATCAGTCTCTATGTTGCAGGCACTCATTTAAATACTTTACATAGTTTAACAATGTTTCCATGTATGACTTTAGACAAATGGAATTTTATACAATTAATACTCTTCAATTAATTATAGTGATATTCCTTTATATTCTAAAACTATACCATCTAAGGCAGGGGTGTCCAATCGTTTGGCTTCCCTGGGCCACACTGGAAGAAGAAATGTGTTGGGCCATGCATAAGATACACTAATGATAGCTGGAAAAAAAGTACAAAAAATTCTCATAATGTTTTAAGAAAATTTACAAATTTGTGTTGGGCCACATTCAAAGCTATCCTGGGCCACATGCAGCCCACAGGCCGCAGGTTGTACAAGTTTGATCTAAGGTGACCAACAGGTGAAATGTGATTCCACTGAAGCAAAAAAAGTCATAATAAATGTGTTTATATATACAGACACATACATAAAACACATAGATTTATAAATACACATACGTACAGAGATGCACACAGTTCGGTGACAGTAAGTACGTGCTACCAAACCTTTGTTGAAGCACTATAAGGGGATTAGGAAGAAAGTTATGATGAGCAAATTTACCTTTTTTTTTTTAGAGACAGAGTTTTGCTCTTGTTGCCCAGGCTGGAGTACAATGGCATGATCTCGGCTCACTACAACCTCCGCCTCCTGGGTTCAAGCGATTCTCCTGTTTCAGGCTCCCAAGTAGCTAGGATTACAGGCATGCACCACCATGCCACTCTAATTTTGTGTTTTTAGTAGAGACAGGGTTTTGGTCAGGCTGGTCTTGAACTCCCGACCTCAGGTGATCCGCCTGCCTCGGCCTCCCAAGGTGCTGGGATTACAGGCATGAGCCACCGTGCCCGGCCCGGGAATTTACTTTTTTAACCAGTGTGTACTTCATCATTAGAATTCATTTCCCTGTGGGGCCAGGCACAGTGGCTCACGCCTGTAATCCCAGCACTTTGGGAGACAGTGGCGGGTGGATCACCTGAGGTCAGGAGTTTGAGACCAGCCTGACCAACGTGGTGAAACCCCATCTCTACTAAAAATACAAAAATTAGCCAGGCATGCTGGCGTGCACCTGTAATCCCAGCTACTCAGGAAGCTGAGGCATGAGAATCCCTTGAACCCAGGAGGTGGAGGTTATAGTGAGACGAGATCACACCACTGCACTCCAGCCTGGGAAACAGAGTGATACTCCATCTCAAAAAAACAAAACAAACAAACGAACAGAAAACAGATTTTTTTCCCTTTGGAATCCATGAGTTATTTATGTAATTACAAAAAATAAAAGCAATAAAAATATGTAAGAATTGGATGTGAAAATGCAGAAGGATTCTGTATATTCTGAGATGAGGTAAAGTTATCAAACATGGCACCCAACAACTCAAGACCTTATCAGACAACTCCCTAATGCCAAATCTGCAGTTAATGCCAGTTCAGCCATTTGTTCAGGACAAATGGAAGCTATGCACACCTTCCATTTTCCTAGGCCACTTAGATTTTATTCCTAAATCAGCTCACAAAGACACAAAGACTTGAGTGTGTGGCCTTGCTTTCGTCCCTTGATAAAACTGTGTCCACTGAGTTTGCCTGGTCTATTTCCATAGGAGTCTCTGAGGAACCCTGTTATAAACAGCAGTAAGAAATCTTCTGCCTTTATTAGAAAGCTAGTTCAAAACACTGTTCAAAAAACCATATCACCTCTGGGAAGAATAGCAAATTTTTCTTGACATCTAAGTGCCATGAAATAATGATCTCCTGAGGAACGTGTCTGCTTTTTCCTCACAGTCACTGTATATTATATAACTTAGCATGAGTTTCTTGTACTGGCTGTCAGAGACATCAGATGCAAACTGACAGCTAATGTAATAGGAAGGATCTTCTAGTCAGGCATTATGTTCCAACATCAGTCATTTTGTAGGAATCACATAAACACTATATTCCTGATCTTACTTTGCCATGATGTTGGAGTTAGATTTAAAGTTTATTTCTCTCTAGATTCTGAAATGATTTCTTACAGGTCTCTACAAATCCACCATGGAATAAAGGAGAGAATAAAACAGAGAAAAAGTCACCTGGGCATTGATCATTTTCTTCAGTTGTGGGAAATGGCCAGCACCTGGGATACTCTGTCTTTGTCTCCTCTGGATCTGCCTTAAATTTCTAGTTAGAAACCTCAGTCATCAGTGAAGAGTGTCCACAAAAATCATTATCTAGGTCCTGGAATCTTCCTCTTTCTTCATTCACTTCTTGTCTCTTCCCAGGGCAGCCAGGACCTGTAGACTGAGGAGCAAAACAACTTTCAGGGGTACATTCACCTTAACACATGACCCTGAATATTTGTCTCTTTATTTGGTTCTCTCAAACCAAAGAAATGCAAGACCCTCAATGAAGGCCAAATGCCTTTCTTCGGTGAAGTGTGGAAGTAACATGAGGAGGAAAGGGGAGGTCACAAAGGCCACACAGCATCATGCCTAAGCGGTAGGTAATTCTCGTATCAGCTTTTTAAATAATGCCATATGGATGGTGAGAAACTGTACATTTATTCCTTTATACACTGTTACCCTCACACCTCTTTAAAAGTCTTTATATATATTTAAAAGTGTTTATATATGGCCCGACATGATGGCTCACATCTGTAATCCCAGCACTTTGGGAGGCTGAGGTGGGCAGATCACCTGAGGTCAGGAGTTCAAGACCAGCCTGGTCAACATGGCGAAACACTGTCTCTACTAAAAACACAAAAAATTAGCCGGGTGTGATGGCGGGCACCTGTAATCCCAGCTACTCGGAGACTGAGGCAGGAGAATGGCTTGAACTTAGGAGGCGAAGGTTGCAGTGAGCCCAGCCATTGCACTCAAGCCTGGGCGAAAAGAGCAGGACTCCATCTCAAAAAAAAAAAAAGTGTTTATATACACACTTCAATATGAAGAACAAGAAACACATCAAAAAAAAGAGCGAGACAGAAGGAATACGATGTATAAGTACAAATTTAGAAAACAATTCAAAAATATAAATACTGGGAAAATAGCCACCTTTATATATGAACATACAAAACCTGAAACACCCATAAAAAATATGCAGTACATTTGCAAGAGGAAGGATAAAAATAGGCTCTTATTAATTTGTGCAGCAGTAATAAAAAAACATACTGTTAAATAGAAAGCTTATTCATCCGCACCCTCTCTGCCCCCCCCAACAAAACTTTCATTTTCTGCAGGTTCAAGAGCATGGGTTGTCGTGGAAAGCCAGAGGATTAGAAAACTCATCGTGCAGGAGGTACTCGGACCTGAAACTTTTAGGAAATGTTAACGTTCATCAAGTCTGTTCCAGCAGCCAAAGTCTGAGCTCAACACACACACACAGACCCTGCCAGGGCTCTTGTGAAAATACTTCAGTTTTCACTTGTCTCTACACAAAAGGCCACCACCCCGCCAGATTAATACGAAAACCTGGAGTAGATACACATGTACACTGGCTTCCCTTAATGATTCCTCGATCACTGAACCTCAGATTAATCCAGAATGTGAAACAGAAGTCACATTAGTTGAAAAAGCCACCCCACCGATTCTCAATCACTGAGCCCTACAGGGGAGTGACCCGCGAGGACCACAATCCCTGACCTCAGGACTCTTGGTCGTAGATCTACTCAGGCCTTTAATCACTGACCACCAGAGCCTCCATGAGGGACCCCCAAAGATATCCCATCACAGACACCCACCAGGGACTCCTACCAGCTTCCCTCCAAAAGAAAACACCCCCCCCCCCCCCCCCCCCCCCCCACTGCCGCGCTACCTACACCGTAGAGCGCCGCCAACAACGCAGACGCCCTCAGAATGCTCCCTCCCACCGCGTTTCCACGTCCTGACCCACACACTGACCTGACTCTCCCTGGAATTGCTGCGACTTCTTAAAGACTGAACTTACTTCCCTAAAGTTCTTACGCTTCTGGGCCCCTCGCCCAGCTCCCTCCCCACTAAACCTCAAGGGAGGGTCACCCGCGTTTCCATGGAGAGCGGAATGCGGCCTTACGGCTTTTCCTCAGAAGAAACGTCCGCGCCGGAGTCGCCTCGCCGCTCTGGGGGCGGCCATCTTTGAGTACGTGACGTACAGACGGCACAGGAGCCGCGAGACGCTGTGGACAGAGGCCTCTTAAAACTGTCCGATTTCCAGACACGTCAGCCCTGGCAGAAAATGGAGAGATTATCAGAGGCTTGAGTTCACACAGACAGATACGGCGTGTGGGTAAAGTCCTCTGAACAGACAGGGAACAGAATAAGTTGATCTTCTCCTTGCAGGGGCTAGTGAACGGCGCAAACTTCTCAAAGGCCGGAACCCATTATTACCACAAAGGCGCGGCATCAGTTCTTAACTGTCATGATGGCTGTGACGTCTCAGCTCAATGGAAAATTAAAGTCACCTCTGGGCACCTCAATCACTATTCTAAATGCGAAGCGTTTTAGAGGCCGTATAAAAACTGAATCAAGCGGGATTAGAACAAAAAATAAGCGAGCGGTGCGTTGCAGGTAACCGCGCCGTCAGGCGGGAGCACTGTGGGGGCGGCCATCTTAGGGGAAGTTCGGTGTCCGTAGGGCAGAACGAATGCTCTCTGGGAAGCTTGCGGTGGAACTGGCCCGTGGAATTGTCTTTAGAAGAACAAAACCACCTGGCTCTGTTCTTGACTCTGGAAATGGATCGTTTTCTAGAATTATTTAGGTTGTTGGCAGATTAATTTCCTTCACACAGTTTCCTTGCCCCCACTCCTTTAAAGATAGGAATCTTTAAAGCCAACAATAGTATTGTCAAATCCCTTTCATGTTTGAAACCTCTGACTATCGCATCTCTCCGGTTTCTCCTATTATTAAGTGCTTGGGCAATCCAGAATAATCTCCCAATGCTAAAGGCAGCTGATTAATAATTACAGTGCAGAGTCCTTTTTGCCATGTAACATAATATAACCATGGGAATTACTCTGGAGTTGGAGATCTGCCTGTGATATGACACTAATGAATATTTTGCAATGAAAAAATACTATTTTTTAAAATTGTCCATATATCTACAGAATTATTACCACAAGTTATGCCTTGTGACTTTTTTTAGAAGAAAGACGCAAGGATGAAAATGTCAACATTTTCAATTGTGTGTTTTCTTTTTAATAATAAAGCATGTGTTCTAATTTACAAAAACCACAATAAAGGTATTTTCATCATGTCAGTCTTGAGGCTGAACAACACTTAACATTCTTTTTCCTTTTACCTGTCTGCCTTCTCCCTTCCCCTACACTCTCTATACCCCACACTCCAGGCTCTGTTCCATCATCTTATGCCTATGGCCCCTTTCCCCTGTACCCTCTTATTACTTCCATCTGTCACACAGACACACACTGTCACTCCTCTAAACACTCTAGTGTTAAACAATTGCCACTGATTGTTTTTGACAAGTGCCCTATGGGTAGGAGTGTTCACATAGATAAAGCTGAGTCAAGTCAAATAGAGAAATACTATGAGAATAGACCTATTCAGGCTGCAACACATTTAGTAGTGAAAATTCTGTGAGGATGGAGGCTTTTGGGTGTTTCAGAGCCATTTCTGCCATTTTCAGAGCCATTTCTACCTCCTTAAGTGCAGATAATCTGCTAGGGTGCGGATATTCACTGTTACTGTTGTTAAAAGGTGGTTGCTTTTCAAGGCTACCTTGGAGCAGAGGATATGGGGATAGGATTAGGGCAAGGTGAATACCACAAGGTAAAGCTCACTTGTGGCCGGTGTTGTGAACTTAATTGGCCACTCTAGAAAAGGAACTAACCAGCCTCTAGCCAGGGCCTAAAAACTAGATCTGGATAGCACAAAAAAGTTACATTAAACTTCCTCTAGTGTCCAATCTATCAGATTCCAATCCTGAAGGACCACCTCAGTCTCTCTTCTACTTCATCTCCTTTCTCTCATCTTATAAAAGATATTCTTTGGGAAAACTCTGTTTATTTCACATATAACTCAGCTTTAGCTGGGTCTGGTTCTCTCCTCCAAGATCTTGCCTTTACCACATAACTTCCGCAGCCTCGAAATGCTGAAGATTTCCCAGAAATTTGTTCTAATTCCTAGGGGTTTAACCTACCAGTATCTCCTCTGTATTCATCTTGGCCTTCTCCATAAAATTAGATTTTGCCTAATGTAAGTACAGATATAAAGCTCAAATCCCCTCAGATATTTCCAAAAGAATTTACTTTTACAGAAAAACCTCAGTGACACATGTGACCTTTTTTGAAGATACTGTAAGAGTGACAGAGACAGATAATAGGGCACTCAAGAGCAAAAAACTTCAGAACCTCTCATAATAATTACTTTTTCTCCACATCCCCTCTAGGATGCCTCACCTGTGAGTCTTTTCATATCTTCCTCCTCTACCTATGCAGTGCCCCACCTGCTGGTCTTGTGCTGATCTCTCTCATGGCCCTACCTGCCCCAACAACTTACATTCTTCTCCATTTTAATACAGATCAATTAATTCTTCTAAGAATGTACCCTAAACACTTATATTTATTGTGATTTAGAGAGTATTAAATCCCCTTTTTAAAAAGAACAGGGATTGCCCGGCGCGGTGGCTCACGCTTGTAATCACGAGGTCAGGAGACTGAGACCATCCTAGCTAACATGGTGAAACCACGTCTCTACTAAAAATACAAAAAAAAAAAATTAGCCGGGTGTGGTGGCTGGCGCCTGTAGTCCCAGCTACTCAGGAGGCTGAGGCAGGAGAATGGCATGAATCCGGGAGGGGGGAGCTTGCAGTAAGCTGAGATCGTGCCACTGCACTCCAGCCTGGGTGACTGAGCAAGACTCCGTCTCAAGGTTTTTTGTTTTGTTTTGTTTTGTTTTGTTTTGTTTTGAGATGGAGACTCGCTCTGTCACCCAGGCTGGAGTGCAGTGGCGCGATCTCGGCTCACTGCAAGCTCCGCCTCCCGGGTTCACGCCATTCTCCTGCCCCAGCCTCCCGAGTAGCTGGGACTACAGGCGCCCGCCACCTCGCCCGGCCTGGTTTTTGCTTTTTAGCTGCAGAGATGGGAGTTTCACCACGTTAGCCAGGATGGTCTCGATCTCCTGACCTCGTGATCCGCCATCCTCGGCCTCCCAAAGTGCAGAATTACAGGCTTGAGCCGTGCCCGGCCTCAACGGTTTTTTTTTTTTTTTTTTTGAGACAGAGTCTCAGTCTGTCGCCCAGGCTGGAGTGCAATGGCGAGATCTCATTTTTTTTTTTTTTGAGACAGAGTCTCAGTCTGTCGCCCAGGCTGGAGTGCAATGGCGAGATCTCAGCTCACTGCAACCTCCGCCTCCCGCGTTCAAGTGATTCTTCCGCCTCAGCCTCCCGAGTAGCTGGGATTATAGGCACCTACCATCATGCCCAACTAATTCTTATATTTTTTGTAGAGACGGGGTTTCACCATGTTGGCCAGGCTGGTCTTGAACTCCTGACCTCAGGTGTTCCACTCGCTTCTGCCTCCCAAAATGCTGGGAGTACAGGTGTGAGCCACCACGCCCAGCCTATCTATCTATCAATCTTATTTTGAATCACACCTCTGGTCACTTTCAGGAACTATGGAAGTTTCTGTCACCCAGGCTGGCGTGCAGTGGCATGATCTCAGCTCACTGCAACCTCCACCTCCGGGATTGAAGAGATTCTCCTGCCTCAGCCTCCCTAGTAGCTGGGATTACAGGTGTGTGCCATTATGCCTGACTAATTTTTGTATTTTTTGTAGAGACAGGGTTTCACCATGTTGGCCAGGCTGGTCTCAAACTCCTGACCTCAAGTGATCCACCCCCCTCAGCCTCCCTAATGAAGCAATATTTAATTAAGATTTCTATCAGTTGGATACTATGCATCAGGATGAGGATAACCTGATTTATTCACCGTTGCTATCCCCACATAGGTACCACATTAACCAGCTGAAGAAAATCCTGAGACTACAATACAAAGAAATGTGGCTCCTCTGTAAGTTTCTGTATTGATGCTCCAAGGATGATGAATGTGTAAACAACTGAATGTGTGCAAAAACATGCAATTTACTTATTTATGATAAGATGAAAATTTGTATTTCTGATCCAGACAAAGCAGAGCCTGAATACAGTGGAGTCACAGCTCATGACAACAAAGGGGCTGACACTTGGAAAACACACAGAAATGAGGGCAACAGTGTTCACCAGCCACCACCTGGGATTATGAAATCGAGCAATACAAGCATGAATGAAGGAGGAGAGGATGTGAAAAGACACAAAGGTGCTCACCAGGACAAGGATACTCTGGGTGACTCTGGACTCGGAGGATCTGGAGGAAACATTATTCCTGTGAATGTGTTGGACTTACTGCTTGTGCCTGTACAAAATGAAAATCCTGGAGCCACTGGACAAGATTATGAGCACAGAAAATAAAACTTCAGGGAATACAAATAATGCTGCATACAATGGGTCTATAATTTTGTTAAAACCTAGAGTAGAACAGTAACCAAAATCTCTTCTTTGTGATGTTTTTGTTGCTGTGACAACCAGATACACGGGAAAAATTTACTACAATGTACAGGATCCAGCAGATGGGAATGGAGTATCCAATGTACTTTGCAGCTTTTACTTTAAGATCCTTCCACCTGGAGTTCATGGGGCTGATCCTTATGGTCTGGAAGACACTCAAGAGGCATATGGTGCCAATGGACGTAGTCCTAACCACTCTTTCTACATAGAAAGTATGTTCACATCCAAAACCATTGAAGAAATGTGTCAATCCAAAAGCTGACATTGTCTGGGGAACTCCTTTTGAGAGAAGAAACATGGGGTTTCCAATAATCAAGTGCTTGAGAATCACATCTGTGGACCCCAACCTGGATCCTTTGTAAGAAAGGAATAGATAATGGCAGACAAGAGAGAAGTTGCCTAGGATTTCAACTCTCTTCTGTGATAAGAAGATTATCCTTATTGCCACATCACTGGAATCTATTCTTTCATTCAGCACATGTTCCTTTAAGGATGGTAACAATCATTCTTATGAGAAAATAGCCTTATTGAAGATTCTTGTCATTAACAGTAACTTTCACTGTGTGCTCCGGTGAGGATAGCCAGGTGCACTTAGAAATGGAAAGAATTACCAGGATACTTCATGGAAGTCAGCACTAAGGATGAGGTGCTGTTAACCATGGGAGAAGCAATGACAAGTGACAGCAAACAGAAAAAAAGCATCATCTAACATTTTATGAATAAACTGATGAGGTAGTTATAATGGAAAAAAGACATAACCTCAACCGCTACCAACACTATAGAACAAATTACTTCTGAATGAATTGCTGATCTAAATTTTCATGGTAAGTAATACAATTTCTAGAAAAACAATAATAGTATTCTTGTGGTTTTAGAATAACAAAATGTTTCTCAAGCCACACAAAACACATTAATAATATGGGAAAGATGACAAATTAGGCCATAGTAAAATTAAGAGCTGGCACTTCTAAAAGACACACCACACACACACACACACACACGAGGGGTTTGGAAGAGAGAGATGTATGTACCGTAAAAAAACACAGATTCACACAATAGAGTAAATTATAGTCAAAACATTCCAATAGAAGCTTCAAAAACATTATTCAATTAATAATTTAGAGAAAATGTTCAATGTCCTTATTAATTGTGAGAATTCAAATAACACTACTACCTAATATCATTGTACACCAACCAGAAATCTATAATAAAAATGGTAGGAAATATCTAGTTTTGGAAAAGATGTGGGTAATCAGGCACTTCATACCAATGGGTGTTAAAAATGGCACAAATATTTTGGAAAACTCTTTGGTAGTACCTACATAAGCTGAAGAGATACAAACCTAGGTCTCAACAATTACACTCTTACAAATATACCCCAAATAAATTTATATCTATATCTATATATATACACCACCAAAAGATTAATTCAAGAATTTATATACCAGCACTAGTTATAATACCCCAAACTATAGACCATCCACATGCCCATCAATAGTAAAATGACTTAGTGATATCCACACAATGGAATCCTTTAAGGCAATGCTAATGTATGCCAACAATACATTCACAAAAATCATATAGAATAAAAACAAGGCAAGTATAAGATAAACTGAAAAAACAGGAAAAGTGATCTAATCTCTTAAATGTTAGAATAGATGTAAACCTATGTCCCAATGCTGCTTCTACAAAAACCCAACCGAACTGTGGCCTTGGGCCAGGCATGGTGGCTGACGCCTGTAATCTCAGCACTTTGGGGAGCCAAGGTGGTGGATCATGTGAAGTCAGGAATCAAGGTCAGCCTGGCCAACATGGTGAAACACCATCTCTACTGAAAATACAAGAATTAGCCGGTGTGGTAGCATGCATCTATAATTCTGGGTGCTTAGGAGGCTGAGGCAGGAGAAGCGCTTGAACTCAGGAGGCGGAGGTTGCAGTGAGCCTAGATCACAGCACTACACTGCAGCCTGGGAGACAGAATAAGGCTCTGTCTCAAAAAAAAAAAAAAAAAAAAGAAAAAGTACTTGATGCCAATAATTCACATTAGATGTCACTGAACTCATTTGTACAATTAAATGCAAATTAATTTAGAAGTGATGATGAAGAAATAGGAAAATCTACCTTATCAATATTGACCCCAGCAATGATAGGAAGCCTGAACAGAAATCTATCCCTAGAAGAAAGAGATATATTTGTAACAGTCTTTCATAAATAAAAACAACAGCATCAAATGGTTTAAATGGCAGATTCTACTATTTTTTTGAATATCACATAAGCCAATAATTGATGCTTTTTTCCCCCCAAGAAAAAGAACACTCACTGGCTATGTAATTAATGAAGAAATACAAAATTTAGCGGTCAAAATTGATTCTTTGGGTTTTCAAACAGACAAAGTTAGCAAATAAGTAGAAATTGCAGCTCAAGGTGCAGTGGGATGAAGTGGTTACCAGTGCACTATGTACCTACTTTGCAGTGTTTTAAGATACAGTATGGGCCAGGTGAAGTGGCTCATGACTGTAATCCCAACACTTTGGGAGGCCAAGGCAGGCAGATCACCTGAGAGGCCAGGAGTTCGAGACCAGCCTGGACAACATGGTGAAACCCCATCCTTATTAAAAATACAAAAATTAGCCAGGTGTGGTAGTATGTACCTGTAATCCCAGCTACTTAGGGACTGAGGCAAGAGATTTGCTTGAACTCGGGGGGCAGAGGTTGCAGTGAGATCATGCCATTGCACTCCAGCCCGGGCAAAAAGAGCAAAACTCTATCTGAAGAAGAAGAAGAAGAAAAAAAATTAGCTGGGCATGGTGATGCATGCCTATAGTCCTAGGGAGGCTGGAGCGAGAAGATCGCTTGAGCCCAGGAGTTCAACACCAGCCAGGGCAACATGACAAAACCCTGTCTCTACCAAAAACAAAACAAACAAAAAAAGATACAATATGGTATAAACTTGAGAGCATGGGAAGTAGCAGATAACAGACATACAACTATTTTCCAAATTATCATGCCTCATGTCGTCAGGGCACCTTCTCTTTTGTTGATATGGCAGAGGGTCTTTATTGATTAAAGGAAAGGATCACTCTGCAGGATGACCATGTTACATGAATAGCAGACCGGAACATTAAGAGAATGAGATTTTCATTGGAGTAGAATGATAAGTTACCTATCTGCATATATGGTAGACAAAAAATGCATATATGGTAGACAAAAAAAATGTAAGGAGAATGATAGTCACCTTCTACTTTGAAAAGTAATAGTTGTGGCCAGGCACACTGGCGTATGCCTGTAATACCAGCACTTTGGGAGGCTGAGGCTGGTGGATCACCTGAGGTCAGGAGTTCGAGACCAAACTGACCAACATGGAGAAATTCCCGTCTCTACTAAAAATACAAAATTAAACGAACATGGTGGCACATGCCTGTAATCCCAGCTACTTGGGAGGCAAAGGCAGGAGAATTGCTTGAACCCAGGAGACGGAGGTTGCAGCGAGCCCAGATGGCGCCATTGCACTCCAGCCTGGGCAATAAGAGGGAAACTCCGTCACACACACACAAAAAGTAATAGTTATATATCATATTAATGAAAATTAGTCTTATTCTTGGAAACTAAAAAGACAGCAGTTATTACAGAGGGCATTTTATTCGAAAGAAGCAGACGAGTGTTCATGTGTAGGATTCATATTTGGCTACTGAAATTGCATTTTAGTATTGATTTATAACGGATGTATTAATCAGTAAAATGTAATTGCTTGTTTTGCAACCTGGAACAAATCATGTGCCTTACATCAACCAAAGCAAGTTCTGCCTCAGTGGGGCACTTCATAATAAATATTAGTAATACATCACGAAGTGCTGAATGTTGAATGCCACCTATAACAAGTTTTTTCATAACAGATGAATTCAAACAGGATACAATTTTGGGAATATATGCTTATAATTTGCACTTGAGCTATTCTCTCTGAGTATGCCCCAGGACATTTTTGTGGAAATACCATGCAGTGCAATTTCAGACTCTTGAGCATCTAAAACCTGCCTCAGTATTCATGAATATTCACTATATGATTATATTTCTACATGCCTTTGTATGTACTAAGATCAGTGGCTTGCATTTGCCTTGACTTTTATGTGTGGTAAAAATAAAAATATGGCAAGTATATACAAATATTAGGAAATGGTCCAGGTGTGGGGACTCATACATGTAATCCCAGCACTTTGGGAGGCCGAGGCAGGTGGATCACATGAGTTCAGAAGTTTGAGACCAGCCTGAACAACACGGTGAAACCATGTCTCTACTAAAAATACAAAAATTAGCTGGGTGTGGTGGCGCATGCCTGTAATCCCAGATAGTTGGGAGGCTGAGGCAGAAGAATCACTTGAACCTGGGAGACACAGTTTGCTGCGAGCTGAGATTGCACCACTGTGCTCCAGCCTGGGCGACAGAGTGAGACGCAGTCTTAAAAAAAAAAACTTATTAAAAAATGTAATATATATATATTATATACATGAAAATAATTAGGAAATAAGAATTTCTTATTTGTGCTTAGAATACATAGTGAAGTAAACAGAAAAAAAAAACAACAAAAAAGAATACATAGTGAATTTGAAAAGATTAAATGTTAGGACAGGCACGGTGTCTCATGCCTGTAATCCTAGCACTTTGGAAGGTCGAGGCGGGAGGATTGCTTGAGCCCAAAAGTCCAAGACCAGCCTGGGCAACATGATGAAACCACCATCTCCACAAAACATACTAATATCAGCTGGGCATGGTGGCGCACACCTGTAGTCCCAGCTACCTGGGAGGCTGAGCCAGGAGCATCGATTGAGCCCAGGAGGCAGAGGCTGCAGTGAATTGAGATGACATCGTTGCACTCCAGCCTAGGAAACATAGCAAGACTCTGTCAAAAAAACAAAAAACAAAACAAAACAAAAACAAACAGTGCAAAACTCTGTCTTAAAAAAAAATAATAAATTTTAAAAAAAAGATTAATGGGCCAGGGTTGTGGGTCATGTCTGTAATCCCAGCACTTTGGGAGGCTGAGGTGGGTGGATCACCATCCTGGTGATCATCCATCCTGGCCAACATGGCAAAACCCAGTCTTTACTAAAAATACAAAATTTAGCTGGTGTGGTGGTACACACTTGTAATCTCAACCGAGGCTGGTGGATCACCTGAGGTCAGGAGTTCGAGACCAAACTGACTGTCCGGAGCTGCGTGGCCCGGCCATAGCGATTATAACTGACGACTGACACCTGAGCTCTATACATTTCCACTTTATGCCGCCTCCCTAGATTTACTTTCTTCCTTGTTCTGCTGTCTCATATGCCAGTACAAAATGGCGCTCTTCCAGGTTCTTCATCACCCATTTTCCCACGCCCGGGAAAATGATCAACTTACAGCGCAGGCGCCATCCCGCGCCCGGGAAAATTACCAAGCGACGGCGCAGGCGCAACATGACGTCCCACCGAAGAAACCAATACCTACCTGGCCACGCCCACTGCAGGGCCACCATCATCGCCCTGGCCCAACCTCCACCCTTGCTGGTCTATATAAGGCATTACATTGCCACCAATAAACGAGACTTGATCAGGATACTGTCTTGTCTCCATTTCTCGTGTCTCTTGTCCCCCCGAGTTCCCACTCCCTCTTCTAGGGCCTACATTGACCATCCCGCGGGTCGGGACAACTGACCAACATGGAGAAATTCCCGTCTCTACTAAAAATACAAAATTAGATGAACATGGTTGAGGCTGAGGCACGAGAATTGCTTGAACCCGGTAGGCAGAGGTTACAGTGAACAGAGATCGTGCCACTGCACTCCAGCCCTGGTCCACAGAGTGAGACTTAGTCTCAAAAAAGAAAAAAAAAAAAAGATTAATGTTCCCTCTGAAGAATAAACACACACAATGGGATATCTTGTGGGGTAGGTAAAGTAGAAACTATATATTCAACCCAAAACATATTTTGTTAATTGCAGTTGGGGCACTCCACTAGAACAGGATGGAACCCCACCCACGTTTGGATGCTGGGACTGATGATGTCACATAGTGAAGTATCATATTTGTTACATAATGAGACTCTGGAAAGAGCAGAAGACTTTCCAAGCTGGTTCAAAAGTGGCTTGTGAGAGCAGGAAAATGTGTTGTTGACTATGGTTAAGGAGTAGGGCTAGGGTAAAGGTACCCAGGCATGTCTTGAACTTCCAGCATATACCAAAGAAGGGAGCACTCAGGCTTTATTATCGACTTGCCCAAATGGGCAAAATAGAAAAAGTGGTGTGGCTTAAAAGATATCAGTAATCAATCAAAAAGTAGGTTCAGATTCTTTACTCCAACACTGAATGTTTACTCCTGACTTCTAGGTTGAGAAAGCCTCAATTTCCTCATGCTACAACCTTATACATGTCCTTTCTTCTAGCATAAATAGGACCCTTTACACAATATAATTGTTGAAAGTGCTTCCAAAATACTGCTTAGACAAATTGTCTACAATATTTTTACACTTGAATTGCGAAAATTAATGTTTATAAGACAATAAAAATTAACAAAAAAGTCATTTTTCAAAAAGCTATAAAAATTTCTACATGAGGTTATCATAATAAGCATGGTACTCTATAATAATTTCTCAACTATAGCAAAGGTCCATTTTATTTATTTATTTAGAGATGTAGTTTCACTCCTGTCGCCCAGGCTGGAGTGCAGTGGCGTGATCTTGGCTCACTGCAACCTCCACCTCATGGATTCAAGTGATTCTCCCGCCTCAGCCTCCTGAGTAGCTGGGATCACAGGCACCTGCCACCACCCCCAGCTAATCTGTATATTTCTAGTAGAGACGAGGTTTTGCCATATTGGCCAAGCTGGTTTCAAACTCCTGACCTCAAGTGATTCACCCGCCTCGGCCTCCCAAAGTGCTGGGATTACAGGCGTGAGCCACTGCTCCCAGCCTATTTATTTATTTTTAAATAGAGATGGGGTTTCACCATGTTCCCCAGGCTGGTCTCAAACTCCTGGGTTCAAGCAATCTTCTCACCATGGTCTCCCAAAGTGCTGGGATTACAGGTGCGAGCCACTACACCTGCCCAAAACTTACTTTTTAAAATACTTTTTAAAAACAATTATACACTTTCCTAGAAATCATTTAACCCAATTTACAGATTTACATTTCTTCCCTTGTACTTAAATGAAAAACTTGAAGGATCCATAAATCAAGGTGGTATTTTTAGATTTGTGTGGCAAAAAATATGTACAGAGAACTGACAGAGAAAAAGGATGTGCTCTATCAATATGTAGAGGGTCCCTTACATTTTAAGTTCCGTGAAATAATTCGAATGATACAAGATAATGAACTGAAATTGTATAATGCGGAAGTAAGAGCTCTGTTGCTAATGTGCAAGTATATCACCGGGATTTTTAAAACACAACATGCTAATTATACCTTAAAATATATTTCTCCCAGTCTGGGCAACATGACGAAACCCCATCTCTACAAAAAATACAAAATTAACCAGGTGTGGTGGTGTGGGCCTGCAGTCCTGAGGCAAGAGAATAGGATCTGGAGGCAGGAAACCTAAGGCTGTTTCGTGCTAACTTCCTTGAACTAAATCAAAGGGAAACCCCTAACTTTCCACACCTAAGTAACAAAAGAACCAGAGACTACTCCCTTTGCAAACCTCTACCTTGTCTGCGTGGCAGGTGGGAAATTAAAAGTACCTCTGATTGATTGCTTTTTGCTTTTACTTTTACAAAGTAAAGACTTTGGGACTTTACTTCAGCCTCTGATTGGTTGACCGATTGCAGGCCACCATTTTATTTATATGAGGAGACCACCAAGCGGCCAATGGGAAACCTGCAGTAGTCATTTGGACCCGAGAAAATTCTATATCCGGGCCACTGCTCGGGCTTGTTTCCACACTGTGGAGTGTACTTTCATTTTCAGTAAATTCCTGTTTTCGTTCTTTTGATGCTGCATTCTTTCCTTGCTTTGCTGGGTGTTTTTTCCAATTCTTTGTTCAAAATGCCAAGAACCTGAACAACTTGCAATCAAGACCCTCTACTGGTAACACATTTTGGTGAGCTAGCCAGGAGAGAAAGTAGGTCCAAAGTTTGGGATTTCTTTTTCTCCTTTCCCCTTTTACATACAGGGAAGTCTTTGTCTAGGTCTCTTTTCCTTTCCAACTCAAGACCCTCGGTGGACAGCACCTAAGCACGAAGACAACTGCAAGTTTCTGGCCAGGGCCATTCTCCGGTGAAACTGAAAGGTTTCTGTGTGGAAGTGCCTGACTGCCACCGCTTGGTTCAGGTGAGAAACCTGAGTCCTTTTCCTCGTTTTTGTTTGAGTCCTATTCCTTTTTTTCTTTTTCTGAGTTCTTTTCCTTTTCTCCTTTTTCAGTCTTTCAGCAGCTGTTTCCTAGCAGCTCCTTGGTAATTGGGGGGAACTGACTGGGGCCACTCTCTGGTGGTCTCTGAAGGCCAAGGAGTGAACAGGGATGGCTGCCCTGCCCAGAAGGGGAAAAGACTCTTTTCTATCCTTTTCAGTAATAGTCCCTGATCCCTATGTGTGATGCAGTTGGCAGCAGTAGCTCGTCCAGGGCGAACTCACAGGTTTCAGGTGACTTAAGCTTCTTTTACTTATGCTAAGTTCTTCCCTTCCCTCATTCAACTGGCCAAGGACAGAAAACCCACCTAACTATGCAAAAAAGGTTATACAAGTCAGAGGGTCTGGGCATATCGTAGGTGGTCTGTGTGGTGCATGGTGGTGGAGGGAATTCATGAAAGGGAATTTATTATTGCCTAAGTTGAGAGGGTTCAAGAGTTGCTTTAAGTGGGATAGAAAAACTTGTCAGGTCCTCAGTGGTGGAGAGAACCATTCCAAAGTGGTGCAGCACCCATCTAAGGTCAGAGATGTCTGACAGACTAAGTTGGAGCCCTAAAGGGAGGATGCTCCCAGGGACCCCACTCTGGGCCCAGAATTTTTCCAGGGGGATGCCCCAGGTAAAATTTGGGTCACCTAATGAGCCCTCCACTTTTTAAAGTCCTCTTCTCTTTTCCAGACCACTATGGGCAACTCTCCACCTCTTCCACCTGATTCCATGCTTGGCTATATCCTCAACCATTGAAATAAATTTGACCCTGACACTCTAACGGCAAATTGTGTAATTTTTTTTTGTGCAACGTTGTCTGTCCCCGTTATGAACTGCCCAGCCTGGAACAATGGGCAGTCACTGGCAGCCTTAATTATGACACCATCCTGCCATTAGACCTGTTTTGCAAGAGGCAGGGCAAATGGTCAGAAATCCCATATGCACAGGCTTTTATGACCCTATACCAAAACCTAACAATCTGTGAAACTCCCAGAACCCACCTCCCCCTCCAACCAAAGTTCTAAGGTAGAATTAGATATTATAGATGATATAGATGACCCCCACCCCGGTTTTTTTTTTTTTTTTTTTTGAGATGGAGTTTCGCTCTTGTCGCCCAGGCTGGAGTGCAATGGCTTGATCTCAGCTCACTGCAACCTCCACCTCCCAGGTTCAAGCAATTCTCCTGCCTCAGCCGCCCAAGTAGCTGGGATTACAGGCACACACCACCATGCCCAACTAATTTTGCCTTTTTAGTAGAGATGGGGTTTCTCCATGTTGGTCAGGCTTGTCTTGAACTCCCGACCTCAGGTGATCCGCCTGCCTCGGCCTCCCAAAGTGCTGGGATTACAGGCATGAGCCACCGTGCCCAATCAGATGACCCCCTTTTAGAAGAGCCACTTGTCTCTAAGGATGAACAGCGACCATCCCTATCGCCCCCTTACCAAGTGCTCCTGGGGCTAAAACCCAGGAGCAAACACCGGGGACCCTACTAAGTCCCCCTAACACTCGGAGGGGAACACCATATTCCACTCTCCCTCCAGCCTTGCTGCCCCTTAGGGAAGTAGCAGGAGCCGAATGGCCAGTCCTATTGTAGGTCCCCTTCTCTATAACTGATATACAGCAATAAGGAGAAGCTAGGAAGCTACTCTAAGATTCCTAGGAAATTTGCAGATGGGTTCCAAAAGTTGATCTTATCACTATTGCACTCCAGCCTGAGTGACAGGGCGGTTACATGATAAAAATGTCAATTTACAAAGATGACTTGAGAATCTTGTGTGTGTGCACTTAAAACCAGCTGCAAAACATGTGAAGCAACAAGTGACAGAAGTGAAAACAATGTACAAATCTAGGTGGAGCACAGATTTTTAGGGTAGTGAAAGTACTCCATATGTTTCCCATATCCCAAAGTAACTCTGTTTGTCAAAGGACACTGTGAACACAAGCTCAGTGACTTACGTTGTAAATTTACATTATTCTCCACCGTACTCCATGCTGCTTAACTCATACAGTACAGTGACCTTATCTTCCAGAAAACATGGATACGAAGGAACCACACCTAATGAAGTAGCCCTCTCATGTGATTTATTCCCAGAGGCCACAATGAAGGATGTGTACGAAAGACTTCATACTTTAGGATGAAGGTCACAAATAATTAACTAGCCTTTTTAAGAAATGTCAAAGTGAATACAATTATTTTATATACTGAATTAGCCATTTGCACACATGCTTTTGCTCCTTTGATGTACATATTACCTGGGGTTTTGACAAATTTTGTCTTGTAGTTATTTTACAGCAGGTATCATTCCAGGTCAATCCTGGATGGAGAAGCAGACTTAGTTATCCATAGTATGGTTTACCTAATGTGGAATCTGTTGAGAAATGGTTTAAAATTTTACCATGTTAATTACATTTGCAAGGTTTCTATCCAGCATGAATAATTTGGTGAAGCCTGAAGACACACTACTGATTAGAGGTCCTTCCATGTTAAGCACGATCATTTGGCTTTTCACCTGTATAAATTCTCTCAAATTCCAAAAACATGAACATTTGATTATTTTTTTGAGACGGAGTCTTGCTCTTATCACCCAGGCTGGGGTACAATGGTGCAATCTTGGCTCACAGCAACCTCCACCTCCTGGGTTCTAGTGATTCTCCTGCCTCAGCCTCCCAAGTAGCTGGGATTACAGGCGCCCACCACCACACGCAGCTAATTTTTGTATTTTTAATAGAGATGGGGTTTCACCATGCTGGCCAGGCTGGTCTTGAACTCCTGACATCAGGTGATCCACCCACCTCGGCCTCCCAAAGTGCTAGGATTACAGGTGTGAGCCACCACACCCGGCCCATTTGATTTTTTTTAAAAAAAGGCTTACCACATTCGTTACATTTGTAAGGCTGTTCTCCAGTATGAATACTCTGATGTTTCCGTTTTGATGTTCGGGTAAAAAGCCTTAGCACACAAGTTATATTTGTGTGGTTCCTGTCCAAGATGTATATTCTGATGTCTAGTGAGTTCAGATACCTCGGGAAAGCCTCTAGCACATACATTTATATGATTTATTTCCAATATAAACTCTCATGTCAGGTAGTGACTGAACTCTGATACAAAGTTTTTGCCACACTCATTTCATTTGTAAAGCATATCTGCACTTTGAGTTATTTATAGATCTGCAAGTTTTGACCTTTAGTATTCTTGCCACACATATTACACTTCTGTGATTCCTCTCCAGGATGTATGCCTAGTGAACACTTGCTTAAAACTTAGCTATATTCTTCACTTCACGTGTAAATGTATTGGCCATAATTGCATTGCTAGAAATAAATACCTGAGGCTAATGTATAAAGAGGTTTAATTGGCTCACAATTTTGTAGGCTTTATAGGAAACATGGTGCTGCCATCTGCTCACCCTCTGGGGAAGCCTCAGGAAGGTTAAAATGATGGTGGAAAGTGAAGAGGGAGTGGGCATGTCACATAGCCAGAAGGGGAACAAACAAGAGGGAGGTGCTATTCACTTTCATGCGTGCATGCGTGTGTGTGTGTGACGGAGTCTCACTCTATTGCCCAGGCTGGAGTGCAGTGGCACGATCTCGGGTCACTGCAGCCTCAACCTCCAGGGTTCAAGCAATTCTCCTGACTCCTCTTCTCGAGTAGCTGGTACTACAAGTACCCACCATGAAGCCCAGCTAATTTTTTGTATTTTTGGCAGAGACAGGGTTTCACCATGTTGGCCAGGCTGCTCTCGAATGCCTGACCTCAAGTGATCCGTCCACAGTCTCCCAAAGTGCTGGGATTACAGGCATGAGACAGGCGCCTGGCCCTGCCATTCACTTCTAAACAGCCAGACCTCATGAGAACTCACTATCACAAGGACAGCAACAAGGGGATGGTACTAAACCTTTCTTGAGAAATCCACCCCCATCATCCAGTTGCCTCCCACTAGGCCCCACCTCCAATGCTGGAGATTACAATTCCACATGAGACTTCAAAGGGAAGGGACAAATAGACAAATTATATCAGTTAAGTATAAATTATTTGGGGATCCCAGAAGTTAGGACAACGTCTAAAGGCCTTTCCACACTGAGTTTAGTTGTAAGGTTCTCTCCAGTATGTTTTATCTGATGTTTAGTAAGGCCTGAGCGACTAATGTAAGATTTGCCACACTCATTACATTTATAAGGTTTTTCACCAGAATGAATTCGTTGGTGTTTAGTGAGGCAAGACCGCCGCCCAAATGCCTTGCCACATTCAATACATTTGTATGGCTTCTCTCCAGTATGGTTTCTCTGATGGTAAACCAAGTTTGACCTTTCGATAAAAGCTTTACCACATTCATTACATTTATAAGGTTTCTCTCCAGTATGCATCATCTGATGATTAAGCAGAATTGAACGTACTCTAAAGGCTTTGCCACACTCATTACATTTGTAAGGTTTCTCTCCAGTATGAATACTCCAATGACGTGCGAGGCCTGAGCGATAACGGAAGACCTTGCCACATTCATTACATTTGTAAGGTTTCTCTCCAGTATGAATTCTCCGATGCCTTGCAAGGGTTGTAGTGGAATTAAAGACTTTCCCACATTCAATACATTTGTATGGCATCTCTCCAGTATGTCTTCTCTGATGGTACACCAGACTTGTTTTATGACTAAAAGTTCTACCACATTCACTACATTTGTGTGGTTTCTCCCCAGTAGGATTTCTGTGATATTTTGCAAGTTTTGAACTTTGGATAAAAGCCTTGCCAAACTCATTACAGTGGTAAGGGTTCCCTCCAGTATGAATTACCAGATGTTTAGTGAGGCTTGAACGCTGAGTATAGGCTTTGCCACAATCATTACATTTGTAAGGTTTCTCTCCAGTATGAATTTTCCGATGACGTGCTAGGCATGAGTAGTAACTGAAAACCTTGCCACATTCGTTACACTGGAAAGGTTTCTCTCCGGTATGACTTCGCCTATGTATTGAAAGGTTTCCACTGTCAATGAAGACCTTGCCACACACATTACATTTGTAAGGTTTCTCTCCGGTATGCATTCTCTGATGACGTGCTAGGCATGAATAGTAAGTGAAGACCATGCCACATTTATTACAATGGAGCGGTTTCTCTCCAGTATGACATCTCATATGAACTGAAAGATATCCACCATAATTAAAGACCTTGCCACACACATTACATTTGTAAGGTTTCTCTCCGGTATGAATTCTCTGATGTATAGTGAGTAATGAGCCCCAATTAAAGGCTTTGCCACATTCATTACATTTGTAAGGTTTCTCTCCAGTATGAACTCTCCGATGCACTGCAAGATGTGAATGTTGACTGAAGACCTTGCCACATTCATTACATTTGTAAGGTTTCTCTCCAGTATGAATTCTCCGATGCCCTGCGAGACGTGAACGTTGAAAGAAGACCTTGCCACATTCATTACATTTGTAAGGTGTCTCTCCAGTATGAATTATCTGGTGCCTCACAAGTTGTGAATTTTGATAAAAGACCTTGCCACATACATCACATGTATATGGTTTCTTTCCTGCATGGATTATCTGATGTGCAGTGAGGCTTGAGTTCCGTTTAAAGGTTTTGCCACACTCATTACATTTGTAGGGTTTGTCTCCAGTATGAACTGTCTGATGAGTTGCAAGAGAGGAACTTTGACTAAAGCACTTCCCACATCGATTACATTTGTAAGGTTTCTCTCCAGTATGAATTCTCTGATGAACTGCAAGGTGAGAACTTTTACTAAACGACTTGCCACATTCATTACATATGTAGGGCTTGTCTCCAGTGTGACTTCTCCGGTGATTTATAAGATCTGAATTTTGTCTGAAGATCTTGCCACATACATCACATTGATATGGTTTCCCTCTTGTATGGACTATCTGATGTATTGTTAGTAGTGAGCCCCGATTAAAGGCTTTGCCAGACTCATTGCATCTGTAAGGTTTCTCTGTTGTATGTATCATCTGATGATTAATAAGACTTGGAGACACTCTAAAGACTTTGCCACACTCATTACCTATGTAAGGTTTTTCCCCAATGTATGTTTCCTTGTCTTGTGTAGGTAACGAAAGTTGCAAAAAATCATTCCTGTATTTCCTAGAAATGTTGGTTTGGACACTAGGAAAAATTCTTTGAAGTGGTGAAGCTAAAAAACCATTATTAACTGTCTTCTCAATTTGATTACATTCATAAATTTTCCCTGCAGTTTGAAATTTCTGCAATTCAGCCAGACCGGACTGAAAGCTTAATATAAGCTGATTTTCAACATGCTTGTTTTCTACATCCCCTTGACTATGTCGAACTCTTGTACCAGTAAGATTGTTTTTATGGGTCATCGGTGCTTCTTTACAATTTATTTCACCATCTTTCCATTGAAAGTCAAGGTCCTGTAGATTTTTGTGGATTTCCCTGAAGTAAACATTTTCAATGTCATAGCTTTCATGTCCTTCCAACATCACTGTTTGGAATTTTTCTCCTGTGTTATTGTTCTGTATTGGTGGTAATTCCTTGATCACACGTTTAGGAGAGATACCTGCAAAATATGAACATGGGGTTTTAAAATAACTATTATTGGTAAATATTATTTTATACTGAAAACACACTACACTAAACATAATATACTAGCAAGTTGTGAAACTTTTCTACCATGATCTTCTATTTGTAGAAATGCAAAATGAATAGAATTCTGTAGTAAAGATGATCACATGTAATTCAAATCAATTTTAGGAAAGCCTAGTTTCAAATATCCTTTGACCAAAAGACTCGTGTTGTGCAAACATATATGAGCACCAAAACAAGTCTTTTGCAACCACTGACCCCGAATGACACACCAACTGGCAATAAACACATGGCTCCCTCATAATAGAAGAGAGAAAAAGTTACATATATTTATTTCATACAAATAAATGCTAAAACCACAGCAAGATATACTGTAATGGTAAATATTAACTAATTAATAATCATAATATAAATTAATAAATAAAACATTCTAATAGCCTGTGATAAAACCAGCAGGTAAATAATGAACAACCACAAAATACAAATTTATAGTATGAAATTCTAAACAATTCTCCATTAATAATAAGCAAGAACTTATAGTCTAGAGGCAGCATATGATAACTAGAAAATACGTTGAGATCACTGGCTTTTAAAGATAAAAGAAAGGTAAATATGTCTATGGCCATACCACCGTGAATGCATCTGATCTATCTGATCTCAGAAGCTAAGCAGTGTCAGAACTGGTTAGTACTTGGATAAGAGAAAGGTAAATACATAACATAATAAAGAATGAAAATTGGGGACAGGTCAGCCAGGCGCAGTGGCTCACGCCTGTAATCCCAGCATTTTGGGAGGCCGAGGCAGGTGGATCACAAGGTCAGGAGTTCGAAACTAGCTTGGCCAATATGGTGAAATCCTGTCTATACTAAAAGTAAAAATCAGCTGGGTGTGGTGGCACATGCCTATAATCCCAGCTACTCGGGAGCCTGAGGCAGGAGAATCATTGGAACCTAGGAGGCAGAGGTTGCAGTGAGCCGAGATTTCGCCACTGTACTCCAGTCTGGGCGACAGAGCAAGACTCCATCTCAAAAAAAAAAAAAAAAAAAAACAAGGGAACAGGTATGGTGACTCAGACCTATAATCCCAGCATTTTGAGAGGACAAGGCGGGCAGATCACTTGAGGCCAAGAGTTCGAGACTAGGCCGGGCACGGTGGCTCAAGCCTGTAATCCCAGCACTTTGGGAGGCCGAGACGGGCGGATCACAAGGTCAGGAGATCGAGACCATCCTGGCTACACATTGAAACCCCATCTCTACTAAAAAATACAAAAACTAGCTGGGCGAGGTGGCAGGCGCCTGTAGTCCCAGCTACTCCGGAGGCTGAGGCAGGAGAATGGCGTAAACCCGGGAGGCAGAGCTTGCAGTGAGCCGAGATCTGGCCACTGCACTCCAGCCTGGGCAACAGAGCGAGACTCCGCCTCAAAAAAAAAAAAGAAAAAAGAGTTCGAGACTAGCCAGGCCAACATGGTGAAACTTCGTCTCTACTAAAAATATAAAAAATTAGCCAAGTGTGATGGTGCATGCCTGTAATCCCAACTACTCAGGAGGCTGAAGCACGAGAGTCACATAAACCTATAAGGGGGAGGATGCGGTCAGTCAAGATTGCGACACTGCACTTCAGCCTGGGCGACAGAGAGAGACTGCCTCAAAAAAAGAATAAAACTTGGGAAAGGAAATCAGAAATTCCAGTTATGATTTCGTGCATACAACTATGTAACAAACAATAGAGCAACTCCCTATGTATTCATTGTCTTTTTTTGCTCTTGGTTGAGATGGAGTCTCACTCTCTCACCCAGGCTGGAGTGCACTGGCATGATCTCACCTCACTGCAACCTCCAGCTCACAGGCTCAAGCGATCCTCCAACCTCAGCCTCCTGAGAGCTGGGACCACAGATAGATGCACGCCATCATGCTCGATTAATTTTTTTGTAGTTTTGGTAGAGATGAGGTTTTGCCATGTTGCCCAGGCTGGTCTGGAACTCCTGAGCTCAAACAATCTGCCCACCTCTGCCTCCCAAAGTGCTGGGATTACAGGCATGAGCCACTGTACCCAGTCCTGTTCATTGTCTTTAATTATCCAGTTCATTGGCCACAAAACATGTATGATACAGAGATTGCACTTGGAAAATGTATGAACTAAGATAAAATACAACACTGTTTGGAACAAACTGCAAAATGAAAATTTACAGATACAATGTAGACTGCTCTGATATAAAGACTTATGTCTGCCAAAATTCCTATGTTAAGGTCCCATCCCCAATGTGATATAGTATTTGGAAGTGTGGTCTTTGGGTGGCAATTACGTCAGGATGGTGCATAGAACTTCAGGAATGCAATTAGAAGAGATGTGAAAAAGCTTCTGTTTTTTGCATGGCAATCTTTCTGCCACATGAGAACACAAAAAGAGTCAGCCATGGCACACCAGAAAAAAGCCCACACCAAGAACCAAAGTGGCTGGCTCTGACATGTTGAACTTTGCACCACCTAGATCTGTGAAAAGTCAATTTCTGCTGTTTAAACCATCCTATCTATGGTATCTGATATAGCTAGCCATGCTGACTAAGGTAAAGCCAATATGCTATCTCATTATAAACATGAAACAATGTTGATACACGTTATTAAACAAATTTGTGAGTCTTTACTATAAAACATGCAATATTCTAAGCTAGCTAACAGCATTAACTTGTTTAAAAAGTCTTTAGGTAAGTTATCATTATTTAACAAACAAGGACACTAAATATGCCCACAGGATTTATGTATCTATACCCAATTTACAAAGAAAGTAAGATATGAGAACCTGGGTTTGCAAGATCAAACATGTTTTTAAAAACAACTCCCAAACAAGCAGTGCAGATAACAGGTCAACCCAAATATCAAGAGTATAGAAATAATTCAAGAGCCATTTTGTGTAGAGCACCTGATTCTGTTGCTGTTCGGGGTGCCACTATGTAACCCACATGGACCTAGGGGAACTGAACAAAGGGGGCGAATGCGGGAATAAAAGACAAGAGACAAAAGAGTATATTTAGAAGAAGGGGTCAGGGGGCACCTTGCCTCTAGTGGACAAGGGCCCTGAGCTTTACACAGCCCTCTGTATTTACTAAGCAAGAGAGATAGTGAGAAGGAGGGTGGAAGAAGGGGTCAGCTGCTCAGCCCAAAGTAGGTTTGCAAGACTGCATTCCTCAAACAACAAGCTCTAGATATCACAGTAGATAACCTTGGCGCCAGGGAGTGATTGCCTCCAGCAAAACTTCTGTCAGCAGGAGCAGTCATGAGTTTGCCCATATCCTGCATTCATGATAAACAATTTGCTGTTTGATCATATAGCCTCCAGTGGAATGCTGAGTTGGTCACGTCCCATGGACCTTCGGCTCCCTGCAATGTTGTGTTGCCAAAAGCATTATTCAGCCATCCGTCATGAATAACGAACTGTTTCTGAGTCATCATCCCCTGCACATATTGATTTAGGCAGTGTTATCAGACAGTGGTCAAGTAAATGAGTAGGGGTGACCCCTTACAGAATGAGAGTAGCATAGGAGGTGAGGGAGTTCTGCAATAATGGAAGTATAAAATTAATATGCTAGGCAGTAACTGGGTAGTCCATCTGCACCAAAGTAATATGTTAGGAAAGGCCCAGGAGGAGAAAGGGCAAGCCGGGAGAGCAAGGAGTAATAAGCATGGGGCAGCAAAGTTTGTGTGCTTGCAGAGCTGTGGGAATGTAATTGCACAAGAAACAGCTAAAATCCTGGCTTTGGAAGAAAAGAGAAACTAATGTAGAAGTAGCATTGTACTAATACTTAAATGTGAGAAATACACTATGGGTGTAGGACAACAAGGAAAGACAAAAAGGAGGTGGTACGATGATATGGGAAGAAAACAGATTATGTCTCTATAATATTTGCTATGAGATTTATCAAATTGAATGTCCCATGAGTTCTGTTTCCAGGTATATGCTCAACAACCCTACCTATCAGGAGATATGTGAAAGACTGTTCTTATAATTCAGTCCTTAAGAACAAACTTGAAAACTGCCATGAAGAGGAGATGGATGAATTCATTTCGTACACACACATAAAGATACCATAAAACTTTATTGATAGTACAAGAATGTTAAGGAGACATGGAGTGCAGAATGAGGACCCCAGCACAACAGGCGAAGATTTGAGAAAACAAAGAAAGCGGGAGACTCTTGTCAAGGTTGAAATATATGTCAATGGAGACACAGTATATACGATGAAAGTAACTGGGATATCAAAACACAACATGGAGGCCGGGCGTGGTGGCTCACGCCTGTAATCCCAGCTCTCAAGGAGGCAGAGGCAGGAGGATAGCTTGAGCCCAGGAGTTCAAGACCTGCCTGGGTAATATAGCGAGACCCCATTCTCCACAAAAAGGAAAAAAAAAAAAAAAGACAAAACACAACATGGAAGCAGATCTGTAAAAAAGTCATTTTTGTATGTAATTGAAGTTAAGCTGTTATTAGTTTAAAATAGGATGTTATAAATCAAACATGTTTTCTGTAATTGCAATGGTAACCACAAAGAATGTATAGAAGACACACACCATGGAAGTAAAACCATTTCAGGAAAAAAAAAATCAGCTATATGAAAACAAAGGCAGTAAGAGAAACAGAACAAAAAAATCTAAAAGAGACACAGAGAACACTTAACAAAATGGCAATATAAGTCCTTTTCTATCAGTAATTACATTAAATGTAAGTGGTTTATACTCCACAGTCTGAAGACAGAGACTGGCTGAATGAATTTCTAAAACTGGCTTCAGCTACACATTATCCAAAAAATACTCATTTTAATTCAAAGGATATCCGTAGGCTGAATTGAAGCGATGAAAAAAAGATATCCCCTATAAATGGTAACAGAAAGACATCAGCAGTGGCTAAACTGATGTCAGATGAAATAGACTTTATGTCAAAACGAGACAAAGAAGGGCATTATATAATGATTAAAAGGTTAATTAACTAGGAAGATATAATAATATGTGCCTAATATAGCAATCCTCAATATGTGAAGCAAAATTAATACAACTAAAGGGAGAAGTAGTTTCACAGTAATAATAAGAGACTTCAATGGCCTATTTTTACTTATAAATAGGATAATAAGGAACTAGAGAACCTAAACTATATATCAAATTGAACCTAACCTATATATGCATAACACAACATCCAAAAATAGCACAATACAAATTTTTCAGAACTGCACATGAAACATTTTTCAAAAAAAAAAATATTGGAAAAGAAAAAATTTTTAAAACTTTTTAAAGACTAAAATCATAAAGCATAACTTATCCCATCATAATAAAATAAAACTAGAGATCAAGAAAGAAAATTAGATTATCAACAAATATGTGGAAACAACATACTCTTAGGCCAGTGTGGTGGCTCACACCTGTAATCCCAGCAATTTGGGTGGCTGAGGCAGGTGGATCACCTGAGGTCAGGAGTTTGAGATCAGCCTGGCCAACATAGTGAAACCCAGGCGTGGTGGCAGACACCTGTAATCCCAGCTACTCGGGAGGCTGAGGCAGGAGAATCGCTTGAACCCAGGAAGTGGAGGTTACAGTGAGCTGAGATTGCACCACTACACTCCAGCCTGGACAATAAGAGCGTAACTCCATCTCAAAAAACAAAAACAAAAACAAATAAAACCATACTCTTAAACAGCCAATATGTCAAATTAGAAATCACAAGGGAAATTTTAAAAAATCTCAAAACAAAGGAAAATGAAAATAGAACATACCAAGACTTGTGAATGCAGAAAAAAGTGCTAAGATAGAAAATCTATAGATAAAAATGCTAACATTAAAATAGAAAGATATCCAATGAAACAGAATAGGAAACCCAGAAATACAGCCACACACCTACAACCAACTGATCTTTTATAGTCAACAAAAACAATTGGGAAAAGACATTCTATTCAACAAGGATGCTAGAAAAACTGGCTAGCCATAAACAGAAGAATGAAACTGGACTCCTATCTCTCATCATATACAAAAATTAATTCAAGATGAATAAAGACTTACATGTAAGACTTCAAGCTACAAAAATTCTAGAAGAAAATATAGGAAAAACTTTTCTGGACAAAATACAAGTTTATTTATTTTTTCTTTTTTTTTTAGGGACAGAGTCTTGCTCTGTCACCCAGGCTAAAGTACAGTGGCGCGATCTCAGCTCAATGCAACGTCTGTCTCCTGGGTTCAAGAAATTCTCTTGTCTCAGCCTCCCAACTAGCTGAGATTACATGCATGCACCACCACGCCTGGCTAATTTTTTTGTATTTTTAGTAGAAACGGATTCACCATGTTGGTCAGGCTGGTCTTGAACTCCTGACCTCAGACCTCAAAATGATCCGCCTGCCTCGGCCTCCCAAAGTGCTGGGATTACAGGCATGAGCCATTGCTCCTGGCCCAATACAAGTTTTTTAAGAGAATTTATTCTTCACTGCTTGAGCATCATGAAAAAAATATATAGGTTTTATAAATAGTAGAGAAGTCCCTGAAGTGTAAGAAATGGGTTAAGTGTAAAATAAAGTTAGATTTTTAAATAATGATTCAGTATAACATGACGGACATGAATATAGACAGAAGAATAGTCATTATAATATAGCATTTGTTCCAAGAAAGAAAAAAACAGTGCAATTTGAACACTCAGCAAGCTATATTTAGGAAACTGAAACTTATTACAGAAAAGCAATGTATGTCATATAACAAAAAATGATCAATCTATTAAATGGTATTTCCACAACTAAGACAGTAACTTTAAAAACTATGTTCAAGATATTAAAAATTTCCAACTTAAAAACTGTAATCAATTTAATTGACAAACATATACTTTCATAGTAGGAATGAAGTCAGGTGAAACAGAAGTAAAAGCAATAACTGAAACTGCCAACACAACACTATGGAGTTTGTGTAAGTTTTAGGGAAACTGCTGCTGAGCTATACCATCTGTACTAGAGAAGGAAATCTTGTAAAATACATAAAACAATATGCATTCCCCAACACAACACTACCACACATAGAAACATAAAACAAAGAAAACTGAGTATCCTCAAAACTATGGAACTGATCGTTACATAGATAAAAACAAAGTTCATCTATAATACATGAAAATGCATCAGATGAAAGCAACGGCTGCTTAAAACGAACTTTGTGGACTTAAAAAAAATAAGCCTCATTCAACTTCATTAGCTTCCTCAAGATCAAAGTCATACTCACTGTAAACAAAAATACTGGGGAAGAAACGTGTGACATGAGCAGTGGTTCAGGCAACCACCCTGCAGAGGTGAAGCTGTAAACTTGGACAATGTTCTCCCTGAGAGAAATTCCTTTTTTTTTTTTTTGAGATGAAGTCTTGTTCTCGTCCCCCAGCTCGTCCCCCAGGCTGGAGTGCGATGGCGCAATCTCGGCTCACAACTTCCGCCTCCCGGGTTCAAGTGATTCTCCTGCCTCAGCCCCCTGAGTAGCTGGGATTACAGGCACCTGCCACCACGCCCAGCTAATTTTTGTATTTTTAGTAGAGACGGGGTTTCACCAAGTTGGCCAGCTGGTCTAGAACTCCTAACCTCAGGTGATCCACCCGCCTCAGCCTCCAAAAGTGCTGAGATTACAGGCATGAGCCACCGCGCCCAGCATGGGAGAAATTCCTACACCATTCACTGCTAGCTCAAAAAAGAGGACCATTAGCATATGAGATCAACATTACCACAGTACCCTTGAGAGATACTTTTGTGACATTTCTCAGAAACCAGGCTCTTGTGATGCTATCTGAATATCATGATAAATGCTGATCATTCTACTCTGACTTTAATAGTCACATCTGTATGTAGCAAGATGATGTTAAAACTCATTACTCGGCCGGGCGCGGTGGCTCAAGCCTGTAATCCGAGCACTTTGGGAGGTCGAGACGGGCGGATCACGAGGTCAGGAGATCGAGACCAGCCTGGCTAACATGGTGAAACCCCGTCTCTACTAAAAAATACAAAAAAACTAGCCGGGCGAGGTGGCAGGCGCCTGTAGTCCCAGCTACTCGGGAGGCTGAGGCAGGAGAATGGCGTAAACCCGGGAGGCGGAGCTTGCAGTGAGCTGAGATCCGGCCACTGCACCCCAGCCTGGGCCACAGAGCCAGACTCAGACTCCCTCTCAAAAAAAAAAAACAAAAAAAACTCATTACTCAAAGTGCTCTCCTTCAAAAATTTTCTCTTACGCAGTAAACCCACTCCATAAGATAGTCCACAAGATATTCATAACCCCAAGACGGGTTATCACAGCAGGAAAAAAGGATAAAATGTCAGACCCTAGAAATGTGTTTATTCAAAGCAAGTCTCAGAGGCAAAAAAAATCACACAAACATAAAAGAGAATGTAAGATCAGAAATAGCCAAGGCATAAACAAGACAGAGAAAAACACAGGAGCTGGATTGTGAGGGATCTTGAAATGAGACTCTGCTCTGTCCACAGATCCCAAACTAAGAGTGTGAAGACAGAGATACGCTCCCTGTGTAGGACTAAGAATAAAGAGAGGATCTTTGCGTCAACTGTCTTTACAATTCTTCTATGTAACCATCTCAGGAGACCCAACTCATTCCCCTGTCACAAACCCAAGAAGAGTGTCCAAAGAAGAACTAAGAAAATGGCTGAGGGACCTGAACAGGCAGAGGGCTGAAGACAGTCCCGTGCAGTTCTAGGACCCCAGCTTCAAAGGAAGGGCAACCAATATTTCCCCATCTCCTGACCAGCACTTTCAAGTATACGAAATGAGGTGGAACCAGAAAAGCTCCAGGCATCAGGACTATGGAGCTCTAATCTATATGGATCAGAGAACTGAGGATCAGATGGAACCAAGAACAGGAGGAGAGACCACACAGGAAAGAGACTTCTTTGAAAAGGCCCTTCCCATGCCACAGAGTCAAAGCATCAGAGTTCAGAGAATTCAGATGACACTGTGGTTCACCATAACAGTCTTGTCCTTTACTCTGTTTGAGCTGCAGCAACCCGTGGAGAGTGAAAAGGTAAACTTATACGTGTCTGGAGAGCAAAGTGATAAGCAGGAAAGAAAAATTTCGGAGCTCACAGAAAATCAAATTTGTTTCCCCACAGAACTCTCCCACTTGCAGAGTTTTACACACACAATTTCATCATGCTGCTTCCATTGTGCCCATCTGAGCTCTTACCTGTGATCACGCCTTTCATGCATTCTCCCCAATTTGGGTTCCTTGCTATTTTCACTTGGCTCACCACAGTCCAGGGCTCTTTCCCTTGCTCCAACATGGAGATAATATTCAGGTCAGGAAGACAGAGTCCTGCTTATAAAAAAAAGAAAGAAGATGTCCCATGGTTTTTCCAGAACCCAGTCTAATGTTTAGGTAGAAGAGGAAACACTGCAGTTGAATCTACAAAATATTTCACAAACTCATCCATTGATTGCCTCCTTCTGAATGTTTAGGGAACCCTATAAGATGCAGATATCTAGCTCTCTCCCAAGAAATACTAAATCAAAAACACAGGGATAGGCCAAGCGTACTGGCTCAAGCCTGTAATCTCAGCAGTTGCGGAGGCCAAGACAGGAAGATGGCTTCAGCACAGGAGTTCAAGATCAGCCTGGGCAACAGAGTGAAACCCTGTCTCTACCTGGGCATGGTGTTGCACACCCATAGTCCCAGCTACTTGGGAGGCTAAGGTGGGAGGATGGCTTGATCCCAAAAAGCTAAGGTTGCAGTGTGCCGAGATCACACCACTGCATTCCAGCCTGGGTGACAGACTGAGACTGTGTCAAAAAAAAAAAAAAAAAAAAAAAAAAAAAAAAACACCACAGGGATAGAAAACAGGAACAGGGAATTGGATATATTAACTCTGCCATAAGGTTTTATATGTACCTCAGCTCTGGAACCACCACTAACGTACAAAGAAGGAAGCAGAACATCCACGAAGCTTTTTATTTGTGAATCAACAAGGCTTCAATCTCTGTCAAATAATGTAGGGCCTCCCAAGAAACACAATAAGGAAAGTACAAAAATGCACAAGGGAAGATCCTAACTTCTAGAGGAAAATTATCCTCACCCAGGAAGCCCAGGTTCCTGTAGTTCTCCAACATCACATCCCTGTATAAAGCTTTCTGAATAGGGTCCAGGCATTTCCACTCCTCCTGAGAGAATTCTATGGCCACATCCCTGAATGTCAAAGATCCCTGAAATGAAAAACACATTTTAATATGAGCAATGGGTGAGCTCTTATCTTTACATAAAACGAGAAGAGGAAAGAACTGTCACATCAATTTGATTGAAGTGTGTGTTTTGACATATCCATTAAAAGCATCTGTGAGATAATTATGTGTCCCTAATTTTGGGTTTTATAAAATTCAATAGGAGATTAGGATTTTATCTAAATCAGTGCACATTTCTCACTTCTGCGGACAAAATAAGAAATAAACACATGGTTATTCCTATGAAAGTTTTAGATATTATATTTGTTACACCAAGTGAGGTGTCCAGATGAGCTAGAATACAAGTGGTGTCTTCAGAGATGACAGTGTTCTTAGTGGCTTTAAAGAAAGGTCAGAAACTAAAAACTGATGACAAGAGCAACAGCAAGGACTAAAGTTTTGGAACACTCCCCATGTACCGCGCTTTACTCCAAACGCTTTACATGTTCTAACTCAAATGATGACATAAAAACCTAGGACAGAAATATTTCTTCCCATCTTACTAGAAGACAACTGTGTCATAGACAGGCTAAGAAACTCGCCTTGGTCAACAACCTGCCAACAGCGCAACAAGCACCTGAACCCAGATGTCTAAAAATTAGAGTTGAATCAACAGAATCCAACAGTTATATAACACAATATGTCCTAGTCTTTCTGTGCAGCTATAACAAAATAAAAGAGACTAATTTATGAACAATAGAAATGTATTTCTCAGGATTCTGCTGGCTGGGAAATTTCATGATTCGCTCCTGGGCAACAAGAGCGAAATTCCATCTCAGAAGAAAAAAAAAAAGAGAGATAACATGATTGCAACCCAGAAAAATAATATTTAAGTATATAAACTAATAATATACTGAAGTAATCTTCCTACTTTAGTACACTAATTTAAAAACAACAACAACAACAACACACACACACACTTCTAAATTTTCATTAGCATATATACCATGGCACTTAAGTACAAAACATTTTCAGAATTCTGTGAACAAATTATAAAACTATACTGAGTGATGTCAGCAAGATAAAGGAACAAGAATCCCCAAACTCTCCAGTCACCACAGTGAAATGATTTTAACAACAATTCATAGACTAATTGCCTCGGGGATAAATCCACAAAACGGTTACGAGGTTTCTACACCTCAGGCCAACATAAAGCAAACAGTATAGAAGCTCTGAAGGAAAATCTGAAGCATCCACTTGACAGAGACCCAGCCCCTGCCATGCAGGGGTAACAGAAAAGAAACCCACAACTCCCAAGATCATCTAGGGGATGGAAAGGAGCAGAATATCTGTCCAACATCCTCACTTTTCAGATGACCAACTGATGGGCTGGTTTCTCTCTTACTGAATAGAAGCACTGACAAGAACAAGGTGAAAGGTTAGGGGCCACTGAGAAAAAGGATGATTTACATAAACCAGTATGTGCAGTAACACAGACAAACACTAAGTGAAGATCTAGTACTACAGCTTACTGTAGCACCCAAGTCTGCAATACCAAAGAGAGACAACAGGGGAGCTTCTGGGTAGAAACCAGCAAACATTTTCAATGAAGAGATGACAAGCAAAGGCCCAGAGAGGACAAAATTCCCAGCCAGAAAAGGTGTGGAAGGTCTCCAGAATCTAGTTGAGTTGACTGCAGTGTCCTCCCTGAACAAAGCAACCACCGAAAACTGGGGAGGTAGATGATTTTTCAAATACTGAAGTGCCAAAAGAAGATAAGAAAGCTTACAAAGAAACAGGAAAATACGGTCTGTAAAAAGAAACTAATTAAGTCTCTATAAACTTACACTAAAGAAACGGTGATTTACATCATGGCTTTGAAGAACTAAAAAGAAATGGGGACCACCCTCAGTATATGCAGGGGATTGGTTCCAAGATTCCCTAAGAAGACCAAATCTATGGATACTGAAGTCCCTTATATAAAAAGGCATAATATTTGCATATAACCTACCTATATCTTCCCATATGATTTAAATCATCTCTACTCATAATAGCTAATACAACGTAAATGCTACGTAAGTAGTTGTTATACTGCATTGTTTAGGAAATAATGACAAGAAAAAAAGGACCATACATGTTCCTTGAAACCATCCATTTTTTTCTGGCTATTTGTAGTTCATAGTTGGTTCCATCTGTGGCTACATGAGCCATGAATGCAGAGGGCTGACTGTATGTGAATTACCAAAGAATCTGAAATAATAGCCACAAGAATGCTCAATGAGTTAAAAGACAGCACACACAGACAAGCTCACGAAATCAGGAAAACTATATGAACTATGCATGCAAAGAAGAGTATCAACACACATAGAAGCTATAAAAAAGAACCAAAAAGAAATTCTGAGGCTGGGCACCGTGGCTCATGCCTGTAATCCCAACACTCTGGGAGGCCAAGGTGGGAGAATTGCTTAAGCCCAGGAGTTCCGAGACCAGCCAGGGCAACATGGCAAAATCCGATCTCTACAAAGAGTACAAAAATTAGGCAGGCGTGATGGTGCACGCCTGTAGTCCCAGTTACTCAGGAGGCTGAAGTGGGAGGTTCATTTGAACTCGGGAGGCAGAGGATGCAGTGATCCAAGATTGTGCCACTGCAGTCCAGCCTGGGAAAGAGTGAAACCCTGCCTGAAAACAAAACAAAAGAAAGAAAGAAAAAAAGTATACCTAAAAATACAATAACTGAGTTGAAAAATTCACTAGATGAGTTCAATAGCAGACTTAATCAGGCAGAAGAAGGAATAAGTGAACTCAAAGGGGATTTTGACAGGGGAGAAAACAAAAACTATAAAAAATAAAGAAAAATAAAGAGAGCATAAGGGGAAACCATCAAGCACCAAGAACATATATATTCTGAAAGCCCAATAAATAATGTGAATATACCTAACATTACTGAACTGTAAGCAAACAAACAAGCTTTACTGAAAGACATAATAAAGATATAATCACTGACTGACAAACTCAATTCTTACTGGAAGATGTGGTGACAAGAACTGCAACTGTAAAAATTCACAGTCATTCAAACACAAACGAAGTATGTGGGAATTTAATAAAATGTGACTGTTGTATAAAAAAAAAGAACCAACAAAATTTTGGAAAGAAATGGAGAGGTTTGCCAATCTTCATATAAACCTATTATGACATTTATAATCTGAAACTTTAAAAGCAATCAAATATAATCTACAAAAAGATATACACAAAAATTCAAATTAAAGATTCAATCAAAAAAAATTCATGGAAAGAAAATGTAAGCAAGAAACATTAGATTTTCAAGAAACTTCATATTTTATAATCACACCGTGAGCCAGGGCTTCCAAAAGATAAAACAAACATAAAATTATTTTTGCTTTTGTGGTATACCGTCCTAAAAGCAGCAAACATTCTTTGAACTGCCAGTGAAGTAACCCTCACACACTTGTAGTGAAGACAGCATGCACAGAAGCAGCCACGGTGACATTTTTTGCAAAAGTGAAAAATTGTAGAAGATCCATGTCTTCATTAAGAAATTGCTCCAAAGAGGATGCAAAACAAGCTATTAATGTTTATTAACATAAAAAACATGTACATTTCCAAAACTTGCAAAATACAGCAGAACATTCACTGAAAAATCATTTTCTAAAAACCCACAATGACGTGTAAATGCATCTTGACACCTCTCACTGACTCTTGCCACAGAGCTTACCACTGTAGCTCCTCAGTGAAACATGACACATGGTGGAGGATGTGACAGGGAAAAGGAACCCGGGTTCCTCCGGGTGCGTAATTGAAAGAGTGATCGCCTCTTCTAGGATAGTACATTTCCTATTTTGGTGAATCTGGCAAGATTCCCCACTATCCCAAGTTCAAAGATGCCCCCTCCCACCAACGACACATGACATTTCCCACTCTTTAAAAAAAAAAAAAGTACTACTATGTAGTTTTTTCTCTTTGAGGATCTAGAAAAAATAAAAATTCTTTATATGTCCATTTTCCAATTCCTTGGACTGTGAGGACATTTCATTATTTTGTGGAAATCAAAATAAGATAATTTTCATTTTATGCTCAATTTTCTTTTACCGCATTCTGGAAGCTCTTTCACATTCTGTAAAGTTTTTAAATATATATGCCTTGATGTCCTTTTTTCAGGTTGTAAGTTGTTTTTACTATAAAACTAAAGTGTGTTCTTGATGCCCTGTTTTTTACTTGTTTGCTTACAAATTTTATTGTGTATATGTAAGGTACACAATACAGCAAGATATAGATAGTAAAAAACTCACTACAGTTTAACAAATTAACATATCCATATCTCAGTTACCTTTTTTTTTTTTTTTTTTTTTGCTTTTGTGGCAAGAACACCTAAAATCTCATTTAACATAAATTTCACATATAATAAAATGTTACTCCCTATCACGCTTATGTTGTATCCCCCCTTCTTAATGCCTAAATTGCATCTCTGTTTGGACTTTTACCACAAAACAAATATATATATCATGTGATGTTTAAAATAAAAGAAACGTAATATTTAATAATAATTGGTGGAATGACAGAATTTGGCTGCATCTTCTCTGACATCAAAAAAGTTTGGCTCTTACATCTGAGCAAAATTATAACCATTTTACAAAAAACAACTGCTGGTAAGAGTCCCTGCAGGAACACTGCACTCTCTGTGGGATGGATATGCTGAGAATGGCTAAATTAATCTGACGTTCAGGTTGATTTCATATTTTAAAAGCAATGATGGAATAAAACACCCTCTATCACTGATGTCGGTACCTAGGTTTTCCATTCCATTCCCAGTCATTAAGATTGTGGAGTTAGAAAGAGTGACTCATTCATTATAGCTTCAAATGTGGCATAAAACCAGGTAGAAGAGATCTCCCCTTAAAGGCATCTTTTCAAGAATTTATAAGGTATTTGTACACATTAACAGGTGACTACCACATACAGCTTCTCTACTCCTGGTCTACTGAGAGCTGACAGTGCATTCAGATGTTGCCCGTAAACAATCTCTGCTGCCCAAAAGCTGACACCGCAGGACCCACACCCCGTCTCCATCCATGTCTGGATGGAGCCCTTCCCAGGACCATGCCCAGTGCAACCTCTTCCCAAGCTCATGTCACTGGGTCACCGTGAGATCTGGAATCTAAGTGCAGATGAGTGGGACTGAGGGAAGGCATGGGTGAGTGCGAGCAAATGGGTCAGGCAGAACACTTCAGACTCAGAGATTTGCAACTCCAATGCCCTGCATTTCAAAAAGGAAGGAGACAAAACAATCCACTGAGCATATCACTTTACCTGAGGAAGAGCCATTCTTGACTCCTTTTCTTTCTTCTTCCTCTTTTGGGCTTCTCTCTCAGTCAATACAATTAATTCTTTAAAAGTCAAATCTGAAAGTCAAAAATCTGTTGTTTAATGCTTGGAAACAACACATTCCTTTCTGTGCCACAACCATGACCACAGGTAAGACCTCAGCATGTGGAGAGACAGCCCCACTGTACTGGGGGGTGCAAGAATAATATATTCCTACACAAAGACCAAGTGAGTTTCTCACCCTTTTCTTTTTCTTTTTCTTTTTTTTTTGAGACGGAGTCTGGCTCTGTTGCCCAAGCTGGAGTGCAGTGGCCAGATCTCAGCTCACTGCAAGCTCCGCCTCTCAGGTTTACGCCATTCTCCTGCCTCAGCCTCCCGAGTAGCTGGGACTACAGGCGCCTGCCACCTCGCCCGGCTAGTTTTTTGTATTTTTTAGTAGAGACAGGGTTTCACCGTGTTAGCCAGGATGGCCTCGATCTCTGACCTCGTGATCCGCCCGTTTCGGCGTCCCAAAGTGCTGGGATTACAGGCTTGAGCCACCGTGCCTAGCCATCTCACCCTTTTCTTCAGAACTTGCTCCCCTCCCGGACACCCTGCAGCAGTGGGGAGCTGGGCTGGACTATGCTTCCCTTCAGGACACAGACCCATCCCTGATCAAACCCCATACAGAGCACAGCCCCCTCACCTCCCTGTGGATCACAGGCTGAGCTCAGCTCTCAGAAACAGAAGACACAGAGGTTTGACGCTCAATGCTGGATACAAATTAGAATCAACTTCGGTATCTTAAACAATATGAAGGTTGAGTCCATGCTAACTATTGTAAGTGGAATCTGTGGTAAAAGGGCACAAAACATGTATTTGCTAACTGCCTCAGCATGCTAATGTGAAGCCAGGGTTGAGTACATCTTAAAGGGGGCAAGACTAGCACAGCCCCATCCTCCCAGCTCTGCTCTCCCCTCGGGGCCTCATTGTTACCAGTTTGTAGACAGTAGAAGACAATGGACCAGAAAGAAACACAGAGACACATAATATGCACCAGGGGTAGGGGCAAGGGTGTGGCTGGAGTGTTAAATGGTGAGAGGAGGATGACTCACAAGTAAGTCCCAATGGAGAAGGTGATATCAGAACAAAGACCTCAAGAAGAAGGATGTTTGCACCTGCAGCTGAGGGGCCAGACAGCCCAGGCAGAGGCCCTAAGGCAGAAGCAACCTCAGCCCAAGGAACAGGAAAGAGGCCTGTGTGGCTGGAGCAGCGGGAGCAGGGAGGACACAGGGAGGAGATGAGGTCAGAGAGGTTCTGGGGAGCAGACTAGGTAGAGACGAGGTATTCAAACACTCTTCTCCCACAGCTCACAGTAATTTAAGAAACTATGTATTTCCTCACCCTTTTTAAGTAAATACAACTTATCTTTATCACATGAATTAAAGCACTTCTTTTTAATGTCATGTTTTCTCTATTTCAAATATATGCTGACATGTAAAACTAAAGCCAGGAAGTATAGGGTCACCTTCACCTGAGATGTGCAGGAGCGCAGGGGAATGTACTTGGGGAGTTCAGGCAGTCACTTTTGGTGGAGATACCTGTTAGTTGGCTGAGCAGACAGCCAAGAGGACAAAAGGACACAGAATTCTAGAGGTCAGGGGACAGGTCTGTGTTGAATGGTTTCGCACCACCTCTTGGTGCTGTTCTTATCACAGTGAGTTCTCACGAGATCTGGTTGTTTAAAAACGTGTAGCACCTCCCCCCTCACTCTCTCTTGCTCCTGCTCCCGCCATGTGAGATGCCTGCTCCTCCTTCACCTGCCATGACTGGAATCTTTTTGCAGCCTCCCCAGAAGCAGATGCTGCTATGCTTCCTGTGCAGCCTGCAGAACTGTGAGCCAATTAAACCTGTTTTCTTTATAAATTATCCAGTCTCCAGTATTTCATTATAGCAATTCAAGAATGGTCTAATACAGTGGTGTTGAAATTCATAAGATGAGATGATGAGGAAAGACAGTGGGTGTGGAGAGAAACAAGAAGAGGTTCAAGGACTAAGCCATGAGCCATTCCCACATTGAGAAACAATGTGGAGTCAGGACACAGCAGCAGAGAGAAGTGTGAAATGGTCAGGGAGGTGACAAGAAAATCAAATAGCTCCTGACCGGAAAAGAAAGAGTAAAGCAGGAAATGAAATACATTGGATTTAGAAATGGGGAGGTCACTGGTGACTCTGAAAAATAAAGTTATCAGTGGAATGGTGGATATGAAAGTTTCATCTGACGCATTCAAGACACAGTTGGAGGCAAGAAGTGAAGACAGAGACTCTGAACAAGAGTGTAGTGTATTATGCTCTTAAATGTAGCAGAGAGGGGTACTCACTACAGGTAGAAACACAGTTAGTGGTATGTTTTGTTTTAATTAGGGCACAGTGGAAGGAAACTAGAGGCTTTAGGGTCTGTGTATGTGCATGCATTTAATGGTCAATACACCACCATCAGTAAACACTGTTTAAAGTAATTCTGTAGAAGGAAAAATGAATAACCAGTTAAACAAATTTTATGGAAGTCCAAAGTATTTTTTTTAATTTATATTTTAAGTTCAGGGGTACATGTGCAGGATATGCAGGCTGGTTACATAGGTAAACGGGTCAGGGGGGTTTGTTGTACACATTATTTCATCATCCGGGTATTAAGCCTAATATCTACAAGTTACTTTTCCTGATCCTCTCCCTCCTCCCACCCTCCACTCTCAGGTAGGTCCCAGTGTGTGTTGTTTCCCTCTATGTGTCCATGTGTTCTCATCATTTACCTCCCACTTGTAAGTGTGAACATGCAGTATTTGGTTTTCTGTTCTTGTGTTAGTTTGCTAAGGATAATGCCTCCAGCTCCATCCATGTCCTTGGAAAGGACATGATCTTGTTTTTTTTTGTGGGAAGGCCATTGTTTCGGACCAGCCTCCCGAACTACCAGACCAAGCCAGAATGAAGTCTCTTGTGCTAAGTGCCACATTATCAAACTGAACCTTGAAATGGGCCAGGTTTAGGGGGGAAAAAAAAAAACAACTCTAAAAAATAAACAGGAAAGGCCCAGCACGGTGGCTCATGCTTGTAATCCCAGCACTTTGGGAGGCCGATGTGGGTGGATCACCCGAGGTCTGGAGATCAAGACCAGCCTGGCCAATGTGGTGAAACCCCGTCTCTACTAAAAATACAAAAATTAGCCGGGCACGGTGGTGCACACCTGTAATGACTCCACCCCCAAATACTGGCACCACCATCTACTAAAACAGATGTCTTCAATGATGCACATGCCCCAGTGAGACCCCAACATCTTCCAAGGAAATTCATTACAAAAAAAACCAAGACTTTCAATGCTCCTTCGAAGACATACCTCGTAGGCCTGGTGTGGTGGCTTACATCTGTAATTCCAGCGCGCTGAGAGGCTGGGGTGGAAAGACTGCTTGAGGCCAGGAGGTAGAAGCTGCAATGAATCCAAGATCATGCCACTGCTCTCCAGCCTAGGAGACAGAGAAAGACCCTGTCCCCCCAAAAAACCAAAACAAACAAAACCAAAAAAAACACCAAAGACATATCTTGTAGTAACAGTCAGTCATTTCTTGCCCCATTTCTCCCCTCCTTTATCCTCTACTCCATCCTTGAGAAGAAGAGAGTTACCACAAATAACTAGATCAAATCACTGCCCTCAGGCTAAACAGGAATTCCAAATATCTTTTGATAAAAATAAACACAAAATGCACAAGCCTTATAGAAAAAAACGTGACTTTCATCTTCATGAGTACGACTTAAAGAAACATGTTTTAAATCAGGGTATAAAGCCACAAATCAATATATTACAACCACCATCCACATCCAGTTAACTGTCACGCATCTGGATGGGGTCCTCTCCCAACTTTCTTCACTGCTATGTGTTTCCCTCTCTCATGCTGCGCGCCTTTTTTTCTCCTTTTCTGTTTTTTACCCCTTTCTTTATTCCCTCTTTTAGGTCTGTTCTGCCCAATGCGTCACAACTTACTTCACCTCTTGTAGCTCTTTCCCCTCAATCTTTCCAATTGTCCCCAATCTTCACGTATCTCTGCCTCTTTTCCCCCATCTAAGCTCCCTCTCTGCTCTCCTTGTTAAATTTCCTCTTCCCTGTTACAGCTCGTTTGTTCCCACTCTCTAGCACCCCCAACTTCCTAGGCTTCCTCCCTGCTGTGGTTCTCTCTACTCTGCTTGTCATTCACTGCCCTCTGTTTCAGTCCCAGCACCACGTAGCTCTGTCAGCCACGGCTCCAACTCTTTTACCTTCTCCCCACTGTCTGTCTGCAGTGCCTCCTCCTTTGCCGCCCCACTCTATTTTGCTGCCCTTCATCTCTCTGAAGGTCCCCCTTTTTTCCTAAATTTCTCTACCTGCTTTTCTCCCCCTGCTACTTTCTCCAACCGTTCTGTTTCACTGTTGCTCTTTGCAAATCCCTAAATTATCATCCATTTTTGCCGTGTATTTACGGGTCTCCCTCATTCTCTTCTCAGTTTTTCCTTTTGCTCCGTCGTTCCCCGTCTTTTCCTCTCCTGATCCCTCTCACCCACACATTCGGGAGGAAAGGGGAGGAATAAGATGCCCAACTCCCGGAACAGCACATTTCCCAGTGGAGTAACATTTGGGAACGAAGAACACTAGGTGTCACAAGACAGACTCAGGTCACCTGCCCCAACGGAGTCAGGAAAAGCAGTGGCTGTGAAGGGGAAGCCTGGGGAACGGAAGGACCCGGCGTGAGGAGGACACAAGGTGGCGCGGGGGACGATGTCTCAGGACAGGGAGGTTCTGCAGAATCCCAGGACCTGGGAGGAGAAGCGGCTCCTTCAGGAGCCGGACGTCGGGCGCTCCCCTCCAGAGGCCGACGAGGGAGAAGCTCGGGGGTCGCGAGGGCGCGAACCTCCCGAACGAAGGCTAGACTTGGCGAGGGGACCAAGCAGAGGGTTTTAAGCAGGAAAACGACCTGAATGATGTTGTCTACATGGTCTTAAGGAAGAAAGGCAGAGAGCAAGAAACAGCCTCAGAGAGATTTTAAACCGAAAGGGAAGCAATTCTCCGACTTACTTGGGACGAATGGAGCTGTTGCGGGTATTTTAAGGTCCGTAGCGATCCCCAGGTCACGGGTATGGAGAACCGCGGACTGCGAAGTGCACGTTTAATCCAGGTAGACAAAGCGAAGCAAATGTTTAATCCAGGTAAACCGAAACACACTCATAGCGATGTGGCCTTTCCCCAGCGCGATCTGCTTCCGGGTGTGCAGGAAACGGGGCGCGGAAAAAAAACTGGGCGGTGTGGGGGCGGGGCCTGGGCGGGGCGCGACTGGGAAAGGGCTGGGCGGAGACGGAGACTGACTTGGGGAAGGGCCTGAGAGGGTGGTGGGAGGCCCCGGCCAGTAGGGGGCGTGACCAGTTGGGGCTTGGCTGGACCGGAAACTGGGATGAAGCGGGGCCTCCAGGGGTGGGCGGGGTCTGTTCTCCAGATTTGGGAGTATTTGTGACTATTTCTTGTCCTGTGAAGCAGCGTTGCTTCTTGCCCATTTTAAGTTAATGTTTCACAATTTAAGGATGAATCTTAAAGTTGTGGTCCACTTACATGGTCCACTTATATGGTCCATCTTTGTGGAAACTAAGATGATTTATTCTTAACAAGTTGAACTGAATTAAGTCAAAACCGATTTTTCTCAGCTTGGTGGACTCCATCCAGTCTCACCAGAGAAGCTAAAGCTACTCAGTAGTCAGGGAACTAGCATCTCGGTGGGGATTGGATGTGGAGAGGTGACTGGATCCAGGAACCCAGAAGACATCATGCCAATTGAAATGTGCTAGACACAGTGTAGAAAATGAAATAAGTAGAGGTTCCTCTTCAAAGGGACTTTCCTCCCAGTCTAATTGAGAATAGATAGTAACCTCTGTTAGAAGCAAAATTTACTCAAAGACCTGTGGTAATATTCTTAAGTATCTGCTAATCATAATAAATAAATCAATATACTCTGCGTTCTTAGCTCCCACATTTTAACCTAGATATTTGCCCTGGCATGCCTGAACTGGTCCAAGCAAGCATTAGGTCACAGCCTATTCCGCTTCCTTATTTGGAAGTGTTTTTGCCTCTCTCAATCTTCCACAAGTTACTTCCTCTCTTCCTTTGTTCTCCTCTGCCTTTGCCTCTTTTGGGAAGTACTAAGGTGCTAGCCAATCGGGTCAAGTACACAATGTGAGGTCCAGTTCCAACCAATGGAAACCAGACACAGCAGTAGGATGGACGCATCAGGTTATAAGTGACTCTGTCTCCTTTGTTCGTGTGTGCTCTCGTGACAAGACTGCTAGTTAGCGGCACCCTTTCTCCAGAAAGTAAACTAGCCTTGCTGAGAGCTCCTTTGTCTCTGTGTTGATCTTTGCAACACCATTTCCAACACACAGAAAGACAAATGCTTCATGCGCTTTCTTACATGTGCTAAGTACAAATGTCAAATTCACAGTAACAAAGTAGAAGGGTGGTTTCCAGGGCTGAGGGTCTTTCCTATGCCTGTCCCACCATTGTATTTTGGAAGCAGATAACTTCTCTGGCTTCACAGATTCACAGCCGGACAAAAATTTTGCCTCAGGATGAACCACACATTGTTTCTCACCCATATGTGATTCAGATAATATTTAGGTGATATTTGGGCCTTAGAGTTGATACTGAAATGGATTAAGACTTTTCAGATGGGCTAGGCAAGGTAGCTTAGGCCTGTAACCCCAGCAATTTAGGAGGCCAAGACTGGCAGATTACTTGAGCTCAAGAGTTCAAGATCAGCCTGGGCACATAGCAAGACCCCCATCTCTACAGAAGTTATAAAAATTAGCCATGCTTAGTGGCACACTCCTGTAGTCCCAGCTACTTGGGCAGTTGAAGTGGCAGGATCACTTCAGGCCAAGGGTTTGAGACCAGCCTGGGCAACATAGTCAGATCCCATCTCTACAAAAAATTAAATTAGCCAGGCATGGTGGCCTGCATGTGTGGTCCCAGCTATTGGGAGGCTGAGGCAGGAGGATCACTTGAGCCCAGGAGGTCGAGACCGCGATGAGTCATGATTATACCACTGCATTCCAGCCTGGGTGACAAAGAGAGACCCTGTCTCAAAAAATAAATACATAAATAAAAGATTTTTGTTTGGATGGGAGTGAAGGGATCTTGCATGTAAGAAGGACATAAAGTTTAGGAGTCCAGAACACAGTGTGTTATGAGCAGAATAATTTTCACATAAAAAAATCCTATCTTGAAGTCCTAATACCCAGTACCTCAGAATATAACTGTATTTGGATATATGGCATCTACAGGAGTGATTAAGTTAAAATAAGCTTGTTAAAGTGGGCTCTGATCCAATCTAGCTGATTTCTTTATAAGAAGAGGAGATTGGGCTGGGCAAAGTGGCTTGCCCCTGTAATCTCCACACTTTAGGAGGCCGAGGTGGGCAGTTCCAGCCCAGCCTGGGCAACATGGTGAGACCCCGTCTCTACTAAAAATACAAAAATTATCTGGCAATGGTGACTCGCACCTGTACTCCCAGCTACTGAGGAGGCTGAGGTGGGAGATTTGCAGAGGTTGCAGTGAGCCAAGATCACACCACTG